CAATGCCATTCATAGAAGCTTTGGGTCAATTCTCTTACCGTGTAGGTGAGAAAAGTGTGAAGGCACCTGTTCAAATAGTGTTCTTTCCAACAGCTTATTTTCCTATCCTCCTTTGTAAATGAGGTTTGTTGTCATGTTTTTGGACAGGGCCCGGTAACTTCTGTCTGGTTCATGTTAGTCTCGTACCAGTTCTTAAAGCAGTTGGGGAGCCGGTAATGACAATTAACCAGCTACACATAATGAGACTTTGACTGAAGCCTTTTACAGCTGAAATTTGATTCTATCCTATTTTTGATGGATGTTTTTTTTTTTCCGTTATGTTCCTGTAGAAAACTAAACCGACCCAACATAGTGTTAGGGGACTACGAGGACTTGGGCTGACACCAAATATTCTAGCCTGCCGCAGTGATAAGGTTCCTATTAACCTCTCAACTCCTGGCTCAATCCTAATTTTTCAGCCTAGTATTTGTTCTTCCTACATCTGTGTTGATCTTTGAGAATTACATTTTGATGCTTTTGACAGCCGTTGGATATAAATATTAAAGAAAAACTCTCACTGTTTTGCCATGTTCCGGTAATTTCTTTACTGTTACTCCTCGTCCATTGTACCTGCTGCAAAGTCAGTGTGTAGATTTTGATACTCACAATCGATAGCTTTTTTTCACAGGTTGCCAATATCATTAATCTCCATGACGTTACAAACATTTGGCACATTCCTTTATTGTTGAAGGTAGAGTATATTTTGTTGACACTAATGTGGATTTTATCCATCGCCAAGGTTATTTCAGCATCCATATTAACATAGTTCTTCACCTATAGGAGCAAAAGGCACATGAAGCTCTTCTGAAACTATTAAACCTTCAAGGGTCTGTCCGATGAATGGCTTATTTATTTAATTACTATGATACTTCAGCCATTGATTCTGACATTAATATATACAGATGTGCTGAGGAACCCATGCTGGAAGAATGGATGGGTAGAGCTAAACTCTATGATATGTTGCACAAGACTGTGAGTTCTTTTTTTTTTCTTTGCTATTGTTTTATGGGTCACCGGAAACATCTGAAATCTTACCATTTGAATAAATTTACAGGTCAGAATTGCTATGGTAGGAAAATATACTGGTCTTTCTGATTCTTACCTCTCTGTTTTGAAGGTGTGTACGTTCATCACTCATCAGTCTAATGTTGTCCGTTTCTTGTACGTTGCTTATTTACTGGACGGATCTGTATTTGTCATTTTATCTTTTCTAAGATGTACTTGTTTTTTATTTGTTCTCCACCACAGGAGGACCACGATACTTACACTAGAAACTCATGTGATTTATTCCTTGTGCTTACTGTAATGGCCATTTCGACAAACAAATCAAGTAGTTTTTTATTTGTCACAGGCCATTGTTCGTATGTGAAACTGTTTGTTTAAATGCTTTAGGGCAATAAAAAAAAATTATAATCACCAGATGTTGATGCTATTTACTTAAAATGTTAAGGACAATATGAAACTTCTAAAACCATGACCTTATTCATGAGTAGTTCATGTTTCTAGTTTAGCATCTCTCGATCAAGGTTGAACATTTTGAAGTCATCTAAACCTTGAGTGATCTTTAACTAGCTTCTTAACATGAAACAAGTGGAGGATTGATAGGGAGAAAAACACTTGCAAAAGGAATTAGCATTATGAGTGAAACTTGTGGCAACAAGACTGGTTATCTGAACAATCAAATTTGCTATATTGAAGTTTGGCAATTAGTAAGGAAGATTTGGAAATCTCAAGAAAAATTATTTCCTGCCATTTGGCTTCTCTTGAGTTCACCTCTGTGGGTGCCTCACTCCCCTTTGCCTCTTTTTCACTAAAAAAATCGCTACGGTCTCTTGGCATGTTTATCATCAATTTTATTCTGATTTTTTTTTTTTTTGCTGACATAATTATTACTGCCTGTAGATTTGGGTCAGTTGGGTCATGATAATAATTCAATTTCCACATGATGCACTTCTTTTTGTGTACAACTCCACAGTAAATCATTTTCATTACAACAGGGGATTGTGTTCTTTTATTTAATTCTTCTGATCCACTAAAATGGGATTTTTTTTTTCCGAAGTACCTCTCTTGGATGACTTATATCATTTGTGCAAGTGCAGAATGCCCAAGTCTTATACATCTTAAAATGCAAAAGGTCATCATGGACCTGACAGATTCCCTGATCTGTCATCTTCTCTTGGTTAGTTGGATGCTCGTGACTTCAGGATGGGGAACAAAATAGAGTTAGAAGTTGCTATTTGTTCTTTTTGAACTAGTTAGATCGTCAATAACTTAGTGTTGGTTTATAGAATCTGGCGAGCATATGGCCAAAGGTTTGTTCAGAGATCCTACGCAGTTATCTTAGTTATCTCCCATGCCCATGATGAGCAATATGGCTGGATAACTGCAAATATAGCTCCCCCTTGTTTTGTGTTTTTGTTGAACGGTCACTTCATAAGATTGTCAAACTGGTGCTAGTTGTGGCTTGGGCTTTGTTATGGTTTCTTTGGTGATAGAAACTCTAATGCACTCGAGTGTTTCCTTTGTTATTCTTGGTGATCATTCGATGCTCGTTTGTCTTTGATGAAAGAATAGATCATTCTATTATCCTATGAGCATTCCTTCCGCAAACTGATTGTTTTGTTAAACTATTGCAGGCTCTTTTGCATGCTTCTGTTGCTTGCCGAAGAAAACTTGTCGTGGACTGGGTCCCATCATCTGATCTTGAAGAAACAGCTGCGAAAGAGGTCTGTCCATTTTACAGTTTAAGCAGTTATGTTGGTCTTTTTTATTATTCTTGTTGGATTGGTCTGTCCATTTTACAGTTTAAGCAGAGTTGTGCTCTGCTTTTTATTATTCATGTTGGATTCTTTGTTGCAAAGAGTTGAATATTTTACGTTTATACAGGCACCCGAAGCTTACAACGCAGCATGGAGGCTTTTGAGTGTGAGCTTCTTGCAAAATTAAAGAAGATGTTTAGCTGTGTACCATACTAGTTTTATCTAACATGAGGCAATCAATGCTCGCCATGTTCTTCTATCTCAGGGTGCAGATGGGATACTAGTCCCAGGAGGCTTTGGGGACAGAGGGGTGCAGGGAAAAATCCTTGCTGCTAAATATGCCCGCGAAAACAAAATTCCGTATCTTGGCATTTGTCTTGGCATGCAGATTGCCGTCATCGAATTCGCTCGCTCCGTTATGAACTTGAGGGAGGCAAATAGCATGGAGTTTGATCCCGATACAACTGCTCCCGTTGTCATTTTTATGCCGGAGGTAATTCGTAAGGTTTTTTTTGTTTTTTTATTTTTATTTTTGCATCTTTGGTCATCATTGTCAATTATAAAACCCTTCCTCCACCTCTCATATATTTTCTGTGTGGGATCGGATCGGATTGACCTTCAGGGTTCCAAGACACACATGGGAGGTACCATGAGACTTGGATCGAGGAGGACCTTTTTCACGGTTGCTGATTGCAAATCTGCAAAGCTGTAAGTAGAGAAATGTTATCCGCGATGCTTGAATGATATGTTCTATCTAACTTGCCCAACGAAAGAAAGAAAGACTTAAAAAGAGAGTTCAACCACCTGGTTTCTTCAGGTATGGCAAAGTCAGCTTCGTGGACGAACGGCATCGACATAGATATGAGGTCTGATGATAGGATAAGTAAAATATTTATATTCCAGCATCGATGAGATGGGTTCCCACTTATCATTGTTTATTTTTTTTTGCAGGTAAATCCTGATATGGTCCCAGAATTTGAAAAGGCTGGTCTTGCTTTCGTCGGTAAAGACGAGACAGGAAAACGGATGGAGGTGAGTTTTCTTTCTTTTCTTTTCTTTTTTTTTCCTGAATTTTTGTTTCTTGACGACGATGATGATGATGATGATGATGACGATGCAGATCATCGAGCTGTCTTCTCATCCATACTATGTTGGCGTGCAATTTCATCCGGAATTCAAGTCTAGACCTGGAAAGCCCTCTGCTGTTTTCTTAGGTAAAATAATAGTGCCTCAACTCTGCCCATCCATCTATAGTTCCAACTTGTTTCCGATTTATCGAATCAATTGTTTCCGCAGGAGCAACTTTAAGCCCTTCCCCTTCCCCTTCCCTTCTTCATATATCCTGTTTCATCCTCGCTTGTTATAAAATGCTTTTACAGGACTGATAGCCGCATCATGCCGGCAGCTGGATTCATGGCTACAAGCTTCTAACGGGCAGATCAGCCCGGCGGCGCCGCATGCTCACAGCAATGGCTACCCGAGCCCCAGAACGTACCGAAACGGCGGGGGTAGCCTGAAGAAGCCCGCCGTCAAGAGCCTGGTTAACGGAGGAAGCTTCCATTCGAATGGCAATGGGCTGCATGTCCACCAGCACAGCAGCACGTAGGCACCCTCCTCTTGCTGGTTTTCTTTTTCTCTTCTTCCATCCGAGGATTCCTCTCTCATGTACAGTACAGTCGATCGAATGGATCTGTACGGTTCCAAAGGAAGTGGTGGTGGTGGTGCATGGATGATGCTGGTTCCACTGTTTTTCACAAGGAAACCAGCATCGTGTTCGTGCAGCCAGCCAAAGAGTTTTTATTTTAGGTTTGAATGATGATGTTGATTTGTTTTGGTTTGTGAGGGGGGCTGTGGTGCTTTTAACATCTGTACCTCATTCCAGCAGGAAAAAAGGCCTCGGAAGAATACTGTCGTATTGCGTTATAAGTAAAGATCCAATGTTTGGATGAGAGTTGAATCGCGCTTTGTGTTGGCAGAGTCTTAAAAACAGTTTCGACTTTCATTTTTCCTTTTTCTATCGATCTGTGGATGTCGAATGCGGAGCACTAAGCTTCCGTGCAACATCATCGCTGGGGAGACAGAAGCCCATGATGGCACGGAACGCCCATGTCCTCGGGAGACTTCGACTACCGCTGCAGCGTAGAAAACCAAGGATTAATTTACAGCACTAACAAAACGCTTATAACTCGTACGCCTATCCATCCGCACATCTCTCTCTCTCTCTGGATTAACATGAGCCCTTCAACCGGTGCCGGTGACGCCGAGGTCCGGCTTGTGCTCCTCCTTGCCGGCACCGAACACGGGGCCGCCACCACCGGCGGCGTCCTCCACCTTGTCCTGCTGCTTCTCGATCGTGTGATCATGCCCTCGTCCTCCTTCGACCGCGGGTCCAGCCTCGTCTTGTTCTCCTCCGCCGGCACCGACTCGTACGTCGTCGGCGTCAGCGATTCCTTGGGCTGCGCTGCTTGCGCACCGGACATGTCGCCCAGCTTCTTCAGCAGCGGTGGGTTCGAGTCCGAGTCTTCTTCTTCTTCCTGGATTTATAGCACCACGCGGGCGGCACCGCAGCTGGGTACGCGGGGTGTTGGGTTTGGGTGCTACGTGCCGGTGAGCGGCGGTGCCGAAGCCAGGCGTGCGGACGCGCTGGTGACACGCGGTAAGGGCGAATGACTTGGTGGTGCCACGTCTCGTGTGGGTCAACATGCATTGTTGCGTCTCCGACCGCCCGTGCTGGGCGGAGGTCGATATGGAAAATTAGGGGTGGGAATGGTATCATCGGCAAATGGACCCAAACTTAAATTGTGTGCTCCATCGCATCGACTCGACATAACCAGTAACCAGGAAGAGAGGAGATGGCATCGGACGAAGATGGAGGATGGCAAGTCAGTCAAGTCGCGGCTCGAAAGATTTGGATGGGAATTGCGTGCGTAAGTCCCGTCCAAATCCCACCCCACTCCCCCAATGGCTTGTGAGATAAGCATGCAGTCGTTTGGCTTGTCAGCAGTTGGATCAGCGATCGATTAACTTAGAAAGAGTGGCATCAATTAACTCTTTACACCAACAAATACATACAAACATATATACATGATAACAGCATAAGAAATAGAGTCAGTAGATCGTCAATAGGTATATCTCTTCACCAACAAATATATACATACGTACATACATATATACATGATGACGACATAAAAAATAAAATTAATATATAGTCAATAGAATAAGTAGGCACATTTCTTCACCAACGAAATACTAATGGTAGTATCTGGAAGCAGAGTAGAGTTATGGGCTTAGCTATTTGTGGTTCTTATTTTAATTCCTGGATTGATGATTCATCCATCATCCAGTGATCCTCCTCCTCCTCGTCTATCTTTGTGAACCTCGAATTCGTTTACAACTCTACTTAAATTTAAGTAGCAGTCGACTCTATATGAACAAGTATGAAATCTAAGGCTTTGTAAGTATATCCAATTTACATCTTCTATTGTTATTCATAGGTATTATGATTTTATTTATTATATATATATATATATATTATTCTGTTGTTATTTTCATAAAATTTTATTATTATAATTTGAGTTTAAGATGAGTTATTTATTGCTTTTCTTATATCCCTTCGAACGGACAATGAATATTGAAGCTGAGCTACCTAATCGTTCATTTGTTTTTATTTGGAACCCATATCGATAGTGTTCAAATATTCCTTATAAATCATCAAGTTAATAAATCTCGTCTAAAGTATTAGTTTAAATCCTCGGATATCTACTACTTATCTACGCAATACATGATTTTGTATATTTACGGCTCATATATATATTTTTTATAATACATAAAAATAATAACTTATGATCAATGACAAGATGAGGAGATATATTCACTATAATTTTCATCCTGCAAAGTTAGTGATCCCTCGTATTGTATTGTATTGTATTGTGGTGATATTGATAGAATTTTCATCCTACAAAGATTTTGACATGTGAATTTTCATTAATGTCTGGAATAAAATGTTTAATAATGAAATAAATCATTTATCATCTCATAGGTTTTCTTTGGGCAAAAGTTTTTTTTCCTTTTTTTTGCGCTCGATAGAACCCTATACAACCTCCTCGACCAAAGCATCTTTTAATATTCTATATATTTATTTCTCATTAACAAATGCATCTATTGTGGTCAATGGGACCTCCTTAAATATTTGTCCCTATCCAATATGGATTATCTTTTTAGTGCTTCATACAATTCTCTATCTAAAGTGTCCTACTTAATTTCTTCATCGATAAAAAAACATCTTTCAACAATTGATATGCTTTAGAGGTAGGTATTTGTGGTGACCAATGTCAAAAGCAAAGCATATAGAAAATATTTTTGAAATTCAAAGAATATTTTCTTAAATCATAAAAAAAACTAGGATGGCCCATATTATTATAAATAAAAAGAATCTTTTCTCTCTTCTTCGTTTGGATGACCTTAAAAATTAAACTTAAATGTCAGTCGAAAAGCTTTATGTCATTTTGATTCTATTATTCTGTTCCTCTTGAAAATTGGAGAGGCTCTTTGCTTGTATCATTGTCGGATTTTTTTTTAGTATCGTAGTATAAATTATTTTTTTAAACAAAAATTAGAGTTTTTTAGATTGAAAATTAAAAAAAATTAGATTTTTTTAAAATTAGTATCGTAGTATAAATTATTTTTTTAACAAAAATTGTTTCGATGGTGATAATTACTGAAATTATTAAACATAATATCCGCCGTGGATTATTTAATTATCCTATATATGGAAAACAAAACAAAAACCGTAACCGTCGCTGAGGTAAGCGATGACGGCAACCGCAATCCCGTAACGGTATATCTGTTGACCGAAAAGCCCGATCCAGAGTGGGCTCTCGTCGTTCGGGTGGGCCCCCCCATTCCGAGCGGCTGTCGCGTGCCACATAGACGCAACTGCGATGACGCGTCGCGATAAAAGGCGTCCACGCTGTGACGCCGGACCCCACACTTTTGACACACGCAGGACTCTCAGAAACAACAAGAAATGATACGAGATAAGAAAGGAGCTACGAACTCGGCAGGTAGATTGGGGGTGGGGCCCTCGTGAACATCGAACCCTCGCGTGCCTATAAATAAAGCCTCTCCTGCCCTCCGCAAAGCCAGCGGGCAGCCCACGCGGAGAGTGCGAGGAAGCAATAGAGAACGAGATCGAGATCGAGATCGTTTGGGAGGCGGAGCCTCGTCCCTTCTCTCTGTTTCCGTTATTCGCTCGTTCACCCATCTTTCGGTAGATCCATAGACGGGGAGGGGAGTTGCTTGTGAATGCAGCCATCTTTATTCACTCGTGATGCCGGGAGAGGAGGCGTCGTTCTGAGGTGTGTTGGTGGAAGGAGATCGGCCGACTACCGTATCGAGGTCGAGTAAAAGAAAGAAATGTCAAGGATCCTTAGGGTTCGTTCTAGAGATGCATGCGATGTCGACCGACCTCGAAACTATTTTTTGGCTTTTGTTGTTTTTGGGGTTTGTTTATGTGCTGAATCCAAAGATTCCTCGGAAGTTCTCTTGTTTTTTTTAATTATTATTCCTTTTGTAGATTCTGTTCTTGTATTCCTGCTTCTAGATCCATCTGGTGATTCTTTTTTTGGTATCATCGAGCGTCATTCTTGGGTTTCCTCGTGTTTTGCAGGAGAAATCCGCTCCCGGAACAGTGCTCTTGAACGATCCCTTCGGCGTCTCTTTCTTCTATCATAACTCGATCTAGTATAAATCCGTCATCCTTTTGGCCCGATTCGGTTGAACCTTTCTGAGACCTCTCAAAGACTCAGCCTTTAAACCTCGAGAAAGAAATCGCATTTTTCCCGTCGATTTCTTTGCAAGCCAAAGCTCCTCATCTATGGCGGCAGTCCCGGGGTCCGCCTTTAACCTACGAAGCCTACCGGTGTCTCTCCCTTCCGTCGTCAACCATAAGCCTAGTGTCTGCCGCGGCGGTAGAGCTGTGCGATGCTCTGCCTTCAGACGAGCTCAGACGATGCATTTGGAGAGCCATTTTCTCGGGGCGAAGCTTCGAGCATGTGAACGTGTTCAGCTGTGGCGGACGGATGGCCCCGGACGTTCTCCGAAGCTGAGGGTCGTCTCTCCATCAATGTCCCTGTCTAGGGTGCCGGAGAAGCCCCTCGGTCTCTATGATACATCCTTCGATAAAGATTCTTGTGGTGTTGGTTTTATTGCCGAGCTCTCCGGCGACTATAGCCGGAAAACTGTACGTCTCTGTTCACATCTGTCGGGTGTATTCTTGATCATCAGAGTTGGTTTATGGCCTGTCATGGTTGGCAAATCCGCAGGTCGCTGATGCTTTGGAGATGCTGCTAAGAATGAGCCATCGCGGGGCATGTGGCTGTGAGACTAACACAGGTGATGGAGCTGGCATTCTTGTAGCGCTCCCTCATGAGTTCTTCAAGGAGGCACGTACCTTGTCTTTTCCAGGGTCTTTATTCCATGTCAAAAATGTCATGTTTGAACTTAAATGTGTGTTTGTATACATTTTTGTTTGTTTCTTTAATTTTTTTTTTGTATGCCCTGTAGATCGGTCAATGAAAATTTTGAGCATCTGGCAAGTTTCCAATTCTTCTTATTGCTGGATATAATCCTTATTCATCATGATGCTTTTGTTTATTTTTTGTTCTGTGTGTTTTAGGTGACCAAGGATGTGGGGATTCAACTGCCACCACCCGGTCAATATGCAGTTGGCATGTTTTTCTTGCCAACAGATGACGGTCGCAGGAAGGAAAGCAAAGTTGTTTTTGCTAAGGTAGATGCTAATGATGATTAACCTTAAAGAACTGGTACCACCTATGCGGTGATCCTGTTCTGCTTTCTCTGAAAAAGAATGATTTTCTTTTAAGCTTTTTGGCTCCTTTAATTTTTGGCAAAAATGTGCTGGTGTATTGCTAAGGTTGGTGTTGGTGTTAGAGGTATTAGTGAGCTCATGACTTCATTCTGGAGGGTCTAGGTTGCTATTGTGGTTGATTATTCATGATGCTCTTTTTTTCCTTGGCATTTCTTTGTACTATTCAACTGCAAGCTTCAGCTACTTTTTATGTTCCTTCATAATTTAACTAGTTCTTGGTCAAACTATTATTGATATTCTTATATATTCCTGACTTTGTATTCTGGAAGTTAATTGTGTCCCATAACAGTGACATAATAAGGATCAATGTAAGATTTTATTTATAATTCTTCTTCAAACTCCATGATTCTGTTGTTTATTTGCGTTTTTTTACCTTTCTAAGATCTTCTTAGATAATCTGTTTTATTGCATTATTAGGGAAATTTGAGAATTTAAAATTCTTGTGCCATAACTATCAGGTTTGGTTGACTAAAGAAATACAACTGCATGTCTAAATCCTATTCTGTTTTTGACTGGCTGTGCCAGGCTGTCCTGAGAAGTATGACTTTTTTGGTAGTGTGAATTATCAATCACTCTAATTATAACCAAGTTAAAGAGCAATCATCTATCACTATTGCCTACACATACTAAATATCACACTGTATTACTTGTCACTTCTCCTGTCCAATTATTTCTTGCTTCTGTCTGTTCCTCAAACTACTAAAAGGCATCCTACTTCTTTATCTTGTTAGCCCTGCTTCTGCCAACATTCTATGTTTCTTCTGCCATTTTTCCCTCTTTGTGTAAATTGTTGTATATCTCTAGTTTAGTTGCCTTACTCAAATGGGATGATTTTAGAGAGCAAAATTGAGATAGGGAGATACCTTAAAGAAAAGTGGAGTGATGAGATTACCCTTGCATGATGTAAGTGAGAGGTACTGTTGCAGATAAGGGAATAAACCTTAAGTTCCTTCTTATGGCTTGTTTGGACAATCAAAATATGGTAGTCACCAATATCGGATCTTATAGGTTGTGTCAGATTTAAACTGATAAAGGAAAAATAAATCATCTTTTTTCTTTTGCTGAATCAATGGCCAACAAGGTTAGAATCCATGGTCGTTGATTAGAACTTCTAAATCCATGAAGCAAATCCATGGTAAATCAACATTTACATGTGTTATGATTGAGACAAAAAAGAGTAGAAAGTCAATTTTAAGAAAATTCTTTTTTTCAATATATATAAAAAAAGTCAGCTACAGCCTCCTGTGATATTTGAGTGCAGGCCCTTCTTATTATAAAACAGCATTTTTTTAGGTGATTCAAATAAATATAAAAGCAAACATATATGTGCTATTGTGGGATTGGCCAATAAGCTGTGACACATTTCCTATTTGCTTGGAGAAATCAAAGCTTACGATGCTTATCAGTCAGGTTTTTTCTCATTTCTGAAACCTACCTTAGTTTTTCTTCTCTTGAAGAAGCTATGCTTTATTATTTTTAACAATGAAAATTTTGTTTTCACACCATAAAATTAGTAGTGGTAAAAGCTTTCCTTGGATGCTGACCTTAGTTTGCTTTGTCTTTGGATGTCATGCCAGGTATTCACTTATAGGTTTCATTTTTTACCTTTTTATTATTTCTGAATGAATTTTTCTTTAGTCTGTGTCACCTAAAATTTATGGCCTAAAAACAGTCAGATTGATAATTGAGTGGGCATGCAGGTAGCAGAATCTTTGGGACATGTGGTTCTTGGCTGGCGCAGTGTACCGACAGATAATAGAGATCTGGGTGTGTCTGCACTACAGACAGAGCCTATCATCGAACAAGTTTTCCTTGCTCCAAGTTCACGGTCGAGTGCTGATTTTGAGCAACAGGTTCAGTAACTTGTCATGATTATGTCTTTTCTAGTGCAGGCTTGTAAGATAATGACTGATTTTCATAACTTATTTTATCATTTGATTTAACTCTTGTTTCTGAATGTATCTAGATGTACATATTGCGGCGGGTTTCAATGGTAGCCATTCGAGATGCTCTGAATCTGCAGTATGGTGGAGCTAAGGACTTCTATATATGTTCACTCTCTTCCAGGTTAGTTTTTGTATTTCTTGTCATCTATTTTCTTGAGTGAAAGCATTGGATTGCTTTTCCAAATGATGGGATATTATTGTTGGAAGTTATGGCCAACTAAGAAATTAAAAAAAAGAGCTTTACGTTCGACGTTAATTGTATTTCTTTTTACCTTTGGTGGATAGATTTCTGGATCTTCTGAAATCAGCATCACTGACTTATCTGACTTTGGCAGGACTGTTGTTTATAAAGGTCAACTGAAACCTGTTCAATTGAAGGACTACTATTATGCAGATCTTGGAGATGAAAGGTTTACAAGTTACATGGCCCTGGTAAATATAATCCTATCTGACCTTCTTCTTTATGTGCAAACACTGATCAATGAAGCCCTCAAGGAGACTCTGGTAGTGGGACTCTTAAGGTTAAATGCAGTTATGAGGCATTAAAATTTATATTATCTCATACTCTGCTGTATTCGGTGCTACTTTAATTTGAGTACTGAATAATTTGGGTGGGTTGGTGAGATTTCATAGTTGATAACTTAGTAAACCATGTTGCAGAATCATGATGCAGTGCTTCCCATGGTCAGTGGGAGGAGAGTTCCAATTTGAAGGTGAAAATAATGGTATTTGCCTAAAGTAGCTTAGGTTTCTGTGTTATTTTGTATTGGAAGTTAAAAATAACACAATTTATGGTGCTTTAAGTGCATTGATACAAGATATATGAGATTTCGATTGGACCCCAGAGTACAAGTTTAAAAGGTTCAATCTAGATCCCTGAGAAATAATGTCCATATGCAGGTACACTCACGATTTTCCACAAATACCTTCCCTAGTTGGGATCGTGCACAACCGATGCGTGTTCTGGGTCACAATGGAGAAATCAACACATTGCGAGGAAATGTAAATTGGTACGTTTTTGAAGGCAGCGTCGGTTATGGTGTTGGATGTCATTTATATCTAAACTGAAAAGCATGTTTAGATTGACATCTTATGTTTTTTTTTTTTTCGCTTTACAGGATGAAGGCACGGGAAGGTCTTTTAAAGTGCAGGGAACTAGACTTATCAAGGAATGATATGGAGAAACTTCTACCCATTGTTGACGCTAGCTCATCAGATTCTGGTAGGATCTAGCTTGTTACTTCTTTTGTTACTTTCTAGTGTACTTTTGCTTGTTAAATATATGTTGTATTTCGTTTCTTTCTGAACATGTAGGTATCGAGTGTGCAGTTGCTTATATCATATATATATGATGGCTTGATCTAAAATGATTTGCATGTGATTAGGGGCATTTGATGGTGTTCTTGAACTTTTGGTCCGTGCTGGTAGAAGTCTACCTGAAGCTGTTATGATGATGATACCTGAGGCATGGCAAAATGAAAACAACATGGACCCCGATAAAAAGGCTCTGTATGAATATTTCTCTGCCCTCATGGAGCCCTGGGATGGACCTGCTCTTATATCTTGTGAGATTCTGTACAGGTGCATACTAAATAGAACTCCATCTAACATAGTAACTCTTACGACGTGTTCTGATTTTATCTTACAGTTACGGATGGTCACTATCTCGGAGCAACACTGGATCGTAATGGTCTGAGACCTGGTCGCTTTTACATCACACATAGTGGACGTGTTATCATGGCCAGTGAAGTAGGTGTCGTAGACATTAGTCCTGCAGATGTGTCGAGAAAAGGAAGGCTCAACCCTGGAATGATGCTTTTAGTGGATTTTGAAAATCATACCGTTGTTGATGATGAGAAATTGAAGAAGCAGTACTCACAAGCCAGACCATACAGGGAATGGCTTAAGAGACAAAAGATTTCTCTTGAAGAAATTGTCAATTCCTATCCTAAAAGTGATAGGATCCCTCCAAGCATATTTGGGACTGCACCAGTAAGTCTATGTATTGTTATTTGAAGGAATTGTATTTCATGTTTTGTTTGCATATATGAGATTGTTTATTGTTCTTAGGCTCAAAATCATGATGAGAACATGGAGAATATGGGAATTTGTGGTCTTTTGGCCCCGCTTAAAGCCTTTGGGTAACTTAAAACTTAGCAAAGTTACCTTTTAGTTCATTCTACTTGCATAAAGATGTATGTCCTGAAATTGATTACTTGCAGCTACACTACTGAAGCTTTGGATATGCTGTTGTTGCCCATGGCAAAAGATGCCACTGAAGCTCTAGGTTCTATGGGAAATGATGCTCCCTTGGCTGTGATGTCGAACAGAGAAAAACTTTCCTTTGAGTACTTTAAGCAGATGTTTGCTCAAGTTACAAACCCTCCAATTGATCCAATTCGAGAGAAAATAGTTACATCTATGGAGTGCATGATTGGTCCAGAAGGCGATCTTACTGAAACCACTGAAGAGCAGTGTCATCGCCTCTCATTGGAAGGGCCTCTTTTATCCATTGATGAAATGCAAGCTATAAAAAAGATGAACTATAGAGGTTGGCGCAGCAAGGTGCTTGACATCACATATCCCAAAAAGCATGGTCGAAAGGGTTTAGAGGAAACCCTGGACAGGATTTGCTTGGAAGCTTGTGATGCAATTCATGGGGGCTATACAACTCTTGTACTGTCTGACAGAGGTGAGAGGTTGAGAAATTTAGTGTATTCATCATCTTTGACTGTGTAAGCGCACGATAACAATCATGTCCCTATATTGTACTTTTTTGTGTTTTGTTCATCTCTAGTCATGTTACTTTCAGCAATCACCTCTTTTCATTCTCCTTTTTTATAACCAGATTGTTCTTGCACACTTGTCTTATTGATCGATTTCAGTTTACATGCTGTCATTATCTCTCTGATTTCCTTACTCTTTCATTGGATATTGTGATCCTTATTTCTTCCTTGTATCAATTACATGCTGCCGGATGTTTCTGATATTTCATATTATGAATTGTAATGTTAAAAAGAGGGTCACTCCATGTCTTTGATATAGGTTTTTCATCCGACCGTGTTGCGGTAAGTTCCCTCTTGGCAGTTGGTGCTGTTCATCAACATCTAGTCTCAACACTAGAGAGGACACGCATTGGATTGTTAGTGGAATCTGCAGAGCCACGTGAAGTGCATCATTTTTGTACTCTTGTTGGATTTGGTGCAGATGCTATCTGCCCATATTTGGCCATAGAGACAATTTGGCGATTGAAGATTGATGGAAAAATCTCTCCTAGAGCGGATGGCAAGTTTCATTCCCGAGAGGATCTTGTCAAGAGGTACTTCAAAGCAAGCAACTATGGAATGATGAAAGTTCTTGCCAAAATGGGAATATCCACTCTTGCATCTTACAAGGGAGCACAGATTTTTGAAGCTCTAGGTCTTTCTTCTGAGGTGATCCAGAAATGCTTCAAAGGAACACCAAGTAGAGTTGAAGGTGCAACATTTGAAATGCTTGCTGGGGATGCCCTTCGTCTTCATGAATTGGCATTTCCAACCAGAGTTTTGCCACTGGGAAGCGCAGAAGCATTGGCATTGCCTAATCCTGGGGATTACCACTGGAGAAAGGGAGGTGAAGTGCACCTTAATGACCCCCTTGCAATTGCTAAGTTACAGGAGGCGGCCAGAGCTAATAGTGTTGCAGCATACAAAGAATATTCTAGGTGTATACAGGAGCTGAACAAGACATGCAATTTGCGTGGTATGCTTAAGTTTAAAGATGTTTGTGCAAAGATTGCCTTGGATGAAGTGGAACCTGCTAGCGAGATTGTTAAGCGATTCTGCACTGGAGCTATGAGTTATGGTTCAATATCATTGGAAACGCACACTACTCTAGCTATCGCAATGAATAAGATTGGAGGAAAATCTAATACTGGTATGATTCTATTCAGAGAGGCGATAGAATCTTTTGAGAAACTGATTTTTCATAATTAGTAGCATCACCTGTTCACACCTAGGCCATCTGGAAGGATTGTAGCTTCTTTCGTTCCAAGACTGCATAAATTGTTTTCATCTGATTAAGAGAACTGCTTTGTTATATGCGGTTGGCTCCTTAGTTTAGTGCTTCCTGCTAATTTATCATTGATCCTTTATATTCAGTGGAAGTAGCCTTTCAGAACTTATAAACTGATGTTTTCTGTTCTAAAGTGTTCAACTATTGAAGCAGTCATATATTTAACGAGTAATTCAGAAATTTCTGCTACTTTGCTTCAAAGTATTAAGCAATTCAAGGCCCCTTGCTGTTCTTTCGTGTGTCAGTAACTTTCAGTTATACCATACCTATATTAGGATGTTTTAAAAAATGAGAACATTGGTCTACATGTTCAGTCCGTCTAATGCTTTAATTTATTTATACATTAAAAAAAATAGATCAAAATTTTTACAAGGAAAATGCAAGATTATAGGTTGCAAACTTGGTGCCTCTTGATTGTTTTTTTGTTTGACAATATTTGGCTGAGGGAGAGAGAAATTGTCGTTTATCTGGTCATTCTAACTTATTTCTGGTCCCTTCTTTTTTGAAGGAGAGGGAGGTGAGCAACCTTCTCGAATGAAGCCTTATTCAGATGGTTCCATGAATCTAGAGAGGAGTGCGATTAAACAAGTGGCAAGTGGCAGGTTTGGAGTGACAAGCTACTACCTAACCAATGCTGACGAACTCCAGATAAAGATGGCTCAGGTAATTACCACATGCTCAACAATCCTTGTCCAATAAATCTTCTTTATATGAAATTTGAACAATGGGGACTCTTCTACCTTTGCGCCTCCTCTTTCCTCCTATTGGAACATAAGTTCCTCTTGTTTTTGTATCTATGTTCATGGACAGATGATGCCGAGTCTACAAAGCATTAATGTGTCTTTGTATAACTGATGAATACCTTAGCAATTTGGTGAGGTCATTTTTTTCTGGAATTTATGCTGCTTGTCTTGTGCTTTTGTTCAACAGACTTCTGCTGTTGTGCAGGGTGCCAAGCCTGGTGAAGGAGGAGAACTTCCAGGTCATAAAGTTATTGGCGATATTGCGGTCACGAGAAATTCCATTGCTGGTGTGGGCCTCATTAGTCCTCCTCCTCACCATGATATATATTCAATTGAGGACCTTGCACAACTTATTCATGACCTTAAGGTATTTGATCATGATAAATTAACACTCCTCTTAAATTGGTTTCCTATGTTGGTGATTAATAAAAATATTTTGTTGTATAAAGATTGATAATGTAGTAATTTTCCTGCTTCAGTTACATTTTATGGTCTTTGTAATTCCTTTCTATGAGAACTTGTTGCCAGTAAGACAGCATGAGGAGCTTTGCAAATTGCATTTTGGTTTGCTCGTATGACAGTCTTTGCATTCATGTAACATATCAATCAAATCCCTAAATTCTTTTTTCTTTTTGTAGAACTCAAATCCAGGTGCTCGAATCAGTGTTAAACTAGTGTCTGAGGCTGGCGTTGGAGTAATTGCTAGTGGAGCTGTGAAAGGGCATGCGGACCATGTTTTGATTTCTGGCCATGATGGAGGCACCGGAGCTTCTCGTTGGACTGGAATTAAAAATGCAGGGCTTCCTTGGGAGCTGGGGTTGGCAGAGACACATCAGACTCTAGTTGCAAATGACCTCCGTGGCCGAACAGTCCTGCAAACTGATGGCCAGTTGAAAACAGGCAGAGATGTTGCAATTGCTGCTTTACTTGGTGCAGAGGAGTTTGGTTTCAGCACTGCACCTCTGATAACTCTTGGTTGCATTATGATGCGAAAATGCCACCAGAATACTTGCCCAGTTGGCATTGCCACTCAAGATCCTGTACTTCGAAAAAAATTTGCTGGGGAACCTCAGCATGTCATAAACTTCTTTTTTATGCTGGCAGAGGAAGTCCGTGAGATCATGTCACAGCTGGGCTTCCGAACAATTAATGAAATGGTTGGTCGTGTTGACATGCTTGAGATTGATAAAGAGTTGATTAAGGGCAATGAAAAATTGGGAAATATCAATCTGTCATTGCTGCTTAGACCTGCAGCTGATATTCGACCAGGAGCTGCTCAATACTGCATTCAGAAACAGGATCATGGACTGGAGATGGCAATAGATCAGGAGCTTATCTCTCTATCAAAAGTTGCACTTGAAAAAGGCCTTCCTGTCTATATTGAAAAACCAATCTGTAATGTAAATCGTGCTGTTGGTACCATGCTTAGCCATGAAGTCACTAAACATTATCAATTGAATGGGTTGCCTTCAGATACCATACATATTAAGCTGGTTGGAAGCGCTGGTCAAAGCCTAGGGGCCTTTCTATGCCCTGGAATCACCCTTGAGCTTGAAGGTGACAGCAATGACTATGTTGGGAAAGGATTATCCGGTGGCAAGATCATAGTATATCCTCCAAGAGAAAGCCAATTTGATCCAAAAGAAAATATTGTCATAGGAAATGTTGCATTATATGGAGCCACAAGCGGGGAGGCATATTTTAGTGGAATGGCAGCAGAAAGGTTCTGTGTCCGTAACTCAGGTGCTAGAACAGTTGTTGAAGGCGTTGGAGATCACGGGTGTGAGTATATGACTGGTGGTATTGTTGTTATTCTTGGAAAAACTGGGAGAAACTTTGCTGCAGGTATGAGCGGTGGAATCGCTTATGTTTCTGATGTCGATGGGATGTTTCACACAAGATGTAATCTTGAATTGGTTGATCTTGAAAAGGTTGAGGATGAGGAAGATATAACAACATTGAGAATGATGATACAGCAACATCAGCGTCATACGAGCAGTGTGTTAGCAAGAGAAGTCCTTTGCAACTTTGGCGCTTTGTTACCCAAGTTTGTGAAAGTATTTCCGAGAGACTACAAGAGAGTTCTTCAGAAATTTAAGATAGAGCAAGTTGCCAAAGAGGCCAAGGAACAAGAAGAAAAAGAAATGATGGAGAAGGATGCGTTTGAAGAACTCAAGAAATTGGCAACAGTGTCTTTGAATGGGAAGGTAAAATACTTCATGACAGTGATAGGAATTGTTTCTGGTTTTCAAAATTTTTCCTTATAAAGATAGTCAAAAATCTCTGCAGTAATATTATCTCAACCCATATTTTCTATAATTGTATCTTTCATCCTGCTTTCTTGATCATGTCCATCGTTGGTGTTAATATGGTGGTAATTCTCCCCTAATTTTCTTTCTTAGGGATTTTTTATTGATTCTGCAAAATTATTCATGCTTTCAAATACCATTTGATCCAAGAAAATTTACTTCTTCCTGTATAAAATCTGTTGAATTTTGACTTGCAAAGCCAGTGTTAGATTTCCTTTGGAGTGATAGACTTTAAAACTAAATAGAGTATTTGAATCTACAGAAGGCAGAAGAATTAGCTGCACCAAAAAGGCCAACGTTGGTTGATAATGCTGTCAAGCATCGAGGTTTTATTGCTTATGAGCGGCAGGGTATTTCATATAGGGACCCTAATGATCGAATTAAAGATTGGAAAGAAGTTTTCATGGAATCGAAGCCTGGTCCACTAATGAAAACCCAATCTGCTCGCTGCATGGACTGTGGAACTCCTTTTTGTCATCAGGTAATATGAAATTATTTGCACCAAATCATGGATGCCATTTGATGTTCTTTTGTATTGATGATGTTATTCGACTCAATGTAGTTTATTCTGTTGTCCTATTTCTCAATGTTGATATCTATGTCCAAAATATTTGGTCGTCTCTTATATTTTACTCTTACGTATTAGAGTTTGATATGATCTCGGTAAGAGTTACATAGGTCTATTCCTATAGTATAACAGGTTATTACCTTGAAAACACTAAGTTGTTGTAGTCTAAAACTGTCAGTCATTGCAGATTATGCTGTTATCCAAAAATTTTAGTAACATAAAAACAATAGAATACTAAAACTTATCATAGGTCATAAATATTATTAGGTTCTCAATTCTATCTGTATTCTTTTATTTAATATCTAACAATTTTAGAGTTATTTAATTTTATGCAAGATCAGTTAACAAATTTTGTTAACTGATCGGTTTATGTAGACCTAAAGCAGATTATTATTTTTAATCTGTTTTCTAATGCATAGAATTATGTTCTTCTAAATGCACAACCAAAATTGTAGCTTGAAATTTTTTATTGTATTGTTAGGTTTACAATGGCATAATATAATATAAAATGATAAGTATATTTGAATCATACATTCACAACCATTTTTATGTTTACAACAGCTTTTAGGAATATAGAACACTGTTATTTTTATTTTGGTTATAAAATTGTTGCTTATGATGTCTTAAAGAACCTAATTGCATAAAGAGCATCAACTAGTAATTAAGTCCATCTCAGTCAGTTTTACCCGTACAATTAGCAATAAAAAATGGGCCTAGTTAAACTATGCAAAATACATTGTATTTTGGAGTAGATTTTTATCGTTATGCTTTTAGGTCCAGCAAGATAAAGCTTGCAAGAGGCTTTTGTACTGTCTTTAGCCGGAATGGTAATCTTGATCTTGATCTTGATGAGTCTTTGCTGGATGTTTGACTTTCTAATAGTTCTGTTCCTCTTTCCTTTGATGCCATAGAGCAGAAATTTCTTTATGCCTCATTGTTGCTGGGTGGGGCTTTCATAACTTCCTACCTGTGGTTCAGATCAATGCCTGGGCATATATGTTTCAGTACCTTCATTTATGCTATATATAATTACATCTTAAATATTTTTTTAATCACTTTCATCTTGCAGGAGACTTCTGGGTGCCCTCTTGGGAATAAGATACCAGAATTTAATGAACTGGTCCATCAGAATAGGTGGCGTGAAGCTGTGGATCGGCTTTTGGAGACAAATAACTTCCCAGAATTTACTGGTCGAGTCTGCCCTGCTCCTTGTGAAGGATCATGTGTTCTCGGCATCATTGAGAATCCTGTATCTATTAAAAGCATAGAGTGTGCCATCATAGACAAGGCATTTGAAGAAGGATGGATGGTACCTCGTCCTCCACAACAGAGAACAGGGTAATTTTTCCTTATTTTTGCTATGTCAAGCAATCATCATATATTCGTGGATGTTACAATGGATATATCGGATAGTGGAGTCACCAATGAGCCATGTGCCTTACATGATGCCTATTAGCAAACGATTTTGGTTTTTGATGAAAAATCAATGCCTTTATACGTGGAAGATCGTTACACCCCAAACTCCCCAACTTTTGAAGTGGGATGATGATAGTGAAGAGATAGGGCTAGCTGTTTCTGCTGCTAACAACTGTGCTCAAGCATGTTGGCCACTTGGTTCCAGTTTTGTTATATCCAAGTTGTTGAGTTAGTAAGTTGACCAGGTTGGATTGTGAGTTTGTGACAATATCAATGGAAATACCCAATATTCTTTACTGATCTGATGGTAAGGGTTTTAAAAGATTTCTTACATAAAATTATTCCATTCTCATTGAATGAGTAATTGTTCCAGTCTTGGAAGCATTCAATCGTTCCAAGGGTGCTGCAGTTGTCCTTTTCTTCCGTAGATTGGTTGAGTTCCCTTTTGTTGTTTCAATTGTATCCCTGAAGTCATTAAACTTGTGCAGAACCACCTGTTCTCTGTTAGCAAGATACTCTATGACAGATAAGTAATAATGCACTGAAACATATATAATCTCATGAATTTGCTTGCCACCATATATAAGAAAGATATCTTCAATCGATGTCGTATTGTGGGTGCATCATTTATAAATTAGGTTATATGCCTGTTTTTCCTTATATGTATTGATTTGGATGCTTCATTCTTGTGGTGGTAAATTTTTCATTGATCAGTTATTTATATTAACAAGCAGTTTATTGGTCTCTTTCATTTGTTTCAAACGATATGTATATGTATATGTATATGTATATGTATATGTATATGTATATAGTGAAACAGTTGTATGCATAAGATGGGAACGAATTGGCTTTTCTTACTTGTGAATGTTGTAATTTAGATGGTTAATTTATTGACGTATTGGCTTTGCTTACTTCTGAATGTTGTAATTTATATGGTTAATTCATTGACGTATCTTGGATAACTGATACAGAAAGAGAGTTGCCATTGTTGGTAGCGGTCCAGCTGGTCTTGCTGCTGCTGATCAGTTGAATAAAATGGGTCACTTGGTCACCGTTTATGAACGTGCTGACCGCATTGGTGGCCTAATGATGTATGGAGTTCCAAACATGAAGGCTGACAAGGTTGGGATTGTTCAGCGCCGTGTAGACCTAATGACTGCGGAAGGTGTTAAGTTTGTGGTCAATGCCAATGTTGGAATTGACCCCACGTACTCCCTCAACCGTCTTCGTGGTGAGAATGATGCAATTGTGTTGGCTTGTGGAGCTACAAAACCAAGGTGATACAAGTTTCTGCAAAACTTGCTTTGGATATACGCAGATAATAACAAAGTTAGATAACCCTTTTATTTGACTTAAGCATGCATCTTTTCTTAAAGCACTCAATTATATATCATGCTAGATTTTCAACACAAAAGCAAAATAAATGCTGCACATTGTTTCAGTTTTTTTTTTTTTGCATTTATGAGGAATCCTTTTAGGCATGGAATTAATCCTGTTGATTCTCTTACGGATTCTGAGTCATCTTTGTTTCCTAAAAATTTTCCCATGCCTATTTATTCCATGCCTAAAAGGATATTTATACTATTTCTGAACCCCTGAAAGTTTGACAAACTTTCACCTCCATGTATAAATATTCTTTTCCCGAGTAATGAACCCCAGTCTGGATTTAGTTATCGTTCAAATTCCTGCCAAACCTGCAATTATTATGATGTTTGCAATGAATAACATGCTTACTTTTATGTTATGTTACTGTGGTGTCTTGACTGATGTATACCATAATATCTTTCTGTCGATGCTCGGTTATCCTCTTAAATGTAAAAGCCACTTTGACCCTGGTGTATCATGGGATGGGCGGGTGCACTAAAAATGCTTCTTTGTGCAGGGACCTTCCTGTTCCTGGACGAGAGCTCTCTGGAATTCATTTTGCGATGGAGTTTCTTCATGCAAACACCAAAAGCTTGCTCGATAGCAATCTGCGGGATGGTAAATACTTATCTGCCAAGGGGAAGAAGGTGATTGTGATAGGTGGAGGAGATACAGGAACGGATTGTGTAGCGACATCCATCCGACATGGCTGCAACAACATGATAAATCTAGAACTCCTTTCTAAGCCACCTCAGGAAAGAGCACCGGGCAATCCGTGGCCCCAGGTACATCTCTATCCCTTGGTACCACTAATTCATTCATATGTTAGGATTGTCTTTTTGGATAAAATTCAACCAAATTTCGTCATCACACAAGTGCCAATGATGATTCTGATTGTGTTCCATGTTATATACATGGTAAGATCATAGTGGTAACGGGGTTGTTTTGTCTTGTCGCAGTGGCCTCGTATTTTTCGAGTGGATTATGGTCACCAAGAAGCTTCAGCTAAGTTCAGAAAAGACCCACGATGCTATGAGGTCCTGACGAAGCGATTCGTGGGAGATGAAAATGGAGCTGTGAAAGGCCTGGAGACGGTACGCGTACACTGGGAACGGGATAGCAGTGGCAAATTCCAGTTTGATGAAATCAAGGGTTCGGAAGAGATGATAGAGGCCGACTTGGTTCTCTTAGCTATGGGTTTCCTTGGCCCTGAATCGGTGAGTTCTTTTTTCCGTCACGTACTTACTATCTTTCTAGCCCTTTACTATCATCTATCTGGGTGGTTGGCCCCTTTCTTGAAGTTTAAGCTCTGGTGGAAGTCAATCTTGTGTCTCCCTTGGGTATCTGACTCGAGCTAGCTATCGACCATTCTCGCAGACAATTGCGGATCAGCTGGGTCTAGAGCGAGACAACAGGTCAAACTTCAAGGCTGACTATGGGCGTTTCTTGACCAGCGTCGAGGGGGTGTTTGCTGTAGGAGACTGCAGGAGGGGGCAGTCGCTCGTGGTTTGGGCAATCAACGAGGGCCGGCAAGCCGCCTCACAGATAGACAAATATCTGATGCTTCTTACGAGTAGGGAGACTCCATCCAAAAAGTTGCCAGCGTAGAAATACTTTTAGCGATGGGGCAGTCGCTCGTGGTTTGGTTTGCTTCTTTGCTGATGCTGATGCTTCAAAGCAAGAAGCTCTCTCCCTCGTACGTACGTACGTTCCAGGATGGGTCAGAAGGCTTAGAAATACTTTTTAGCGATGGTGGTGTTATTAGATTGATTGATGGTGCCGATTTACAAATAGATTTGGTGGTCTTTTATGATTTCTTTTTCTTTTTTTTGTCCTTCTGCATGATATATATTTTTTGTATGTGGATGCAATAAAGAATGTACAGTTTCTCCTCTCTTTTTTTTTTCCAAAAATAAAAAAAAGAGAATTGATTGAGAAGAGGCATCATAGCAAGTCTGTTGTGGGTATCGAGCATTTAATACCTGGATCCGTATCCACATCCCGATTCACGAACGAAGTTAATAGCTGAGGCTGAGGTTGAAGCGCATACATACTTGCGACAAATGAGTTGCAGTCCCCCCATAACATCAATCAGATAATGAAATAAATTGTGTGAGAGAGACTGCTTATCCACCTCATCCATCCATCCATCCATGTTATATAATAATGGTGAATGAAGCGTGTACTTTTGTTTCCACACCCAACTCCTTTCTCCTCTTGCATCTTAATTGCCATCATCATCATCATCATCCTCCTCCTGTTTTTACCTTTTATTCGAATCGAAATACGGATGGAAATTAGGAATGAGATTGCCCTTTCAGCCACCGCTAGCCGTACATATTACGTATGTGTGATGCCTCCCCATTACTACTACTTTCTTCTTCTGTCGCGTCCATTCATCGAAATCAATAAATGTCAAATGGACCATCTCCATCCGATCCGGGAGGGAGGGAGCCACCGTACACGGGATTCGGGAGGGCATCAGGACGCCGTCGGATGGACATCACCCACCGTGCCCCACATGTCATTCCAGATGTTCCACGCCCACTTGGTGCGACTTCGTCGGCCTCAACACTAACGTAAAACCACCGGCAACAGCCGGTCAAACCTCGACTTTGTTAGGAGCGACTAGTTGTGACTGCAGGTGTCTCCAAGTCCAACCCACCTCCACCACCACCTCCGCCTCAGCCTCCAGCCTCCAGCCACCAAATCTATTGCGGTCGCCTCTCCTCAACCCCCCACCCCAACTCCCCTGCCCCGCCCGTCACTCTTTATTTGGATCACCCACCTCTATAAATAGCATCGCCGACTTGGGATTCCTTGTTTCAGTTATAGATAGGGCTGGAGAGACGAGGGACGGGGAGATCCATCGGTGGCGGCGGAGAGATGAAGCACCTTCTAGAGGTCGAGAAGGGACGGGAGGCCACCGACGGCCGACCCTCCGTCGGTCCCGCCTACCGCAGCGCCTTCGCCAAGGATGGCTTCCCCCCGCCCATCCCCGGCGTCGACAGTTGCTGGGACGTCTTCCGGTACGCGTTCATCCCCATCCTTCCTCCCTCGGTCGATCTCGATCTGTATCTCTCCCCCTCCCCTCCCCTCTCCTCTCCATCATCGCCGACTCTCGCCTTTCCGTTCTTGATTCGTTTCTTCTTTCGGAGGAAATATATACCGTGTTTGGGAAGAATTGATGCTAGCGAGTCTGATTGGTTTCCCTCCCCCGTTGATTCAGCTTGTCCGCCGAGAGGCATCCCGGGAACCGGATGCTTGGCCGCCGCGAGGTTGTTGATGGGAAGGTCGGGCACGACGTCACGGTTTCTTTCTCGTCGTCTTATTCTATCGTTTGCTTCGATTCGGCTTTGACCTGTGCTTCTGCAGGCGGGTGAATATGTCTGGATAACTTATAAGGAGGTGTATGACACTGTGATCAAAGTTGGGGCTTCCATCAGAAGTCGTGGGGTCGATCAGGTAACGATGCTCGTCACTCTCTCTCTCTCTCTCTCTCTCTCTTTGTTCTGCGTGGAGTTAATGGTCTGGTTGCTGACCGACATGTTTACTGACAAAATGGTCTTCCGCGGAAACTACCAGCATATTGTAAAATCTTGACTACGAAGATAGATATGAGTTTGTGTTTACATATCCCTAACTAGTTCAGTTTCATGGGCTCTGTAATCTCTTGCCATCACAATGTTATTCTATCTATAAATGCTTGATCTGATACTCCACCAACCTCTCCACATATAACTGCCGTGATATCCATAATTGGTCTAGAGTGTTCCACATATCACTGCTGACACCGAATTCTTCATGGTAGAGTATCATTCGTTACTACCAATTTTGTGGAATAGCTTCCGACAAGTGATGTTACACCATAGTTCTTTTTGCAAGTGCGGTCCTTTTTGGAACTGGTGGTCAAAAACATACTTGAGAACTGTATGGCAACAAGAGGGGAAAAAAAAAAAAAGGAGCGAAACTTGGTCTTGGTTTACTGGTTAGCTACCCTCCTCGCTTTTGAGTTCGAAACCTTGTGGAGGTGATGCAAAATGATTTCACCCAGGTAATTCTCATGATGGGTGATTATCCACCATGTTATGAGAACAGGGGAGGAAACGGGAACGGTTTCACATTTCATCGAGTTCTGTTCGCTGAAATGGAGATCACGGTCATTGTTGTGTGTTCAAATGTGACCAAAACTACACATCCAACCATGACTAACATGCCAAATTAGTGCTGGTTGTCATTTTCTAGAACTTCCCTTCCAAAAATTGGTGTTAGGACTTCTGATGCTAGTTGCAAACTTGCAACTGGGATGTGTCGCAATATCCTAATTGTTGATGCAGCAGAAATAACTGTTGGAATGCTGAGGACTTTCCATTTCACATTTTGTTATTTAATTCTGAATTTCCTTCAGATTTATGTGTCTGACTTTAGTTATACTTAAACTAATCTTTGAGTTAACATGCTTATGGTACAACCAGTCAAGATATCTATGTTGATGATCTGTAACGAGATGCTTAAATTTGATACCTGACAAGGAACATTCATATTTCAGGTGTGATAACTTAACCAGCTCCAGTGCGTAGTGTTAGAGCTGTCATATTATCCCAAAATTATTATAGCCATTAGCTCAGTTTGCCCTTGATATTCTACATTGCCATAATTTATGAGGGATATTTGGAAAATTGTGCCATCAGCATTATGCCAACATTCGTACTTAGCTGGCACACAGAACATGTGCAACATTGTATGGATGTCGTACTATTTCTTGTTTCATAGTTTGTGTTGTACTGCCAATCAAGCATCAAAATGCCAGCAGTGAGTTATCTCTATCTTGAGATTAAATGGCTGATTTAAGAGTTCATGAACTTCATCGTAGTGTTAGACTCCAGTACGTCACTTGGGTGTTCTACCTATCTTAGAAGTATGGTGTTAAATTTTTGGTCCGACTTCTTTGTAAGCCACCCCAGTACTTCTGTCCTTCATGCTATCCTTATTTCTATTTGTATGGAGCTTAAAGTTCTATGGAATGATTTTCATTCTGCATCTTGCTATGAACCGTGTTTTGTTCTTCTCCAAAATCGAGCCTTGCATGCAATGTTGATTCACTCCCAGTGTTTTTGTGTACTTTGAAATCACGTGCTTCTTTGTATGAACAACATATGATTGCTTATACTAGGTTAAGTGCAACTTACGCCTGTTCAAGATGTCAGCTTGTTCACTTACTAGCATCTAGGGAAGTCATTTCATGTTTTCCTTCTAAAGAAATATGATGTAGTAATATGGCACTGATTTTATTGATGAAGACTGTTGAATCTCACTAGAAAATCTGTAATTGCTCCTTTGCAGGGTGGTCGCTGCGGTATCTATGGTGCTAACTGTCCCGAGTGGGTTGTTAGTATGGAGGTAAAATGTGCTTTACATTTGAGCATGTCTTTCCAGTGACCAGTCAGCTGCAATATTTTTAACTGCCTCTGTTAAAACTGAGACTTCATATGATTTGATAATGGAAAATGATTGTGTTTTCAACTATTACTGTAGTGTGGGGCTTTATTTCTTATCCAATCATCATCCTATTTGTGAAGTTTGAAGCAAATAATTGCCCAAGCAGACCACAATTTGTTTTTGTTTACTATTTAGTTTCTTTCTTGACTTTGCAGGCATGCAACGCTCATGGGATATATTGTGTCCCTTTGTATGATACACTTGGTAAGTAGGACTACATTCTTAGCAGATTTTTCCATGGATTCTAAAGCAACAATGGTTAAAATTTGATGTAGGAGTAGGAGCAGAAGCTACTGTCTGCTTGTTGACATTGCACATACAATATTAATTGCATTTTGCATTGGTTACAGGTGCTGGTGCAGTAGAATTTATTTTATGTCATGCGGAGGTTCAGATTGCTTTTGTAGAGGAGAAAAAGATCGCAGAGGTACATTTATGTCATCTTAGCTTATTAAATGTTTTTTCCTGGCATAGAAAAATGTTTAAGCAGTCTCTCATGTATAAATCTCAGTGAATACTGTTGCAGTACCTCACACGCCATGCAAATGAAAACAACAAAAATGAGTCCTAATTAGTGTCGGCTACATAGATCATTTCTGCCATTGAAATAGCTAGGAGAATGACTTTAGCACAATGATTGATTTGTTTGCTAATGTGAAAAGTACCATATGCCTGCTGGTACTAATAATCCACAAATTTTCCAGGTGCTGAAAACTCTTCAAAATTCATCCAAATTTTTGAGAAGTAAGTTGATGTATTTTATTAGTTCCAACACCAATCTTTGTTACTCCTTTATGTTGATACAATTATTATCTATTTACAGCAATTGTCAGTTTTGGCAAGGTCACCCTTGAACAAAGAGAAGCAGTTGAAAAGTCTGGTTTGGCAATATTCGAGTGGGATGAATTCTTGCTCTTGGTAGGTTAATTTTGTTTAGTTATGAGGTTTGTTGTGTTGAAATGATTATTAAGCTCCAAATAATCACCTTTCATCTAGGCATTTAGTATCTTATGAGAGATTCAGCATGTGTACATTCACCTCTTATGCATCATTCCCATGTTAGCAAGGTTTTCTATAAATTCTGTATCGTTCCAATTTTATCGGATGTCTCCGACGAGACAGGTTTTCTATAAACACTCCAGCAAATTTTATTGGAGAAATTATTAAAGTGAGTTGAAGCTTGATTTACTTTCCAAAGACACGCCAAAAGTAGTTTAATTAGTTCGCATTGGAAGCTGAAATAAGAAGGCACTTGAATGTTAGTTATAGTGGGCTATTTTCTCTCTGACTTGAGCAAAAGAAGATCCCTTGCCTGTATCCTAAGCTTCATATTTGTATGTGTCCTGCTACTTTTTTGTGCTCTGATCTGTGTGAACTCTTGGATGCTTAGGTTATAGGAGTAATTGACTATTCATCGCAAAATCATAAACCGAAGGACTTGGATAGAAGTCAAGCATGTTTAGTAGCTGAGTATTTGCTACGAAACTAAAGGTTCTACTGTTAATTGCTGTTGGACAGTATGGTACTTCAATTTGGAACTATTTAACTTTCAAGAACTGATGCTAAATAACTAATAGTTCTTATGAGCTATTAACATGTTGGAGTCATACTGCTGAATAAGCTTGGTGGTAAATGAAGAGATAATGCACTATCTAAAGGTGTTATCATAATGCTTTCAATATGACTTCTGAATACTCATGAGCTTCTGCAGTTTGCACGTATATCATGGTTACTTTTTCTATGAGAAATACTTGCATCTTTTTGAGAAGTGCTGATCTGTTTAGATCAAATCTGGAATTTTGGGTTTTCTTGTCTATGATTTTCACAAGTTCATTCTACATGTTAGAGAATGGCTTTGCTGCTACTTATGTGTGCCACATACAGGGATGCAATAATCATTTTGATCTGCCTGTGAAGAAGAAGGATGACATATGTACCATTATGTATACCAGTGGGACTACTGGTGATCCCAAGGGTGTCATGATATCCAACAATAGCATAATTACTCTTATCTCTGGGGTAGATCGCCTTCTTCATTGTGTGAATGAGCAGGTAATTCTGCTTTCTGTTTTTTATATCTCTAAACTATGACTTAGAGCTCGAACAGCTTACTTTGCTCTGTGAATCAACTACTGTTTTGGAGCAAGCTGTCAATTTTATCGATAATTCCTTTTCTTTTTTCCCTTCTTGTTTTGCTCATATCTACTTTAAATTCTTACAGTTGCATGAAGATGAGGTTTACATGTCATATCTCCCCCTTGCACATATCTTTGACCGTGTGATTGAAGAGCTGTTTATATTCCATGGAGCTTCAATTGGATTTTGGCGTGGGGTAAGTCTTGCAGTTTAAGATTCTACCTTTGCTGATCAGTAGCTCTTACTCAGTTACATGTTTCATATTCAGGATGTCAAATTATTGGTCGAAGACATTGGGGAGTTGAAGCCAACCATCTTTTGTGCTGTTCCACGTGTGCTGGACCGCATTTATACAGGTACTGTTTGGATGTTTCAATGCCCAGTATTTGAGCGCAAGCTGTAAATCTAAGTGTTTGCATCAATCGTAATCAATAAATGGTACTAATGTTTCATTAAGCCGTTTGACTTTAGGTCATTGAATGTGCACTTGGAACAGTATGCTCTAAATAGTTGGAATGTATATACCTCTTTACCCTATATCCTTGACATCTCTGGTATAGCATGCACTTGCGTATGGAATTTTCCATGTCATGCTGTGGTCTGGCATAGACATGACTTGTGGGATGGGGATTAGGCTGAACATAACTTGACTTTAACTTGACTTAGCCGTGGTTTCGTCGGAATTTGCTTGATTCCTGATTTTGATCTGGCAAACAACTGTGGTTCATCTCATGAAATGCTGGTCAGCCAAAATGCCATCAGAACAGGGAGGGAAGAGGGGGAGGGAGATGAACCCAATGAAAAAAGAACTAACCTTGTGATGATCCTCTGGGCAATCTGGGAACCTCCGGCTTTCGCTTCTCTCTGGTTAGCGAGGTATCGTAATCTCATGAGCAGGAGCTTTGGGACAGCCTGCTCGCTAAAATGCATCAAGGACTTGATGAATTTTTGGATCCGACCAGACTAGTCTTCTGCAGAAAGGCCTGGTCCTCTTGCAGCTTGGGTCCCACTAGTGGCCAACATGCTTTACCTGATATTGGAAAATTGGATATGGTTCTCAATGGTATTTACTGCTGACCGATATGTGTATGCTTGTGAGCTTGTAAGGTGTACAGTGCAATCTGTTATCAGTGCACATTTTTCTAAGTACCTGACAGAGGAACCTAAATTGTTCTTCCTTTTTATACAGTTATACTGAAACTGCATATGGTTTCTAGCAATCAAGTGCTGTTGCCCATACTGACTAGCATTTGGACCCTCGGTTGTAATCGTAGACGTTTATCTTATTCACATATCATCCTCCACTTGTTTCACAGGACTGCAAACCAAGATTTCCTCTGGAGGCATGCTGAAGCAGACATTGTTTAACGTCTCTTATAAATAGTAAGTTTGTGTTCATCATTTAATTTTAAAACCGTAGCTAAGCCTCTTTTCATGGCACTGTGATTCTCTACATATCCATGCTCCCTGTCAATAGCTTTTGACTTTTTCATTCATCTGCCCTTTTTCCCAGTTGGAAAATTTGTTTGATGAGACATTTGTCTTTTGTGGTTATTTCTTGTTCGGTATAGCTATAATTTTGGATATTTGGTTTAAGATGTGAGTCATCTTTACTCTTTGGTGGTCTTGTGACTTACATGTGGATTGAGACTTGCAGCAAACTTCATAACATGATGAGAGGAAGTAAGCATGATGAGGCAGCTACAATTTGTGATAAATTTGTATTTAACAAGGTAATTGAAAAATACCAGATCTTTTTATGTAAACTTTATTTTCTGAATTTTGACTAGCAATCCTAATATTTTTTCTATATCTTACAAAAATGGGCTTACACAATTTATTTAGGTAAAACATGGGCTTGGTGGAAATGTCCGACTCATCTTGTCTGGAGCAGCTCCTTTAGCTACCCATGTGGAACAATTTCTACGAGTGGTGACATGTGCACATGTTTTACAAGGCTATGGTATAAAAGTGGTTGAATTTATATTTTTTACATTTTTCTGCATCCTTCTCACTGCTATAACAAAATGAATACACAGATTTATGCTCTTTAGGGAAATTCACAATTCACATGACAAAGTTTTCTATGTAAATCATGCTTTAGCAAGAATTTTTTTTTTCTTATTTACTGTTGCAACTTGCAACATTCTGTCACTGGACAAACCTCAACCATACAGAACACACTGTATCATATCAAAACAAATAATTCCCTCAAAATACTTGGTTCTTGACCTGATGTGATCTCATCTAAGTTGGTGCTTAAGATTTCTTTTGTCAAGAAACTGGTTTTCTGTTTAAACCATAAGGTCGGTTGGTTGTTCTAGTTTATGCTTACGAATTGGGAGCAATCTTTTTGCACATGTAGAAATAGATTACATAGTGGGAGAAATTTTAATTCTATGTAGGTTTTGCTTTTATTATCTAAGCCAGAATATGCAAGCCAAATAATTAGGTTTGGAACACAATGTCTTGCACTAATTTAATATGTTTAATTTGGTTATACTGTTTGGTAGTACTTTTATTTTTTTTGCACCAGATGTTATTTTTAAAAAAATATGTAGTAAACATTATAGATTTTAAGGATTTAAACTTGGAAAATGCTTGCAGAAATGCCAAATAACAAGCAAAAGAATATCCATTTATAGTCTCTATTACTAGGACTAAAGTACCGTGATGCATGGAAATTTGTGTAGAACATTATAATGTAGTTGTATGACACACTCCTGATTCAACAAGACACCCTCCAATCTTTGTGTTCTCCTGATGATGCAGACAAGATGAGCCCATGGTCCATGGCTCCCCTGAAAGTCCCTAACCCAACAAGAAAGCTTCTTTAAAATGTAGCTCAATTCAGTTAAGGATCCACTTTGACAAATACAGAACTGAAATATCAGAAAGATATAAAAAGTAGAGTTGTGAATGTTTCTGGTTCTTGCAGAACTCAATGCTTAGCCATCCATTTTGGTCATGGACCAGTATATATTATCTGGCATGTAAAGATACATGGAGATTTGCCAGGATATTTGTAAACCTTATCACCTCTGACATTGAGGGAGTCTTTCGTAACACATTTTGCATTAATATATTGTTCTTAGTTATTGGGAAGAAAATGATACATGGAAACTTTCTGTTACTACTCTAATAATAGTTAGGCGATTCTTGCTGTTACATGTAAGTTCTTGGAACTTCAAAGTTTTGGCCCAAAACACTAAATTCTTATGTAGAGCTTTGATGGAAATCATTACTAATGACTTATCTGTGCTATTTGTCCTTCAGTCTTTTATTCCAAAATGATGATTTGGTTGACTGAATCGGAAACCTGCTGTGTATGAGTAAGGATCTGTTGGTGTTCATCCTTGACCTTGTATAAATGTTTGGAAATATTAAAATCAGTTTGTCCTAAAAAATGTGAAGGTCTAGTATTTATTTAAAGGCTCATGTTTACTAGTAATTTAGCCTGAATAATTTCATTCGAAGGTGATGATTTTTTTGAAATTTGAGACCTACTTGAAGCATCTTAGTAGGTCATCTTATATATCCGATCAAAGAAGCATAATCTAAGTTGGCCATCATAGAAGTGTTTACCTTTAATTTCAGTTCTCTCTTTTACCTAGAGTTGTAGCCACTTGGTAGAACTATCTTCCATGCAATTGCTTCGGTAGAGTTCTTAGGCATTTTAACTCTCTTGATCTTCTAATGTTGGAGATGGGACTACAAGGCACACGAAATGTGCAACGTTTTAATAATAGTAAAACATTGAACATATTAAAGCTAAACTGTCTTTGTTTATCTCTACTGAAAGGATCATAAGGAAGACTTTGATCTGAATTTTCCTTGTAAGTACAATAAAGTAATTTTTTCAAGTATCCACTGGGATGATTTATTCAGTGTTATATGTGAAGAAATCCAGAAACATCACATAAATCAAATTCATATATGTATGTACAGATGCAACAGCAGCACAACAAGAAGCAGTAATGCCCCATCTATTTAGGTTCCATAAATAATCACAGAAAGATACTTCTATTTACACGTGTCCAAGGATGTTTGTGTATGCTAATCCATCTTTGTTATTTGTGTTAATATCTCATAAATCAGACGACTGAATTTGATATATTTTGTGCTGGAGTTTGTAGCTGAAGGCTGATTCCTTATCTTTCGATGGTAGGTCTTACGGAGACATGTGCTGGGACATTTGTGTCATTGCCTAATGACCTTTCCATGCTAGGAACGGTAGGACCACCAGTACCAAACGTCGATGTGCGTTTGGAGTCCGTTCCCGAGATGGGATATGATGCTCTTTCAGAAGTTCCTCGTGGAGAAATCTGCATCAAAGGAAATACTTTATTCTCAGGTTACTACAAAAGAGAAGACCTCACAGAAGAGGTTATGGTTGATGGATGGTTTCATACAGGTTTGTCTCAGCATCTATCTGTTGTGCATGGACATTTACTGAAGTCATCCTTACAATAAGATGAATGAATATTCACTGGTGAAGCTTTGAGTTTGGCTTTGTTGATTTTGAATTTTTGGTCCAAGAGCAGATATCTATCATAAGTATTGGTTACTCTACCATACATGTACCAATAGATATTGATTACTGACAGATGCCAACTCTTAGGGGGAAGGATTGCTTTGTTTATTTCCACCACACTATGTTTGGATGTAATGCTCTGGTTCTGGTCTTCATTATCTTTTGTTTTCAGGGGACGTTGGTGAATGGCAGCCGGACGGAAGTATGAAAATAATTGATCGTAAGAAAAACATTTTTAAACTTTCACAAGGAGAATATGTTGCGGTTGAAAATTTGGAGAACATATATGCCCTTGTTTCTGGTATCGATTCGGTATGTGTTTTCAAGTACCACCTCAGAAAGAATTATGCTTTGTATATGTACAAACGCAATTTTTATTTTAGCATGATTGGGGTAGAAACATCACGATCTCGTATTCTTAGTACGTTCTGTAAAACATTGTGATTCCATGTTTTTTCTATAGTTCAGTCAGTGATGAAGTGGCACTGTCATAGATTTTCACAATTATTTACTGTTATATGTTATAATTTCATGAGAAGCGAAAAGTTTGTTGACATTCTCAAAGCCGCCATTTAGCTAATTGTATGATCACATAGTGGTTAGGGATCACATTTATAAAATGCTTTATTTCCATAGTGTATGTTCATTATATCTCACCACCCACAAAATTTTTTTCAGATATGGGTATATGGAAATAGTTTCGAGTCTTTCCTCATTGCTATAATCAATCCCAATAAGCAAGCTCTTGAGCATTGGGCTGAACTGACTGGTATTACTGGGGATTTTGCAACGCTCTGTGAAAATCCAAAAGCGAAAGAATACATTCTGGGGGAACTAACTAAGATTGGGAAAGAAAAGAAGGTGACTTGGCCTAACTCTTAAGTTTCATTTTGCTCGGTAGATATTACTTGTATCATGTGAGAATGTTCTTTTTTGTTTCCTAAGATCCTCTATGTTAACTGATCTCATATCCTGGCAGTTAAAGGGCTTCGAGCTCATTAAAGCCGTTCACCTGGATCCAGAACCATTTGATATGGAGCGTGATTTGCTAACCCCAACATACAAAAAGAAGCGGCCACAGCTACTAAAGCATTATCAGGTACATGTCTGTTTTCTCTACCTCGTGGATTTTCTGCTAAGTTCCAGTTGGATTTTATTGTGTTTCAGAATATCTTAGAATTTGTACTGTACTTGGTGTTGAGAGTTCACTGGTTAGTATAATATGTTCTATATTTATACATCAACATATAGATAATATTTATTAGGAAATTTTCTGGATGATGTGTCTCAGTATATTTCCTCTACAAAATGTTCATTTGGAATTGGATTGGTCTGATCATCAACCACATCGGGGAGTCATCTGCTATTAACTTTACCAAATTATTGGCACCTCTTATGGTAGTTGAACATGTTGTTAGGGGAAATTTTTGTTCTATCTTTTGGAGATATATATATATATATATATAATTTGCTTAAAATAAAACTCTAAACTTTTCAAGCATTTAATAGATAATTCTTGTTCCTGAAGTTTACTCTCTGTTCCAGCTGTCATTGTCTTCTGCCTTCACCCTCACCATTCATGTTCTTGAAACAATAAACAGTTGAAACTGCGGCACTATATTCCTCTGGTAGAATACAAAAAAAAAAAGGCAAAAACTTGTTATCCTGTTTCTAAGACAAAAGTAGAGCATTAGATGTTCTTGGCACTCTTCATCCTATTAGAAGAGTGCAGTTAATCCATGGAATGCTAATGAATTTTTGTCGGGTTTCAGAGTGTAATTGATGAGCTGTACAAAAGCTCCAAGTGATTGGGTGGTTCTCAAGGCAGCCACCACCGGGTATGCAGCAGCAGCTCAGATACACACCATTTCATCTCGTAACTTAACAATCGTTCAATGTTTCTGCTGCTTTTACTCGTGTGATGTCTTATTGGAAAGATTCTTCATGTTGAGTTGGTTGAAGTTTCATCATGAGATGTAAGACACGCTTTGACACCATTTTCATCACAAGAGCAAATACATGTAATTCTAATAATAATCTCCATGTATGCATGCTAGTGTAAAGCCTACTTGTTGTGCACGCCCTAATTTTCCCTTTCTACCGAGATATAATAATAGAGCTGCTGTATGTATTACGCAAGAAGCATTCATTCTATTGGGTGTTGCGTGTTGGTTGTCCTTTTCATCATGAGATGCAGGGCTGAGCCAAACTTGGAAGAGTGGTGTAGAGCGAGCTTGAATAAATTGACCATAGTAAGAGTGTGTAAGAGTAGTATTGCACAAGGTTAAGTATTTGGGTCTTTTTGACTGCACTACCGGAAGATAAAAATCATAAATTACTAATGCCAACACATTTCTCTTTTCTCTAAATAGATAAAGGGCTACGTGTCACAACTTAAATTGTCGGTACATATAGTTGATGGACGTTGCATACTCTGTGTTGGACCCCGCATTCTCCGTGGTGGCAATGGAAAACAAAAAGTACTTGGGAGTCGGGGGTGTCCCAACTGAGATGGCCCCCAACCGTGCAGCCCCGCTTCGCCAATTCGACAAGGGCGTCGGAGTCCTCCTCTACAAGCGGTAGCCGTCGCCGTCGCCCCTTCGCCAATTCGAAAAGGGCGGCGGAGTCCTCCTCTACAAGCGGTCGCCGTCTCCTCCGCCCGATCCTGGGGTCTTCTCCTCCTCCTCCTCCTCCTCCTCGGATTGCCGTTCGCGCCTCGCGTTCAACAAGAAACCCAAAAGAAAAACCTAATCGGTGAATCACCTTCTCTGGAATCCCCCCCAAAACCCTTGGAACCACATGTATGAAATCTGTTTCTCCAACTGATCTGCTTCTGTTATTATTGTTTTCTTGCCTCGATTCCAGGTCGCAAGTTCCCGGGACGATCCTGGGCACTATTTACTCATTGTCTTCGTTCGATTCGGTTCGGTGGGGATGGGGATGGGGATGGGGATGGGGGGGAATGGAAATGGAAATGGAACCGGTACTGCGACAACACCTCGCTGGTACAGATCGAGGGGGGTGGACGCAAGGAGGAGGTCGCTTGGACTGTGGCAAGAGAAGGGCGTACAGGTACAAGGCCAATGGTGTATCCGGGGGCAAGGTGACTCGATCCCATGGCCACACCGGTCCCGCCCGATTCCATATCGTTTAGTAGCTCCTCCTCCGGGGGAGGTCCGGCTAAAACCAAAGGGCCATCATTTCCTTCTAATTTTCATGGTTTTTTCTTCCCTTCGATGCGCAGGATAGAACGACTTGGTTTTCTTGTACCCGAGCAACGAGGACAGGTGAGCTGCCTGACTTTATTCTCTTTTATAGTTTAACCTTGTGATGATGTGTTGTTCTTTAACATAGCACTTCATTTAGGAAGATGAAGTTAAATAAATGAAACGTTGTTTATTTCTTCTATCTATCCTTAGCTTCCATTCTTGTAAGGTTGGTGGTGGTGGTGGTGGGTGCGTGGAAGCTCGCTAGCCATCGATGAACTCCTCTACAGTATAGAATAAAAGAGAGAGAGAGAGAGGAGACGCGGCATTCGATGATTGACCATATGCCATAAAGGTGGCTCGGGACGAAGAGTTAATTGTTAGGCCGTTTCTCACAATCTCTTAATCGTTTGGGTTTGATCTCTTATGCATTTAACAACACAGAGAGTAGTGGGATGAGAAAGGTCAGTCAGTCCAAATATGAGAGCTAGAAAGAGAAAGAAAGGTCCCCACCACATACATATCCGAGGCTGGATGTGCACATGAGAGTTGCGTGCTGCTGATCAAAATGGCTTCATCAGTCGACGCACATGGTCGGACACGTGGTGGTATCCATCGTTTATACACCAGCTTTTGAGTGTTGCAATATTTTGCAGAGGATACACATATATATGTATATATTCCAACATAAGAATGACCTGGAAATGCTCTTTTAACATCTTTAGAGTTGGCTCCACTATACATACATAAATGGGCTTCACGACTACTGCCTCCTCCTCTGGAGGAGGAGGAGGAGGAGGAGGAGGAGGGGATCAGTGCCTGCCGGCGTCATGAGGTCCTACCACGCAATCTTTTTAGCTCCACCACCACCACGCTTATGTTGTCTTCGCTCCCCCGAGAGATGGCGAGTTCAGCTAATAGAGCTGCAGCCTCCGCAGCGGTGCACCCGCTGACGGCGTCGGGGAACATCCTCGCCATGCGTCCGCTGAGGCATTGCCTGGCGATCTTGCATGCTGCCTCGTTGGAGACGACGTCCCAAAGCCCGTCGCTGGCTAATATGAGGAACTCATCTTTCTCCGTCCTCTCCGTCACAGTGACATCAGGTTCTGAGATCACAAATGGTTTCAAGTAGCAGTCACCTGGAACACACCAAGTCATAGACTAAGGGGGTGAGACTTCCGTGGTCGTACAACATGAAAGAAAAACACAGACCCAACCCCAACCCCAACCAAGGTGTATGGCGGGAGTGGGTGGGCTCATTCTCGAGTTACTATCATATTGTCCATCCATTGTCCATGCACTTAATATGATGTTTGCCACTAAGGATCTTGAACAAGTTTGCCAGGGAACAGTAGTCTTTCCATATCATTGTTGTCCCATTATTTGTGTGAATAGGAACTAGCAAAAGACAAAACACAATTCATCATCTTCTATGGTTATATTTCAGTCCATCTTGCAGGAAACAATCTTTTAACGCATTGTGTTCCAGAACATCTCAAACTAATCAGTCATGGCTGAAGAAACATACCGATGGATCTGGAGGTGGCCAGCACTCCTAAGACACGGTATCCATCCCAATTTATTACCCTCCCTCCTGCTGCTTCCACTCTTTCCATCTCGTCTGGTCTATCAGCCTGCGCCAGAAGACACATGCTTACACCCACATCAGTTCCATTTGTGAGAGAACATCAGTAGCAAATCATTGAATTGAACAAGCGCAAGAAGAAAATTTTTTATGTTACCAACAACTTTAACCAAAATTACATATGAAATGACCTAGACATTATGAACTTATCCCACCACCTCACACTCATAGGGCCTGCTATATTAAGTATTAAGCTAAAGCAAAGAGTAAGTGGCGTGCTCAATTACAATATCAACCAAAATGCTATGTTATTACTGTTGGGACTATGCTACCAATGTATCGGAATTGAGCATGCTAATGCAAATTAATAATGTGAATTTGGTCAGTGGCTAAAATCTCAAATACATTGGTTATGAGACCAAAGCATATATGAAAGCAGAAACAGATAAGTTAAATATGGCTGGAAAGTTGGGATAAGATGTAATCCTGTAGTTCATCTCATGACAAGTCCTAGCCATTTTCCATTACGAAACAAGTTTGGAGCCAGAGACCAATAGTTTTCATGGATGTCAAATTAAAATGAGCACAAAGCAAAAATATCCATATTATCTTAGGACCAGTTGCACTAAGTTCTGCACTTAAACCTGTCAAATATTGGAAGCAGTAGAAGAACAGTAAGGTATAAGGAAGCAGTAGAAGAAAAGTTAGGAGGAGACAAAAAGGGAAACTGCACATGAGAGGTTTCACCATTTAGTAAACTCGGAGCTCTACCGTCTGTCTATCGATGCATGTTTTCATAAACTTTCACATACTGAAGTTTCTTCTTCTATGAACTGCAAGAAGCATGCATATGTGATGGTGATTGAATACACTGTAAAGACAATTGTTTTATTGCTTTTGTAGCTTGCTAGGGTTCTGGTGTTCGACTTTTTATCGGAAAGTTCAGTCACTTTAAACATATATTAGTTTAGTTTCTGATAGTTCCGATACCAAGTTGATTTTTTTAACTTATAGTCGATGACCACCAAGATAGAAAAGAGGAAAAGTAAATATCAATCTAGCATGAGGGGTATATTCTCCCATGCTTATCCAACCAAAGCCATCAGAAAAGTAAAATTGGATGTGTGGAACATTAGAAACATGTAGAAGCACCCACCCAATTCTAATATAAAAGAGAGACTGTCCACAGCTTTATCAAACTCAAACAGGAGAAAGCAGCCTATTATTAATCTGTACATTTATATTTAATCTATTCATATATCAGCATGAGTCATCTGACTACACACCCATTGCGACTTTTTCGAAGTTCTCTTTGCATTGAGATTTTCCCCAAACGACTGACGCATGATTCCATGTTTGCTTGTAAGCTTTTAAACATTGATCTAGCTGCTCATGTAAATTCTAGAATGGTTTTTTTTTTTTTTTGGACTTTCCATCCTGATATCTACTCTACTGTGGCAACCAGCTTTCTGGAAATGAGCAGGTAGGTAGCACAGGTCAACCTATATGTATGCCCTTTTCAAACAATTAAAGAAACAATCCCTAAACATAGAAACAATCAGAATATTGCACAAGCCAAGAAACAAAGGTGCAGGCAAGAAAGGGCTCCAAATGAGTTCAGAGTTAAACCAGTGGGCTGGTGACAAAATCCAAGTCTTTTGGTGCATTGTATTGGTAATTCTTCAAAATTTCCTTAAGCTTGAACAAATTAGATCTTCCCTATTGGACATCCACAACAATTAATCGATAATTGAACAGATGGATCTAAATCTAGAATGATGTAATTCTGTATCCAATAACACACCACGACCAACAGGTCCAAGTTGTAGTGTTGTTAAGAAGCAGAACCCCGGAAGCACTAATTCCACATGGATGTAAAGAAGCCCCCTTTTTTTTTTGGCTTGGCTTGGCTTGGCTTGGCTTTGCTTTGCTTTTCTTGTTCGCCCACTGTGCTGTCCCCACGACGACAAACACATGGCCATCTTCCGAGCCGAGTAATGGTAATTTATAATATATCGGACGAGGAGATTAAGGAGCAGCTAATCAAACAAGAGCAAGTCGCGCATCCTAATGTTACCTTGTGGTCCAAGGAGAGGGGAACGGCCGCGCCGCCGCGGGAGAGCAACGCCCGCGAGTCGCCGCAGTTAGCCACCACGATCCGCTTGGTACCCACCACGGCCACCACCGCCGTGGACCCCACCGTCCTCTCTGCCTCGCCCTGCGCCGCCGCCTCCACCTCCCCATCCACCCTCGAGAAGCTCGCCGTCATCACCTCCCTCCACCGCCCCTCCGCCCGCGGCCACCCCCCGGCCGCCACCTCCTCCGCCAGCACCACGTGCAGCCGCTCCCGGCACGCCTGCGCCACCCTTGCCCCGCCGTGCCCGTCGTACACCCCGAAGAAGTCGTACACCGGCACCCCTCCTCCTCCGGCGAACCCGGGCGCGACCGCCACCGTGTCCTCCATCACCCTCCGCCGCCCGATCAGCGACACGGCCCCGTGGGACAGGCAGGGAAGCCGGGCCCCTTGGCCTTCTCGCCCCCGGATCTCCCCGCCGGCGGCGAGGATCCCTACGATACCGTCCTCGGTGTCCCGATCGGACGGCGAAGAGGAATTCGAGCCCTCGACGGGGTCCATGGTGCGCTTAACGGCGAGGCCGCCGGCCCTGGCTCGGCGGATCTCAAGACGCCGCCGGCTAGTGACCGCTGGCTTCTTAACGAGAAGCCTCTGGGTTCCATCTGCTTCGCAGAAAGCCCCTTCTCCGTCGTCCCTCGAGTGGGGGGCGTCGTCACCCGCCATAGTCTGCCTCGGAATAGCTGATTCGAACAGCTTCAAGAGAAGTAGGCGAGGAAAAGGAGAGAGAGGGGAGGGAGCCAGGAAGCCTCCCTTTTAAAGTATTTGTTAGACGACAATGGAGAGAGGTCGAACGGGGAGAGGTGGAGGAAGCACTGCCGTCCGATCCGTCGCTGGGAGCCGATGCGCGCCACCTTCGAGAGTCCGTACGCCAGGACCACCGAGACGTGGACCACCCGAGACGGAGACGTGGAGGGCGGAGATGTGGTTTGATCTCGCACGTGGCGCAGTTGGTGCTCGGATCCGGATTTTGAATGCGGCCGAGGCAGGCTGTTATCGTCACGCCCTCTTCGTCGAAGGACGCTCCGCAGGGGTCCGCGTGGCGGCCGTGCTTCGATCGGGGAACGCATGGGCGGCGCGAGAGAATAGGGGGCGTGAGAATAGTAGTTGTTTTCTCGTGGAATAAATGTCGCGGCGGTGACGTGTAGGGCGGATGGGGAAGCGATGCGGTCATGCATGTGTTGACTCCGCGGGGATATTTGGGGGAACAGCGAGGGACGCGTGGCGTCATGCGGGCGCGGCGGATAAGTATTCCTCCGGATGCGATGCGTTTCCCCGTACCAACCCCATCTAGTCAAACCAAGCTCTCGGTCAAATCATGATGCCACGTTCGATCTCGTTTTTCTTTCTTCGACAGGGAAATTTTGTACAATATCATTTTTGATATATATGATTTCACGCATTAATCATAGAAACATGGTTTGCTATGTTCATCGACCAAGACCGATACATACCGTGCATGCAGCTTCAGCAAAGACTGTGATGGTGTGTGATTCGATGTAAATAGCACATCGTGTCCATATATACGACAGGAGCACGTACGTCGGACATGGTGCAGTCGGAGATGGTGGTGTTGATGGAAGAAAGTAGATGATGTGTGAAACAAGTCGAGGAACGATACAAGACTCGGTTGTGAGTCGTTGGTCAATCAGACGGCGGAGGCGTTGGATGAAGTTGATGTAGAGGTCCTCATGCGTTTGCGTCACCTACACGGCTGCACTGTACATGCTCCGCAGGAACACCCGTCAGCACACACGCCATGGTTTCCACCAAACGTAAACCGGTGCTCCTCATATCATAAAGCCTTTTCATCCTCCAATCTCATTCACCGTGGAATCTAATAGTTGGCGAGACCCTGACGCCATCGGTGTCACCCCATCAGGATTCGCCACCACCTCAGCCCTTCACCAAATCGATCATTCTTGGGTGGGCTGTATTCAAAGCTAGAAAGCATGCATCACTGATTGCAGAACTGTGATTTCGTCTACCCATCATGCTTGAGGAACAAGTCATTGACCCAAGTGGCAATGGAGGACGAAAAGAGAGAGAGAGAGAGAGAGAGAGAGAGAGAGAGAGAGAGAAGAAAAGAGGCGTAAAGGCAGAGGTGAAGCTTCGCCGACGCGTGGCCCGATCACTGCCCCGGAAAACACGTAAAAGAAAAAGCTGGGAGATGATGCTGTTGCTGCTTTGTGGGGGCTTGCTTAATTCTTCTGGGACAAGAGAGAAAGATCCCATCGTGTCACTTCCAAGGATGTCCATGCACGCTCTTGTGGGGTCTTTGATGGAGATAGCTCTTATTAGTCTTTGGAGTGCAGTGCAAATCGATTCCGATCTATATATATATATCTATATCTTGGACGCATCCGATTGGAGTTTTCCCAGATTGGTACGAATCAAGAAACACATGCCGATCTTGCGCTTCAAATGCGGCTCGATTTCAGCTCCATGTTCTGATCTTTTAGATACGACTTGCTGCTATAATATGCATTCAGATAATATGGTTCGATGGACATGCATATTGCATCACATCACAGGGCACAGCTTCCTCGACGAGTTCGCTCGCTCGTCTCAGTTCCCTCACTTGCTTCCTCGCTCCTCAGCAAAGGTCAGTCGACGACGATGATCGTGAGGATGTAATGGAGGAGGAGGAGGTGGTGCGAAAGATTGATCGATTGAACGATGCTACGTAAGTACTTGATGATGAGTCCCAACACTCTGTATGTACTTGATGAGTGCATGGAGTCGGTACTCATCGCGTCTCCTCCTTCCCAAACAGCTTTGTTCGACGGCATGGGAGCACTCGACATCTCACCAAGTTCATAAATAATAAATTTTAAATTGATAGGAAAGAGCTTAATTTGTATACAGGTCCCCCAACCTATCCATTGACCGTACGTATGTCAGCTATCTAAGAAAAGCGTTGTGATCAAAGCATACGAAGACCAAGAATCTAATGCGAAGAAAAGCGAGATAAGCGCCATCAAACTTCCAAGTTAGACACGAATTAAGAAAATAAATGGGAAGGTTTATGTCGCACATATGCTGCTCGATACTTTATTTGTTTCGCATCCATTAGATGACGGTAACTAATGCACACTATTTCCTCTTAATGGGCTGAAGGCTTTCATGGGCTCAAATGAGTCTTTACATAGTCACCGAAAGCTTAGGAGCAATTTATCAATACTAATGTCAAATAACATCTAAACATCTCTCTTCATAAGGTCAATTGATAGTCAATATATGTATATATGTATATATGTATATATATGTACATATATACATATATACATATACATATATATATACATATATATATATATATATATACATATAATTCGAAAGGGGTATGTATGTAATTTCAAAAATAATAACCAGAAAGAAGGAGACCTTATCGTCTCCTCTCAATAATTACGTTTAATTTTGCGTGTCCTCTGTAATCATTACGACAACCAATTCCACTTATATAAATCTTAGTTTCGGCCTCCACTGGGACGGTAGCCGACATACCGCTACTGCTACAATCGTGCCACGTTCTCGCCATTCCTCGGCCCAGACCACCACCATCCCCTCTCTCTCTCAGCTCTCTCCAATCATTTCGAGCGAGCACCGCCACGTCCATCGATCGATTCCCCCACCCTCATCTATTTACAGGGTTTTCTCGGATCGCCGCCGCCCATGCCGGATTCCCGATCGCTTATCCTGATAGTCTCCTGCTGCGCCACGATCTCCGCGACCGCGGCCCCCTTGTGCGCCTGCTGATCTCCCTGTCGGCCTCCGATCAGAACGTTCGACGCGTATGTTTCTCTCCTTGAATCATCATCCAATCCGAGTGGATGATTTGGTTATCTCGATGATGATCAGAGTTCGGGTATAATTATGTTGGGGGAAAAGAGAGCATTTCTCGTTTTCTTCTGTTTCAGATAGCTTCTTAAATGCAGAAAGATCTGTTCATCGTGTCGGATTGCGACATTGCATTTCCCTCTCTGTTTTGCAGGCCCTCCTCGGCAAGCAAGTTAGATAGATGGTAGGTGATGGCGGCATAACCGACTTTGTCGATCGCGCAAAGAAGGCAGCGGATTCCTTTTTCAAGGGAAGGAGGCAGATCGAAGGCTGGGGTTGTGCTGGAAGTAAGAAGGTTGACTTGAGGTGTCTAAGAAGCACCGGCCACCTGGAGCGGTTGTAAAGATGATGGTGGATTCTGGTCCGGCTGCGGAGCCTGGAGCTGCCGCTAATGCATCACCCGAGAAGGATCGGGCAGGCAATGGTGACTATGCCTGTGGAGGATGGAAAAGGTAAGTTGGCAATCAACGCCTCGAATCCAACTCTAAAACCTCTTATCCTTCAGGCATTTAATTTAATTTAATTTAATTGCTAGTAAATGCTCAAATGCTCAGCCTCTTCTACAATAGATTCGCGTGTCAATTTCTTTTGGGAACATCTCATACTTGCAACATGGTAGGAGTGAGTAGAACTGCCAAATGCATGTCGCCTGAAACATATCCTTTACTGTGAGTACTCGGTAGTACTTGGTCTGCACTAATGCGTGGTACGAGAAATTAAAACTCGTCGACGCATGCTTTAATTATAGGCCTTTTTAGTTTGATTCGTTGTCCTTTTATCATGTTCGGTACAAGTTTGTGTTTTGGTAACATGGAGGATGACTCGTTGTCCTTTTTATCAAACCGAGATTGTTTTGATGAGATGCATGCTGGTGGGGGGCTTTGTCACCTTTTTCCCTATAAAAAAGAATGGAAGATGAGCAGTAGAATCAGCAGGTTTCTCGTGCACTAGTTTTAGTGTAGCTCTGGCCTTGTTCCTTTTATTATCTGTCTATGAGACGTTTCCCTTTTTCCTATTGAAGTAGAGCTCAACCACGAAAAAATTGGCATATGGCCAATACCAAATAGTTGAGAACTATGACTTCTTTGTTGTTACTATTTTATTCTTTGGTCATGGCTGGTGATAAAGTTGTACCAACGAACGATGAGTCTCTCGGACTTAGAACTGTGCATTCTGGCTGAACCGGGGACAAAAAAAAAAAGGGTAGAAGAAAAAGATGTTGCAGTGCATGAGGCTCTTGCTGAGATCTAGGGAGGGATCAATGTATGCAGCCTTATCCCTGCTAGTGTTTCCATGGTCTAGCTGTTCTGTAAAACTCAGTAGAGCATATGAACATAATTTGTTTATTAATTTATCTCAATGCTTGGTCTTACGGGTCACTGGACTTGTTTGCAGTGAGGATGGAAGTTTAACTTGTGGATACTCTAGCTTCAGGGGACAAAGAGTCAGCATGGAGGACTACTGTGATCTAAAATCAACTAAAATTGATGGGCATACAGTTCATCTTTTTGGAATATTTGATGGTCTGGTATTCTTTCCAGTAATCTCCATTTCTAAATGTCTTGAGTATGAAATGTCTCTATCTCAGAGACAAATTGGTGTTGCAGGACATGGTGGTTCACATGCTGCTGAATATTTGAAGGAACACTTATTTGAGAACCTCACGAGGCACCCACAATTCATGTCGGACACAAAACTTGCATTAAGTACTAACAGACTTGTGAAATTACTTGGTGCTTTTATATGTTGTTCTTTTTTTTTTTTGTCTCCAGTAAACCTTTTCAATTTGGGATTTTCATGTCAATTGTCAGGTGAAACATATAAAAAAACTGATTCAGACTTTTTAGCTGCTGAAAGCAATACTTCCAGAGATGATGGTTCTACAGCTTCTACAGCTGTTTTGATTGGCAAGCACTTATATGTAGCTAATGTTGGAGATTCACGTGCTGTAATATCAAAAACAGGCAAAGGTGATTTTTTTCTCTTGAACTCTTCCACTTTCTTTTTTTAAATGAAAGTGCAGCTCTGAGTTCCATCCTCCTCCAGCCAGCATGTAGGATGCTGGTTTACTACCGCTAGGCTCATATAGAGACACTGATAAGTGGCCTTCTGCAATCTTAAAATTACTAGATTTGGTTTGGTGTTTTGACTCTCTGCCATGTCATTATGTGAACTACTTGTGCCTCGACCTAAATGTTGGAACCTGGTGAAGCATGATTGAACACTTAATCATCCATGTACAGTCTCCAGGCATGTTGAATATTGGCCACATATGTATTTTGGATTTCTATTTAGTCTTATTTTTAATGATGTATGCATACACTTATTTGGGTCGGTGATGAGGATTGTCATGCTTTTGTTTCTAGTAAAAATCGTCATGCTTCCTATAAGATACATATAGTAGAGTAACACATTGCCTAAATTATACAAAAATTTATCTCAAACATAAAACAGAAGATAAATAATGATTAACTGCTGTGCGTGCAATGTCCATGCTTGTATATCTCAAACATAAAATAGAACATAGCATATCCTACGTTTCTCATATTAGTTATATTACTGCATACATTTTGCACTGTGTAGGTGTTACATGTCAGTGTCCTGTGATTGTTGAGCTAAAATACAATGTTTATGAATTATTTATAAAAAAGTCAATCCTACGTAAATGAGAGACTAAGAGATGTGTGGTTATCTATATCTTAATGATATGTCTCATCACAAGTCGACAATGTTGACCCACAGTTGATGATCCTGAATTAGTAAGTGCAAACAGAAAGTAAAGGTTACAAGTTCATAGATTGTATAATTAGGTAGATATCTTGTATGCAACTAGTGGCTCTAGGTTCTGCAACATATCAAATTTACATGCTTGTAGACTGACACCAATGAGATCGATAGCCATAATGTTTCTATGACCACTTTGTTCTTTCATAGTTTTAGTTTCCTTTTTCTCTGTCTCCTGATTTTTATCATGTCATGTGGCTACACTTCCAAAGCAGTTAAAATTAATGAGTTACTCATTAAGTATCATACTCCAATATTCTTGGTTGTAGCAATTCCTCTCTCCAATGATCACAAGCCAAACAGAAGTGATGAGCGCAAGAGGATTGAGGATGCTGGAGGTGTTGTCACGTGGACTGGTAAGTCTCAAAATTCTGAAAATGCTTGTCTTTCTCATTAAGACAAATGCTATAGCAGTTTATCCCTTTAAAGCTTATGCATCAAGCATAATTTCTCAACCTACGAATTAGATATTAGCACAGAGGTTGACCTTCTTTTGTGATGCAATATTTCTCCTGCATGCTTCTGCTTTGATTAGGATCCTAGCTGATGGACGAGAAATTTGCTCCATATTTGGAAATGATATGATAACCAACAAAAGAATACATTGACCATTAGATTAGAGAAGTAAATCGTATAGCATATGGATGGCCATTTGGATAAATTATTGCTTTTCTTGTTAAAATTTGTTTGTGGCAAGTAATCATATGGTTATGTCTTTCCTCTAAACTAATTGCATTTTATGTTATAGAGGGAAACAGGTGGCATTTGGATTGTGCAACATGAGCTGTTTCTTCTTTTAATTGTGGGCATATTTACTTTATAGGCACTTGGAGAGTTGGAGGCATATTGGCGATGTCACGAGCATTTGGTAACCGCCTTTTGAAACAATTTGTTGTGGCAGAGCCTGAGATTCAGGTATTTTGGCGCACATAGAAACTCAGCTCAAACTCTTTTTCATGATGACCCTATGAACTCATTTTGATCTTCGAAAGACTCATGGGCCATACTGTTATTGTTCGTTCTGCTATTGTTTCTTGATAATGGTGCATGATTTTTGATTTGCCATAGGAGCACTATTGATGAAATGTTCTACAATAAGCTCGCATGCTTTTGTTGTATTGTATGTTCCAGAATTTTCTGGTGCTTCATAGAGAAAACTAGACGCATGCAGTGGCATATTATGGCAAACTCGGTTAGCAAGTTGTTTTGTGTTGGATTATATTTGTCAGGAGCAAGTGGTGGATGAAGAATTGGAAATTCTGGTGTTGGCTAGTGACGGGCTGTGGGATGTGGTAGCAAATGAGGTTAGATTCTCCTCCCTCCTCTTAAATCCAATTACTTAATCAATACGATGAATCTCGTTTTACTTAACATTATTAGATCAGCTCAGTTATGATTACAAGTAAGAAAATTATGCTCGAGTTCATGTGTTCATTAAGTCCCTCTTAAATTTGATGGAATTTTGTTTGGCTCACCAAGTCGCAGCACATTGAAACTGTGCATTGGTTTTCATTGTTTCCCATGTCGATCAGGATGCTGTCTCACTTGTGAGAGTGGAAGAGGAACCCGAGGCTGCTGCTCGGAAGTTGACGGAGACCGCCTTCTCGCGCGGCAGCGCAGACAACATTACATGCATCGTGGTCAGATTCCACCACGACAAGTTTGACGTAGATCAGTCTCCTTCTCCTCCTCCCAACAGCTATTCAGGCTTGACGTCTTGAAGTAGTCTTCCCATCCATATATATATATATGTATCGTTGGCTTGGTGGTGTGTACAACATAACCTGCTCTTCGCGTGTTCCTCGATCTCCCCTGTCAGCGGTCTATTGGCTGATAATTCCTCTTCATTTATTTATTTATTTATTTTCCAAGTTATAGGAAATCCCCAAAGAAGAGCGTTCTGTTCCTGTTTCAATCTGCTCCGAATGGTATAACACAATTTTAGATTCACGACTCGGAATGGATATGGATTGTTTGTCGATGTGGCCATCACATATACATCACAAGCATTCTGACTTAAAATTTTAGATAAAGGCTTTGATTGCCGATAATGCCGGTTAAGTAATAGTTTCTTCTTCTTCTTCTTCTTTTTGCCTGCGAGTAATAGTTAGTGGTAAGATATAAATAAACAAAATGTTGTATCGATTGCAAATGCAGCCGTGGATTCATTCGTGTATACAAACAGTTCCATCGTATTGATTGAAGCGTGGCTACGATACTGAGATTCTCCTTTGACCTCACAAGTACACGAGGCAAAAGTTGAACATCAGTACAACAACAGCTACCGTGTACTGATGTTGCCTTCTACCTAATGGTTGCTATGAAATTCTAAGAAATGGGATGGACTCGAAAACCCTTTTAGAGAATGTAAGGTTTTCCAATAGATTTGGTCACCTTCATTGGCTCGTCGTCTCTTGCTGCTCGTGCTTACGAGCGATCCAACGGCTGGAATAGCTTAGAGAAGAGGATCGGACGGTGAGGAGGGGATCATGAGGAGAAACAGAGACGTGGATCCGTGGATGGATGTTTCCCGCGTATTTTTTATCTTCTAACATAACGTCTGCTGGACACCCCCCCCCACTGACCACGTCACCCCCGAAATCCAGCAAACTTTTCGTGGTTTCGGGTAAAACCGTCCACTCATCGCAGAGAAGGGGGCAATTATCGCAGGCATGTGATTCGCGCGTGATGCAATCATTGAGTGAACGAGTCGCTTCAATTATTGCACACTGTTTGAACCAACGTCATCGTCCCTTTACGGCTGACTACGATTCGAAGGCGACTTGTCCCGAGATGTGACTTTGGATCAACGGCATCGCGAAGCAACCGCAACCTTCCAAGGAAGACCCATCCTTGGCTGGCGTCTTGGTGCCCGCCTCCTGCGGCGCCCGTACCTTGCTCCTCGCCCTCTTTCCTGCCTCCCGATCCATCAGCTGCTTCACCACCGACACCTACCCTCCTGCCACCACGCCGTCGGGCCCCGCCTCCGGCCGCAGCGCCGCGCCCACCCCCTCCGCCAGCATCACCGCGTTCATCCTCTGTTCCGCGTACAGCGGCCACGCGATCATCGGCACGCCGCACGCCAAGCTCTCCAGCACGGAGTTCCAACCGCAGTGCGTCAGGAACCCGCCCGTGGACCCGTGCCGCAGCACCTCCGCCTGCGGCGCCCACTGCGGCACTACTAGCCCCGCGTCCTTGGTCCTCTCCAGGAACCCCTCTGGCAGGTAGCACAGCGGGTCGACGCCGCTCGCTAGGCCCAAGTAAACGCCGCTGAGGCAACGCGCTGCCCACAGGAACCGGTGTCCGCTCGTCTCCAGCCCCCGGGCGAGCTCCCTCGTCTGCTCCGTCGAGAGGGTGCCGCCGCTCCCGAAAGCGACGAAGAGCACCGAACCTCGAGGCTGGTCGTCGAGCCACTGGAGGCACTCTGATCCCGACGACTCTTCCTGCTGCGACCACACGAGCGGGCCGGCAGGGTACACCGGAGGCCAGGTCAGTTCTGCTTCTTCGAGAGCCTTGTACGTGTATGGCTCAAGATCCACAAAGCTGTTCACGAGGATGCCGTCCGTTTTCTTCGTTAAGTTTGCAATCTCTCAGCCCCATCGGTAGGCTTCGTTGTTTCGGTTCTTCATCACGTCGGCGAGGTCTGCACTTCTGAGTGGGATGCACCCCGGTATGACCACCGGTTCCGGCAGGTCCCGGTCCTCGGACGAGGTGGTCGCGTGAAGGACCGGAAAGTGAACTATGATAGACAGCAACATGAAGTTTGCGGTAAAGAAGACTTAGCACGGGACGCCAACTTCTCTGGCGACAGGGAGGGCAGCGCTGTAGAATATGTCGACGACAAGGGCAGCGAGGCGGGTGGTCTCCTTCAAGCGGCGGAGAACGTCGCGGAGGTGGGGCAGGGAGCGGGCGACCATGACACAGAGGCGCGTCTCGAGACGGGCGTCGCCAGGGAAGTCGTCAAGGGAGGTGGAGGGGAGGGTCACGCAGGAGAGGTCGGCGGGGAGGGCTTCGAGGAAGGCGGTCTGGGCGTGGGAGGAGAAGTCGGAGGAGGTGATGAAGGTGACGGTGAAGGAGTGGTGGAGAACGAGGCGCTTGGAGAGCTCGGCGAAGGGGATGAAGCTTCCATGATAACCTTGTGCAGAGCTGTGTTCCCCTCCACCGATCTGAAGGCTGCAGCGGTTACTTCGTTAAATACTGAGAGCTGCACGGTTCAGAAATTTAATGCCGGTTTAATCCATGCATCGGTTACGAGAATGATTTCCAGGGATGAATTTTCTTTTTTCTTTTTTGTGTGTGTGGTGGTGACATTTCATTTGAATACTACGAAGCCGAGCAATATTAATAAGGATCACAGATATACATATATATATATATATATATATATATATATATATATATGACAGAAAAAACATGGGAAGAATAGGTTTGGTTTACATGGAATAGGCAGTACTAAAGTAACACGCCGTGACATTCCTGCACAGTATCTGCCAAACCTCGCTGTTGGACCGGCCGACGCAGCGCGGCGTCTTGAACTGGCTCATGGCACCCCCCAGGCGGATGTAATGATCCGAGATCTTCTGGAACGTTCCTCTGCGAACCACACGGAGCTCCAGAGCCCCGATGGCGCCGGCCTTCCTGGATCCCACGTAGCCGGCGTCGACGAAGGACAGGTCCAAGCAATTGCAGCAGCTGCGGAGAACCTCCTCCGCCGCGTCGGAGCACAGCTCCCAGAAGACCACGTAGTGGCCGGTCTCCGTCGATGTGTCGACGTGGCTTGTGAAGTCCACCACCTCCAGCTTTTCCTCCGCCAGCAGCTTGGCTGCTGCTTCCACCGCCAACTGCAGATCCTTCTCGGTGTTCTTGTCGATGTTGATGCTCAGCATTAGGCTTCTTCTGCATACGAATTGGAGCTCCGGTGTGGAGTTGCGAAACCCGGCTATCCTCACGATGTCTCCCAGCCTGTATCGATATAAGCCTGTCACAAGATCCACACCGATTAGTGAGTGCTGCGGAAAACATGGGGGATTCACTGCCACAGACACGAAGACAACGAGGAAACGAACGAGCAAATAGATAACGATTACCTGTAAAGTTGGTGACGACGACTTCGTACTGTTTGCCGACTTCGACTTGGGTCAGGCCTACCGGTTGGGCCTCTACATAGTGAATGGTTGAGGCAGTACCCTTCTCCGTCTCCGTCCCCGGCCCCTCGGGTTTCTCCAGAGGGATGAACTCGTAGTAGCCGATGTTAGGAAGCACCGCAAAGGTAGCCAACTCGGGAGGCAAACTGGGGTTGACATTGGCACCGATCCATCCTTCCGAAGAGCCATAGTCAGCACTCATGAGGGGCAGGCTTCCCGCATAATGCCTTAGTTTGTTCAAGTATGGCTCCATGGATCCCGTCATAATGCCATAGACATACTTGGCATTGGGCCACAGCGCCGGGATCACACCATACCAGTTGCTCAATCTCGAACACTTGCTGTGTATAGAATCTGCCAGGCCGGGGTTGGGGTTTAGAAGCTTAGAGACGGCTGCACGTATGGACGGGACGGTGATTCTGCTCGACAGAACACCTTCCCTGAGATCCGTGCAAAGTTCCTCCCACACCCGCTCAAACGTTCGGAAAGCATGAACGAGGCTGTGTGCGAAGGTGGAGGATACGATCTGGACTTCGTCCGAGTAGATCAGCCCGCACAGCAGGTGGCAATACAGTGACTGCTGGAAGTCTGGACCAAATATAACCTCATTGGGACTGCAACATTGCGATCGGATGTCCTCCATGGTGTGCTTGAATTGTTCGCTCCGGTATACGTTGGTCGTCGCTGTTGTGGCAGTGAGGCCCCCTTTGGTTTTGGCCTGCTTGCTGCTGTAAATGAACTGCAGAGCTTTCCCGTTGCCGATTGGATATTCTCTGCAAACACAACGTTTGATCATATGAGGACATACGGAATACCAGCCAATACTCTCACCCAGTAGAATTCAGCTTCCATGCTAAGCAAGCTTGAAGAAGAAGAAGAAGAAGAAGAAGAAGAAGCAAGCTTAATGTGTTCAAGCTCCATACCGGTTTCTGAAAGCAAAGGAGGTCCGATATATCTGCATCGTGGAATGGATTAGCGCATCATTGAACGGCAACAGCTTGGGTTTCCCTTGTGTGGTACCGGAACTGTGGTGAGCAGACCAAGCTTCTCAAATGTTAGCAAGAGCAGGCACCGTAGTATCAAAAACAGAGGCACGCAGAGGTCCAAAAGCATCACCTGAGCGAGATGGAAGTTATAGGCTTCCCTGTTAGAACAGGAGAAGTATCTCCGTCGGCAATCCTCTGGATGTAGGGCTCCAAATCACTATGAGTGACCAAAGGGATGCAAGACTTGAAGCTGTCGGGGTCGGTTCTTCCTCCCAGGCCAAAGTTGTGCAAGTACTCTGCTTCACCATTTTGTTCGAGAATCTCCCGAAGAGTCTCTCTCTGGAGCCGGCCGGCGTCCTTGGTCAGTGCTTCGAATTCGTTTATCACACTTGCGTGGCTAGAAACTCCCATCTTCTCGAGTAGTATCAGTGGACTTGGAAGAGGAAACCTGCACAGTTGTTGCTGGAAATGAGGAGGTTTCATGCCAGGAGAGAGGAACACGTTGAAGAGGCAAATGATTCACACGAGCAGACTATTCCATGTTCTGAGCAGCAGACTCCGAACAGAACCGTCTTCTTTTTCGGATCAATTGGATTAGCAGATAAAAATGGTGTCCAAACAAAAATGCAGATGAATGAAACAGAGACCATAAAAATAACAAAGAACAGAACGAGGAACTGTAACGAAAAATAAAGTAAGATTGAAGACTTCTTTGGACTTTCCCGAGGAGGAGTCAATAGGCCTTAAAAACACAAACTCGACACTAAAAGGATCTTGGAAAATGTAGCGCGAACCGAACATTCCTCATCTTTTCGGTGGGTTCTCCGGAACAAGAACAGAACTAAGAAAGAGACCAAAAAGAGCACAAGGAATTCAAGCAAACACTGCCTTCGACTCGAGCAACAAGTATGGAGAGAAACAAAAGGATCGCAGACGTAGGCCAGCGAAGCCAAGGATTCCTCAGCAAATAGGCATCATATCCAATAAAAATCGGGCCTTGTTCCACAAGGAATCCAGCCGCCTCCCCTGTTCCCCCCCCCCACTCTATTCGTCGCCTCCACCCTCAGATCGAAAACACCATTCCGTTGCAAGGAAAAGCCAACGGGAGACACAAAGCCAAAGGAATATTGCACGAGCATAAAGCTCTCACCTTTCTCTGTCTCGCCCCGCTGCTCTTGGTGAAGAGGAGCGAGGGAAGCTTCCGAATTTATAGCGGGAGGATCGGGAGGCAGAGCTCACTCGGGCCAAAGGACGACCGCTTCTAGCATTGTAATCGAGTGGTGAGCAGAGGAGAGAGATGAAATCATCGAAGGCTGTCCGCCGACCGTGACGCGTAACCACTCGGTATCGGCTGCAGACGGTGCATACGGACAACAGCGGTCGGCTCCGAACCCAAAATGCCCGCCGCAACCTCCATTTTGAGCCACGGAGAGCGGCATCGAATGGGGGACTCCATTAAGTCGACTTTTTCTCTACTGTGCTGCTGTCATGGACAATGATGCAATTAACATGAGTCAAAAACTAAATCATAAAGAACCAAAAGAAAGATTCTGAAGCAGTCCAATCTGTTATCAGCCATCCTCAATGGAGCAGTGTTTTGGCTTCCCAAATAAAGATCTGCTTCTGGTAGCGGGTGGGACATGTAGCTCGATCTCATAAACTTAATCGCACGTGCTCTCTATTGGACCAAAAAAGATACGACGACCGATCACGACAGCATATAAAAGCACATGAGTATATATTGTACATGCGTAGACTTGCGTGTGACGCGTGTGTAAAAGTCAAGTAGGTAAATAGCGACAACATAACAATGGCTGCAACGCACGCCACTTTCGAGTGTCAGTGTCCTCTGCAGAAGAGAAAGATTGGTTATTTCTTGTTCTTGCTTGGAACCTGGTTCACTTTTCCTAGCAAATAGTGCTTGTCATTCCTGCCGTTCGCTTTTCGGCGGTGGGCTGTACTGACAACGTGCTGCGATGTCGCCCTCACGCTTCTGATCTCGACATGAAGAAAGAAGGTAGCCCTACGTTCTTATAGTAGAGATAAGAAGAGTCTTACGCTCTTGATCTCGACAGGAAGACCTGAGAAGAAAGAAGGCAACCCTGAGTTCTTAGAACAGAAAAAGGATGCGCCGCTATACACGACTTGCACTGAAGAAGAAGACAAGCAGCGCGCACTGCATTGGCATGTGTTCCTGTGCTGCGCCATCATACGGAAAGCGTGCGGAGTTATCTGATGCGGCAGTGGAGAGCTCGCACGTTGCCCTCGTGCTGCCGCAAGTGGAACCCTTCTCCGGCGAGGCTTGCACTGCACCGCACTGCCTCGTCCCTACTCGGAACCAAGCAAACAACATCTTCCACGTACAAATAAGAACTCGCATCGGCCGTCCAAGCGAAATACCCTAAAAGTCTTCTGGCACCTTTCTTGCTATTTTCCCCCCCACTCGACTCGAGCTTCCTTTTGGCAATCACATCTTCGACTGTCCATTCACGCCCCTCTCTTCCCATGTTCTCACTTTGTCATCGTTCGTTTTGATGTTTCTTTTTGTTTTGTTTTGTTTCTTTTTGGGTCATAAGCAACTCATACTTCCTTCTCCTGTCATCATCTGCCACCCAACCTCAACGAAAAAGAAAAGGGAAAAAAATGATGATTCAGTGAACGTGTGATTCAGTGGCGGCTATCGTATAGTGTGAATCCTCGACTGCAGTAAACTTTCTATATCCATATGTAGTTAATGATCAATGATTGGGGTCTCTTTGGCACCAAAAATGTGGCTTGGATGAGGTGACTCGACGTTTGACGATAAAGAAAGAGTTCATGATAACCAACAGGATGGAGCTAAATTTCTCGGAGTGGAAGAAGAAAAAGATGTCGAGCTGATTCAAATACATCATCGACGAAGCTCCGATGCCTGCGTTCTTCGGTCGGTAGGAGAGCAGTCCATCGACAATGAACCATGGCTCGATTAGGCCCATCATTAGCATGTAGCGTTGCCTTTTGCGTGTGTGGATGAAGCTGATTACTCTGTTCTCGTCGTTCCCGAGTTTTATGATGAACACATGGCCTGTCTATCGAGACATCATGATGCTTACCCACTTATATTGTAGTATATACGTCGAGATGTACGTATGAAAAAAGCTTCTCGTCTTGCCACCTTAAGCATTGCTTCTAACACTTCATCTTCCTTGCCACCACCTTAAGAATGACATTTTTTGGTTTGAGAAGAAACAGGACATGCGTTTTCCGAAGATGAAGAAGACATAAAAACCTTCTTCTTTCCTTTGTTTCTTCGAAGAAACATGACTGTGTTGGGGGTTAATTTCGTAATTTGATCGTCATCCGGCGACTCCCATAGCGCGGAATCCATCGTTACCGGTTCTTAACGAGCAATACTTTTTTTCACCCGATGTTTGCCCTCACCTTCGCTACCCCCATGGTTATCGGGTAATCTCTGGGACCCAGGTTGATTTTTTTTTGGGGTGACTGAGACGGGTGAAGGGGAAGGTAAGTCGCACGAGTAACACACAGGTTTTCTTTATATATTAATACCCCAAGAAAAGTGACTCGCTGTTTCCCTTTATTCCTCACTCGCTCACTTGTTTATGTGTTCGAAAGAGAGTGACGCCATTCGAACACGAACCCTACCGCCGCCACCGCCTCCCCCCTTCCCGCTCCGCTGCCTCTCACCGCGGAAGGAGAAGAGTCGGAGGAATCGGAGACAGACCGCCTTTGTTTGTTTCCTCGTCTCCCGTCGATCGCTGAACAAGCCACGTGCTCTCCCCCAGGTCCAGTTTAGTTTAGGGTTTAGGCCGCTTCGATCCTGTTGTAGGGTTTTATGGCGTCGGAGGATGTGGTGGGGAAGAGCACGGGGGAGTCGGCGGTGACGACGATCGTGAATCTCGCGGAGGAGGCGAAGCTCGCGAGGGAGGGAGTCAAGGCCCCCGGCTACGCGGTCGTCAGCATCTGCAAGTCCCTCGTGGCCGGAGGCGTCGCGGGAGGAGTGTAAGTCTTCCGAATCTCTTTCTTGACCGTATTTGTCTGTTTCGTTTTCTCCTTCTTGAAACTTGCATGTCCGTTTTCTTGGATAGATTGTTAAATTGGACTTCCTTCTCTCCTTCTTCTTTCTCCCGTACGATTAGTCTCGATGTTTTGTTCCTTTCGATTTCGCTTTCCATATTTCACCCGTTGTCCCCTAAGATCTTTAATTCTTGGTTGTTTGATTGGGTATTTTGACCCTAGCTTTTATCTCGATGCTTGCCAAATTGGTTAGTTTAGTTTCTGGCTTCTGCGAACCCTAATAGTTGTAGCCAGCATGAAACTCAACTCTTCTTCTTCTTCTTTGTCCCATCCGACTAGTTCCGTTGCTTTTTTTCCTTTTGAGTTCGGTGGTGATTTCGCTTTCCATGTTTCACCTGCTGTTCCCTAAGATCTTTAAATCTTGCTTGTTTGTTTGGGTCTTTTGACCTTGGCATGGGTCTTGATGCTTGCCAAATTGGTTGGTTTAGTTTCTTGCTTCTTCAATCTCTATCTAGTAGTTCTAGCGAGCATGAAACTCAACCTTTCTGACTTTTGATTCGGGCAGCGAAAATATGAGGGAAATGGACATTTGCTAATGGTGTTTTATATTTTTATGATATTACCTCTTTGGTCAACCTTCTTGTTTAGTCTGCTAGTCTTTCTGTAAACGTCAGAATGTAGGGTCTGCTCGGAGGTATGACACACAACTGACATAAGAATTTAGGAACTTTTAGAACGTTATAAAAACGAATGAATGAGAGTAATTGGTCAGTGTTGGTTGATGGTCTAGGTAGATGAATTTGGATGTTAGACCCAATTACTTGGTAGAATTAGGAGGGTGTTATGCTAAATTAGTTTAATATCTGTTGATTTTGATGTAAACCACAATTACATAGAAAGTGAATTGCTCTGGACCATGGTAGTTTAGAGGCAAGATACACATATACCCTGATTCTTGCCACATGGGGTGTACTATTAATTGTTCTGCTCTTTTGGATGACGTATTGGAACTTGGGTTTCTTGTTATTTGGTATAGATATTTTGGTCTTGCTAGTCACATTCTTCTAGGTCAAACATGATGGTCATAGATTTACTTGTAAGGTTCCAGCTTGATGATCCTTCTGCCTGCTCAATATTTTGTTATTTCGAGATTTTTAAATGGATTTTAGGGTATCAATGTATTGATTTTGCACCAACGACGAATTAACATTTTTCAGATTGAATTTACCATTTCTATTCAGAAGGCAAATACAAACCCTCAAAGTCGTCTGCTGATCATGGCTTCTGTGCAGTAGACCGATCCTGGATTCCCAATTAATATTTCCAAGTGTTTGAGATCATGAATGTACATAAAATTAAAAACATGATATGAATGAGGACTTATTAACTCGTGTTAAGAAAAATATCATGGTTTGGTCATCTTCCAGACTTTTCTTTTGAGTTAAAAGATGACCTATGCAGCTGCGCTTTGTTATGGCAAGTAGTAAATATTAAAGCTCGCTACTTATGTATTTGTTTGTTTATTTTTCCTGCATAATAACTATAATATTTTGGATTGCTTAACTTGTCAACTGGACTTCTACTTTAGTTATGGCCTATTTTAGTGCCAAAATACTTTTGGTGTTAGTCTTGAAATTGGTGATTCAGTATCAATCTATTTAAATTTTGGTTGGCTCAAAACTTCATTGGTAACTGCTTTTCTTGAAATCAGCTGATTTAATTTTTTGGTGAGAGTGGTTAAGTGAAAGAAAATTTTGATTGAAATATTATAAAATAATGTATACTGTTATCATTAGGCTTTCCAATTTATCTGAAAGGTTTAAAAGAGTTAAATATTATATATGTAAAGTAAGCTACATGTGGATAGATATGCAGCATTCTTACTCCTGGAGGAACTTTCTGAATTAGAAGACTGACTTCGTCTGGATTGTTTCTTCCTTCTTGTCTCTCTCTTTCTCTGATGGTCTTCTACCTTATCACTTCACTCGAACATATTTTTTCACCATTGCCATATGGAAGACTGCAACTACTTTGATATTAACAAATGAATAATTTTGATCTTTTGATGAGCAAGGGAGTCCTAATTCTATGAGAATAAGTTCACTTGCTTGCATTTGTTTATTTGTTGTCACTGATTTGAATCTGATGTTACAGAGGGAATATATTTGTCTTTTTAGTACATTCACACTACAATTTGGTATCTTACAATAGTATTGTATATACAACCTTCACATAGACTGTCTCATTGTATGAATGCTTTGCAGATCAAGGACTGCTGTTGCTCCACTTGAACGTTTAAAAATCCTGCTTCAGGTATAACGACTGTTCTTTTCACCCCTTTGTGTAACTGTGCAATACTTATGTATCTGTTCTTTTGCTTTCTTGTAGCTGTTGAGGTTTTAGAATATTTTGTGTGTAGTGAGATAAATTATTTCTTTTTGCCTTCTGAGATCTAGGGAGTTATTTTTTAAATTGACACGGTCTTTAATGATATGCAAATACTTTTTGGCATCGAGGACTCCAATGTATCTTTTCCTGGATTTGCTTTGCAACTATCATCTTCATTTGGTGAATCTTCAAAATAAAAATTTTCCTACTCAGAATATAGCATTTTCCATGCTTAGCATTAGCATGTAAACTCGAAATACCTTCAAGAAAGTACAATTGGATTTCAGCATTGTCTTTCTTTTCCGTTTGTTTCGGATTTAAGCAATGGCTCTGCTTGTGAGCAGATGATGTTAAATTCATAGACTGTAGGCAGTCAAACTGAATAAGATCATTTTCAGTTGTTCCTTTGCTTGCCCTTTACCATTGCTCAAGCATATATATATCATAAGCATGCAATCATTAGATTAGGATTATCGAGACGGATCTGATGTTTAGTGTCTTGTTGATCTGATCAACATCGAACCAATTATTCATATCCCATGGTTTTAAGATTGGTTGACACCGATTTGGTTGTTTCTGCAATAGTAAGTGGTTCTGACAACCAGTCGCCAGATATATCGTAGTTGTTGTAGTGTAATGAAATTGCTGAGTCAATCAATTCTAGTCCGATTGGCTGATCTGAATTGAAACGACAAGCTGATTTTTCGTTGTCCAAGTTTGGATTGATTGATTCAGCCAATCATTTTTCACTTCAATCAATATGCAGTCAGATATTAACTTATCACAGCCCCTTATCACTCAATCGATTTGGTTGGCTATAATACAAGAACTTTAGTGCTGGTACTAATTGTTTGTTCCCCTGATACCCTTCCTTTTGTACCAATTGGCTGTCCTTATAATTCTAAGAGTAGCCTTTGTTCTGTTTCTACTGGTGCCTACTCAACGACCCAAGACTTTCCCCCTAGGATTGGGAATGGGCCCCTTGCCCCGTCAGAGGCGTTCCTGGGCCTCGCTCAACAGTTGCAAACCCTCATCGACATGACGCAAGCCATCGCCCCACTCCTCCCCCAGTTGATGCAGCTAGTGATTCCACGCAACGACTGGCCCTCCAGTCGTCGATTGCACATCCTCCACCTGAAGCTCAACCGGAGAGTCCACGCCCCATCTTCCAAGAACCTCCTCGGTCGGAAGGGATGAGTGACACCGCACCACACCCTCCAACCGCGGAGTGTAGCGCTTTGCCAAACCGCACGAAAACCCTGACAGAGTCTGAGGCCCAGTCCGCCGACTCCTGAGAACACTCGATGAAGGCATAACTCCAAGCCATGAATCGTAGGCTCGACGAGGTTCAGCAGGAATCCGATACGACCCACGATGGGTGTCAAATTTGATAAGTCACTTAGTCGGCAGTCACTAGTGCGATGGGCTTGTTAGAAATTCTCCGCTTTGGGCAGATGAGTGTACCCGCACGGTTTTACCCTTTCAGAGCGCGTGAGCGCCAAAAAGCACCTCTGAGTGTAAGGGAGACCCGGGGGACTTATGAGCCCTTGGTCCCCCTACTCAATCAATCTGGGACTAAATGGCCTTATCAGTGCCCCCTCTTGGAGGGGAGCCAAGGGCTCAAGGGCCCTTCTTCTAATGCCAATTTGATAAGTCATTTAGTCGGCGGTCATTGGTGCGATCATTGATTTAAAAAGCGCTAGGCGCCAAGGTCCAAAAACGCTTGAGGCGCTAGGTGCTCGCCCGAGCGAAGTGAGGCGCTAAAATATAAAAAAATTATAATATAATTAATAAATATAATTATTTAAATAAAAAAATATGTTATTAAATTAAGATAATCGGGTACAAAATCACAATGTCACATTAATAGAATGTCTCAAAAATCAAAATAATAAAATTTTACATGAAATCTATTAAGTTGCTCTGTACACTTGCCATTTATTCTGAAACCTAAAAATAATTTTAAATAAATAAAAATTAATAGAATTAAAATTAAAATAATATATTATTAATCTAATAAAAAAAATATTATTATTAGTATACAGTTAGCAGTATATTGTTAATATACTGTTAACAGTATAGTGAGAAGATCGAGGCTGTTGAGGCAACGACAGTGGTAGTTGGAGCGGGAGCGGCAAGCGATAGTGGGAGTGGGAGCGGCGACAGCAGTGGGGAGCGGCGATAGCAGCGGCGTGCGATGACAACAACGGCGAGCAGCGATTGTGGCAGCGGCAGCAGAGAGCAGTGACAACGGAGAAGAAATCTCAGCGGAAAAATCGCGAGCGTCCTAGGGTTGGGGAAGTCGGGGAAATCGCGAGAGGGAGCCTGATATCGGTGATTTAGTTGGTTCGATTGAACCAACTAAAGCACCGGGGACCAACCAGACCTAAAAATCTGATTTGGTCGCCTGGTTTAACCCAGGCGTTCGCCCGAAGCCCCCGACGCTTGGGCTCGGGCGAGTGCCCAGGCGTTGGGCCTCTTTCAAGCGCGTCGCATGGAAATGAAGCGAGGCGCTCGGGCTCCAAAAGGCAATGGGCTCGTGAGGAATTGTCCGCTTTGAATGGATGAGCGTACCTGCAAGGTTTTGCCCTTTTGGAGCACGTGGGCTCCAAAAGGCGCCTCTGAGGGTAAGGGAGACCCGGGAGGTTTATGTGTCCTTGGTTCCTCTATTGCTTAACCAATATGAGACTAAATGATCTTATCACTAATCTTATGAGATTTTCAAATGAGATCTTATGCTACATCTAGACAAGTGTATTATACCTCATGAGGTTATGATGCATATAGTGATGATAGCATAATGCAATAAAAATGGGGTTACTTGATTGGACCAGTTGGTTTCGCAGGCATGATGAAGCATTTTTTTTATTGTGATGTTTTATACTATAGAGATGGTTGATGGGGTTGGCTTATTTTTTCAATTGGATATGTCATTGTCACTTGGTAAACAAGATAAGCATCTGGACATCAATTGTGAGATTTTAAGTTTTCCATTGGTGTCTGGATTCTTCTTGGTTTTTTAGATATACAAATTAAGCATCAATATTTCATGTGACCAGATCTTGAAGCTCCTTTTTTTTTTTGAACTTAACGTGCACATATAATTGCATACAACTGTAAATGCAGGTGTTTATGCCAGTGCAACACAACTAATTTGCTAATGCAATACAACTGAAGTTATCATGCTATGTTCAATATTGTTCATTAATTCTGGCATTTGTGTGAGTTTTGAACAGAAACAAGTCTTTGAACAACATGGCTTTCTTGATTTATTACTAATATGGATTTTGTTGTAAATACAGGTTCAAAATCCTCATAGCATTCAATATAATGGAACTATCCAAGGCCTCAAGTATATATGGAAATCTGAGGGTTTACGAGGACTATTCAGAGGCAATGGTACTAACTGTGCACGGATTGTCCCCAATTCGGCAGTCAAGTTTTTTAGCTACGAACAAGCATCAAGGTAAATTCTTGGATGCTTTCTTGGTTTTATACTTAGATGAAAGTCAGTTAAAAGAAAATATCAAAGAAATGATTTTTATTTGGCATGTGATATTTTTCATTTTTGGTATCTTTGTGTTGGTTGTGATATAAATTTTGCTTCTTGTACCACTATTTTGGACTTGTGCATTGGCTTAAAAACCTAATGCGCTGGAATATACTTAATCCGTGGCTCAAGTCTTAGTGTATTTGAAAATGTTTTGCTAAAACTACTAATACTATGGATCACATGCTATTCTAATTTGTTCACTGGATGTGATGAGCAAAATAGTTGCATAGCTACACTTTAGATGACAAGTAACTTTACAGATTTGCACCTCTAGTGTCTTGTTGACGATCAACATCCAAATATTCTCAAACTTTATCTGTCTTGGACTGAAGTTTTGATCATAAGCTGCAAGACTTCAAAAATTTTCAGACTTTTCAAGTGGTTTGCGTCTCCTTGTCAAAGGTTGATGGGAAAAATATTATTTCATGCATGCTAGAATATGCTGTCCGGTTTTGTTGTAACAAGTATACAGATATTAATTTGCATTTGGCAAATATTTCTCGTTGCTTTTTTTTTCTTGTTTTGATTATGAATATGTCAAATGTAAGTAGCAGTGTCCTAGTAGAGAGGTTTGGTTGTGTCAGCTAAGGGCTTATTGGGTTCAAGACTGCAATGACATTATAGCAAATTTAATATTATAACAAGTACGTGAAGAGTATCTGGAGATCTCAGTGGAATTAAGCACAGAAATGCAGAATGTTGGGCGTGTGGTTCAAAATTTCACTCTTTCCATCGGATAAAACTGGCATGGATGGACGTCCATCTGTTGGACGCTCATATGTTATTGCAGAGATATTTCTTTGTAAATAGGGTTTGTTTTGATTGGGACAAGCATAATGAGGGTATAAGATTAATCATTATCAATTCGTATTCTGTGGTCTTATTTATACTTCAGCTAATGTTTGAGTTTTGATCTGAAATCTTGAATAAGAAAATATCTAATCTACCATTGGGCACATATTACAACTTGGAACAAATTTTTTTTGTTTACATGCTTAGACTGAATTTCATTGTGAATAGTGTTTCAGGTAAAACCAAGTGCAAAAAATCATGTGGGATTTGATTTTATTACTTATGAGATCCTTTTTCAAAGACAGGGTTCGCATGGTTGCAACTGCTTTGAACTTTGTTAGAGACAAAAATAAACTATTGACAAAGCATAGTTTTTTTTAGTGGTTTAATTTCAAATCCATATGAATGTTAAGTTCTCAAGTGTAATATTAAGGATAACTGGATGATTTCCCTGGGTTTGTCCAAACGTTGTCTGGGAATTGTGCTAAATGACTTCTGATTATCCATCTATTCAATTCCTTGTAGCTGAGATTAGGTTGTATTCTTATTTTTGCAAATCAATATTGTATGACTACTGATGTTTGGATATGTAACTTGTCACAGTGGAATTTTGTGGCTTTATCGTCAGCAATCAGGCAATGGTATGACCTATCCTTATATATTGTCTTTTTTATTGGCGTACTTAATTGAATGCTGTTAATTGGTGCAGTAATTGGTCATGTTATATTATTATATATTTATGTCACTTCAAGGAAATTAGCAAACACATGCCTCTCTTTGAGAGGTTTTTTTTTTTTTTCCTCTCTTTCCATTCCATAAATTGTCCTGATCACTGGATGAAAATCAGTTGCTAGCTGAACCGGTGTAGGTGGGGGTTCATATAGTTTTGTGTCAATCATGCAGAAGAAGCTCAGCTCACTCCTGTATTACGTCTTGGGGCTGGAGCATGTGCTGGAATTATTGCTATGTCCGCCACTTACCCAATGGATATGGTCCGTGGAAGAATTACAGTTCAGGTGCACTTTCTTGTTTTTACTAATGTCACATGTACGTCTTTTGTGATATGGTTGATCCTCTAGATCTTGTTCATACCCCTTGTCTCTTTTTTTCTTTGGCAATGCAGACTGAAAAGTCGCCTTACCAGTACAGAGGAATGTTCCATGCATTGGGCACTGTCTACCGTGAAGAAGGCTTTCGAGCTCTGTACAAAGGGTGGCTTCCATCTGTCATAGGAGTAGTAAGTATTCTCCTTATTTTTGGCAGCATCGCTCAATAAGTACAGCCAAACATCTATTTATATCTAGCAATCCCTAAGATGCTTTTGCTCATTAGATTTTTCTTAGACTGTTTAATTTAATAAACCTTCTGCAAATTTTGGAATAATAAACCTAAAAGAGGCATGACACACAAGTAAAGATTGTTTTCTTTACAGAAGGCATGACAAATAAACCTATGAAACCAAAATTTGGTTGCTCATACAGAGAATTTGTTTTGTTTGCAGATCCCTTATGTAGGCCTCAATTTTGCGGTATACGAATCGCTTAAGGATTGGCTAATTAAATCTAACCCATATGGTCTTGTTGAAGATTCGGAGTTGAGTGTGGTCACAAGGCTTGGATGCGGTGCTGTTGCTGGAACTGTTGGGCAGACGGTTGCGTACCCTCTCGATGTCATTCGCAGAAGAATGCAAATGGTGGGTTGGAAAGATGCAGCCTCGGTTGTGACAGGTCAAGGTAGGAGTAGTGCTCCCTTGGAATACACAGGAATGGTTGATGCATTCAGGAAAACGGTGCATCATGAAGGCTTTGGGGCATTATACAAGGGTCTCGTCCCCAATTTGGTCAAGGTAGGAGGATTAGTTCTCTCTCCTCATCAGCTTTAATCCGATGACAAAGTTTATCTTTGGTTTCAGGTGGTTCCATCCATTGCGATTGCATTCGTGACATACGAGGTTGTGAAGGATCTTCTCGAAGTAGAAATGAGAATATCGGACTGAAGCCCCTGAATCGATGGGGTGGTTGTGCCACTTTTGTGTGCACTTTGGCTGCTGTTTTTTCTTTCCCCCATCCCCCCAGGTTTCATAAGAGGGGCAAAAGATCCAGTTCTCTCTCTCTCTCTCTCTCATCCCAACCCAAAGTGCTTCGCGGTGAAATAAATGGTTTCTGTAAGTTGCGGCGAGAACACGAAATGTGTTTTATGATGATGAATAATGTTTGCTGCTGCAATTTTTTTGTGGCTTCGACTCCTGATGAAAGGCCGAGCTATTTAGCTTTGTAGCCGCAGCTCACCCTTTTTGTTTTTAGCAATTTCGTCCTTTTATATAAAGTCGTCAAAGAAATGAAAAAGCAACTCTAGTTGAGCTTTGCATGGGAACTGAAATGTGTCACTTTGTCGTGAGCAGTCTTTGGCGATTGTGTCTACGCACGATTGATTGGAAATGTAAATTCGTAAGGCCCCAGAAATCAAAACCTGTAAGAGAAATGATAAAAGAAATAAAAAAAATTAGAATTATCTTTTTTAATCAAAGGATCAAAAGAATTAAAAAAAAATCATGCCCCGGGAAAATACATGTTTGGTTTCGTCATATTTGGTTGTAAATGGTTTGATAATAGCAATAAATAGAAATTTGGGTAATTCAATTCCCTACATAAATCAGTGCAATACTAAAAATTTCAGCTTATCATCTGTTTTTTTTTTATCTAATTATTCATTCCTAATAAATCATACAAATTTTGGCCCGACAATCACCTATGAGTAAAACTAATTTACGTTAGTTACTACTCGTATTACCACCTAAACGATCTATGAAGAATCTAATGATATGCTAGAAGACGACAACCTTTTTCTAAACCGAAAAAAAGTGAATAATTTATCCCACCAAAATATCATGATGTGAAATTTGCAAAGAGAAGCAAACAATCTTCTCACAGAATACACAAATAGCAGACATGAAGAACTTTCTGACATGAAGCTATCAACACGTTGGCTATTTTGAGAAATAAGTGTTGCCAAGTCAAGCTATCATCAACACGTTCTGACATGAAGAACTTTCACATCATTAAATAGTTAAAAGGTAAAAAAAATCAGAAATGGCAGGAAAATTCACTTGAGAAATATCCGCAAAAGTGAGTTTCATGGTTTCCTCATCATCATCTGAAAAAAAGAGATTCACCGACATGGGAAGATTGTTATAACCAGCCTATCGAACATTTCATTTCACTTTTATTATAATAAACCTAATTCGAAAACAGTGAGGGATTTCATGTGTGAAGTTAGTTAGTTTTGGTGTTTCTGTTAGTATATACATACGATACAGACAAAAGGAACTCAAAAAGGAATTTGTTTGAGAAAAAAAAATATGGAGGAATTACCCACATTTTATTTTTGGCTATTTTGTCCTAAGTTGATGTCTCCTGCCATGAAGTGATTTCCTTCTTAGCACCTTCGTGGATGTTCTTAGAACTCATTGGCACCGATATATGACACAATTCTTCCTATGAACAATAAAGAAAACAAGGTAATGCTTGCTCAGGAGGAAAATTTCTATTGAATTCTTGCACATGATTATTCACCATACGACCAAACTCTCACAAAGCATCACTCGACAAATGTGCGTAAACTAAGGCTGCAGTCCATTCTAACAAGTCTGGCTAACATCATGGGACCAAATTATGCTCATAAACATCTACTTAACATCCTATTATTTATAACCCAATGTCCACTATCTCTCTCTGCTTGATTACAAAGAAAGGATTATGTTCTCAAAAACCAATTTCTATAGGCTTTCTAAGTGAACAGATCCAGTCCACAGATGAAAACGAAGAATACGGGTGGTCACAAGTACAACAAGGAAAGGAAGAAACTAAAAAATATTAATTCAAGTATTATTAATGTTCCCTTTAATCCGGCCTTAAGAGACTAAAAAGATCCCGTCACAACTAGCACCGTAGAAAAGGATCGACCAGCGAAACAAACTGCATCAGAAATACAGATCAAGCTACTTCGAATCAGAAGGCAACACACCTGGAATCTGTTCTCCAGCGTCCGGATAATTCCATGACTCGGAGACGAAGCAAATCGATCGATGAAGAAAACCCCACATCGATCCTTCGCCACTTTCTTGGACCCCAACAAAAAGCGAACTACTCGTCACAAGATCACGCGAAAAAGACACAGACAAGAATCGAAACGAAGAAAACCGCACATCGATCCGTCGCCACTTGGAAACAGACACATACAAGAATCGAACCCAAGAAAACCTCACATCGATCCTTCGCCACTTGGAAACAGACACATACAAGAATCGAAACGAAGAAAACCTCACATCGATCCTTCGTCACTTGGAAACAGACACATACAAGAATCGAACCCGAGAAAACCTCACATCGATCCTTCGCCACTTGGAAAACAGAAACATACAAGAATCGAAACGAGGAAAACCCCGCATCGAGCCTTCGCCACTTTCTTGGACCCCAACGAAAAAGCGAACAATCACACGAGGAAGAGAAATCTAAAGAAACAATCATATACAAGAATCGAAACGAAGAAAACCCCGCATCGATCCTTCGCTACTTTAGCGACATCAAGAAACCGGGTCTCACCTGGAACTGGAATTTACGGCAGAGGACGAAGCGATTCGCACGGGAGATCAAACCAAACCAAACCAGTTTATCAAAAGGTTCGATGAGGCGACAAGAGATCCAAGAAAGGAACAAAGAAGGAACTAAAACCAAAGAAGCGGAAGATGAAGCGCGTTTAAATTAAATTAAATTAAATAGCACAAACCATCAATTAGAGAGAGAGGAATAACTAACTATAGTGGGCGGTGGGTCGGAGGTGATTCTTGCTTCTACTCTCAGAAGTTAATGTAGGGTCCAGTGTGATGAGGGCTCGTGGCCATCGAAACCGTCCCATCTCATCCCACAGCCGTCCGATTCGTAGAGTCCGTCTGATATCCCTTTTGGCCACGTTCTTGGACCCCAACGAAAAGCTAACCATCCACATGAGGCTTCCTAGGAGGGCCAGGCACGGATCACGAATCTCACAGCAGAAGGCGCAAACCACACCACGGATCCTAATAATGCCGAGAAGAGAGACTCGCACGCACGAATCTCACAGCGGAAGGCGCAAACCACACCCCCCTTGCACGGATCCTAATAATGCCGAGAAGAGATACACGCGCGCACGAATCTCAGAACAGAAGGCTCCAACCACACCAGAGGGAGAGGATTCCTCTTCCGCGCGAACCGTACCCGTATTTTTCGGGACGGTTTGTGACGTGGCACAAGGTCAGCCGTACAAACTGGCCGATCTCGACACCGGCCAGGCTGGGCTTGACCCGGGTCGGCGAGGCGGTACTCACGTGGGTGGGCCACGGGAGATGGGGACGCGTGCCCCGCCGCCCAATTTGTATTCTATTTGGCAGAATTACGTACATATCCCTTGAAAGACTTTCGATTTTATCAGTCCCTATAAGTTTAACACACACATATATATATATATATATATATATATATATATATATATATATATACACACACACACTCCAAAACTAAAAAATAAATATTATATCAATTATATTTATTAATTACGGTAATTTAATCAATTAAGACTGTAATTCCCACGTGCTAATCATGGTTAGAATTAGTTGGCATGAATATTTTAAGATTAATATGTATGTGGAAAGCTTACAAGTATTTCGTAACTGTTAAGGGACATGCATGTAAAATTGGGGCCATCGGATCCGCTATGGAGGTCCAAACCCGTCGGGTCCGGGAGATGTGTTCGAATCCAGAAAGGAAAAGAAAAAGAATAAAAGAGGAGGAAGTGAATCGAGGCGCATTGCCCCCTCCCAAATCCCGCTCCTCCTCTCTGCTCCGCCGGCAGAAGGAAGAGAGAGAGAGAGAGTGAGTGATCTCAGGGCGTGTTGTTCGCTTCTTGGTCTCGGAGGAGATGGCGGGGATTCCCAGGGCTTCGTTCGGTTTGGTGGCCATCATGGTTCTCGCCTTGGCCATCCTCATGCCTGCCGTACAGGCCCAGGCCCCCGCTCCCTCGCCCACCAGCGACGGTGATCTGATGTTTCCTTTATTATTTTTTTTTGTTTTCCTGCTGTTGTTATTGTTTTAGATGCCAAAGATCTGATGTTTTTGCTGCTTTTACGTCGATCTGTTCTCTTCTTTTTGGATCTTCCCCTTCTTTTATCCGTGTTTTGGTTTCTAATAGCTTAGGCACAATGTGCTGTTTCTTCGTACATTTAATCGGCGACAGATGTAAAAGATTTAATCTTCAAAGCAGATGGTTTTGAAGTCTATGAGAGTCTTTTAGTGAGCTCGATCTATGAATGGAACTCTTTGGTTTGCCATGATTGCGTGTGTCGAAGGTTCGGAAGACTGATAGAAATGTTATATTTTCTGGGTAGGGACATCAATCGACCAAGGGATTGCTTATCTGCTAATGCTGGTGGCGCTGGTCCTGACCTACCTCATCCACCCCTTGGATGCCTCCTCTCCCTACAAGCTCTTCTTCTAAGCCTTTTGGGAGCACATGCATGCTTGCGATGGGGGGGGGGGGAGGATGTTTGTCATGTTGGTTTGTATTTGGGTACTAGGGCTCGTTTAGTGTTGTGGTATTTGGACTCCTTTAATGGAATCATCATGTTGAGTTACCCTAGTTGTTCTTACTGCTTTTGTGGCCAATGCTTTTTGTTTTAGTTGCAGTCTGATGGTGATGTGCCATGGTATAAAATGGATAATTAGGAATTATCATACACCGTTCTTTCCTTCCGGTATCAATGGGAGTCCTTTTCTGTTACGAGGGCTTTAGTAAATGAGCTTTTTGGCTAGCAGCAATTGCAAGGCATTTTGAAGAGGAAGGATCAATCTTGATGATGAGCTTTGAATCCAGGCTGCCATCACATCACGTCTTGCTAATTCTGAGGCGCTGAGGGGGGCTACAAGCAGGACTACTACATGATGGTGACGTCCGATTATTTTCCATGTCAGTAAACATAAACTCATCAGCATAAAACTTGTTGTTGTGGTCAGCTGAAGGAATTAACTAGGACACACTAGACAAAAATGGAAGGCATCAACAACCGCCTGTATGTCTCTCCACTAGCAAATGGCAATCACAACCGTATGTCTCTCTACTCGTGCCTCGACCAAGGGTATCAGCTCCACTCTAGGCCGGACTCTGTTTCTGGCTGTTTCCCTGCACATGTTGCGTCCTCGTAGGGCCAAGACACAGCAGGTGCTACAAGAAAGTCTGCTGTCTGTGCAGGTTGTAGGCACATGTTGCGTCCCCGTAGGGCCTAGACACAGCACGGGTCTGCACTCCACCACGTGCGGTGCAGATGACCATAAAATCTTTTTATTCGGCGTGTGGAAAGTTCGTTCATGGTTCATTTCAAACAACGGTTTCCTCGCCCCCCTCATACTCACTCGAATTATATATAGCTTGACTAACCATATAATGGTAAAGGATTTGCATCATTTCTAATTTAAGCTGTTGCTAAGAGAAATGGATGGAGACATCTTATTTACGAGCGACAAACTTGTCCTCCTCTCCCTCTCACTCTTGTTTTCTTGATTTGATATGAGCTCAATGATTTATTGTAGCAGGGAACCAACCTAAGAAAATTATATAACTGTTGATGTTACCACCGAGTAACAGTAACAACAACCGTAGTGTTCCAGCACACCAAAGGGATGCGGCAGAATGTCCCCTCGAGCGCCGGAGGTTGATTGTTTAGGATCTGGAGCAATTGCATACAACCGGGGCCCAACCTGCATCTTGCCATCCCCTTTGGAAACCATTCATTTAAGCCGATTTTAACAGTTCAGACCATCATAACAAACTATCAATGTTCTAAAATGCAATATACTCAGTTGTATATGCTTGTATGCACAAGCATACATGTGCAGCCATATCGCAACCTAGCATAAGGTTCTTATACGTGAACCTGTTGTCGACATATAGTTTGGATAGGCATTGCAATTTGTATTAGCACTAGTGTACTTTTCAACTATCGGTATTACTTTAGTACTATTATGTGTTCTACGATAATATGCCATTCATGACTTAACGTTCACCCATTTCTTGTGACACACCACTCAATTAAGTTCTTAAATGTACATCATTGACATCCTAAACTTTTCTAGTTGGTCCGACTATGTATATACTTATTAGCAACTTAGACTTGATTGTATTTTTCTTTATTTGTTCTCAAATGAGGATCATCTTAAATATTAATGGAACCACATTATCTGGCCCCCATATGCTTCTGCATACCTTGACTGTTGGATTACTGTGGCCACTACTTGGAATACTACAGTCTGCATACTGCAATCTGCGACAAGTAAAATAGGTTGGAGAAACGAGGAGAGAATTCGGAGAGTCCACTTCTCTCCATTCCTTCTCTCCGCAAATAGAGAGACTTTGGAGCAAGGTGAACATACAGGTTATCTAAATATTTTCTTTTTCTTATTTGTCCTTGTGTGACAGGAAAGGAATCGCATAGTCTAAAATTATTAAGTGCTTGTTACCACCTCCTCTTCACCCGTCAAACCAAACGAAAGAGGGCTAATTATCTCTTTAGTATCCAAATCCTTACACCTAAAATTTTTTTTTTAGGTCTCGGTCCCTAGATCTAAAAAATTTACATAAGAATCTCTATAGTTATGAAAGTAAAATATCTGACTTCATTTACCCTAATATCATTGGTTTTACCGACGGGAGCACGAAAACGATAAGTAAAAAAAGTAATTTCAACATCCTAGTTACGTTTTCAGTGATGACAAACGATGACACCGTTAGAGACCACAAGAGAGCAATGATGAGAGATTGAGACAAAGGGAGATGATGATGCAGATGCTGACGCTTTGCATTGACGTCAACGCCAACAATGATACAGGAACGGGCAATGCTGCTCTGCATTTGTGTCCATGCTGATGCAAATGTCGAGCGATTCTTTCATCGCTCTGCATTTGTGTCGACGTCGATAACAATACGATGAAGGGTAACATTGTTTTACATTTGCATCGACACTGATGCAAATGTCGAGCGACCCTTTCGTTGCTCTACATTTGCGTCAACGTCGATATAAATGCCGAACGATCCTTTTATCGTTTTACCTCCTTATCCACAACAACTACCCGTGGGCCCCAACAATGCCGTTCAACCTCACTCTATGATAACCTTCTTGTATGTGCAAGTAGATCAAATACCTAGATGACAGTTTTTGAGATGAAATTGTCATTAAAAGAAGTGCAATCGTTTTATATCATCTTATCCTGAATCGATACCCAATTATCTATGGAGGTAAAGAAATTCTATCACAGAGTGGTACAGCCCTGCGTCCAAGCAATCTCCATCTAAATCAAAATAGAAGGTAGACGCAAGGAGGATATGAGGAATTCGAGTCAGAAGATCAACACGACGCTAATAATTAAACATCTACGAGAGAAGCATCAATATCAGTAAGACCAAAATCTACATATTAATTAATATGTGGGAAAAAGAAGCAGTAAAAGGATAGTGGAGGGGAAGCATCGGAATCCGAGATACCTGCGCTGCAAGACGTATGGAGGCCCTTCTGGAGATCCTTGAGCTCCTCGAGAATCCGCTTGGAAGCCATCGCCAAGCGTCACCCCCTGGTCCTGACTCCCGATCCGTCGAAAGCCCCACGGAAACATGGATCGATCGGAGTAGTAAGATAACAGGTGGGAACAAGAGATCGGTCGAAAAAAAAGAGAAACAAATTGAAGCGAGAAAAAGATAGGAAAGGAGAGAGAGAGAGAGACGCGGTACCGGTGGCGAGGGTTTCTTGGATTCCTCCCCCTCCCGCCCCTTTCCTCTGTATCTCGCTGCCGTCTCTCTCTGGGCGCGCTTGGCCGAGAGAGAGAGAGAGACAGAAGCTTGATTCAATTCTTGAATGACTTATATGCGACGAGGAGGAGTCGAGTTCCGAGATGCTGCTGATGATGACAATAAGGACGGCTATGATTGTAACCGGTCCATCGATGCCTTTGTGTTTGTTGCCCACGGTTGGAGACAAGGATGGTGATCCGAAACTGAAATGAACGGGTTAGGTTTGACCAGATCCGGCCCAATCTCTCGTGAGTGGGCTTTACTCGGTCCGGCTTGCTGAACATCAGATGTGCTGCCCACTCTGAACCAGAGCAACTTGCTCACCATCGTTTTGACCATGCCTGGTTTCTGGATCATATCGTCGAGCGAAAGACCATGTATTAATTCAATTACAAAGCAGAATATACAGTAATCAATCGAGGATTCTACCGTATCAATTCATGGACAAATAAATAGAAGAAGAAAATAAGGAAAAGAAAGTCGAGTGTGGTTACCTACAAGTAAGACGACAAGGCCTCGGCAGCATATGTCCTTTCAGCGTCATCCGAAAATTTCATATATATCGGGCAAACACCAAACATCTCACTCATATGATTCTGCAGAACAGGTTGCTCTATAAAAATGTGCATACAGGATTCCCTCGAAATCTAGTATTACTGCCACCAAAATTTCTAAATGGCAGAAAATATACAGGTATCAATTGCTTGCCATTGTTACATTATTTGGCAAGCTTGGGATGGGAGGAATATGATAAATATATGTTATGCTTGTCACCTTGATTGCCTGACGAAGATTAGCTGGCTGATCTCCTCCATTTATAGTTGCTTCAGTCCTCAGAGCTACAGTGCGTGTGACTTTAACAACTTTCAGTAAGTATCTATCTGCATTATAATGGAGGATGTTGCTGTTGATTTACCAATTAGGACATAACTAGTTTGTGTATAATCTAATAAGTAGATGTGGGATTATATAATCGCACTAACAAAAGGAAGAATAAATGCTAAAAGGTAGAGCAACAAAAGAAGGACAAATGCAAAGGCAGGACTTGAATCACATTCCTACAGTTGAAGAATATTGAGGAGTGGGGGAGGAATTCATACTTTCCATGAGCAGTTTCCCCAGAGAGCATTATTGGATTTGAACCCTCACGAACCGCAATAGCAATATCCAAGACGTCTGCACGGGATGGCGTCGGATGAACAATCATGCTTTCAGCATATTTGTTGCTACAATAACAGCTTTCACATGCTCCTGCATATTCTAATAATTTCCTCCTGCACATTTGGAACACGAGGTAAGACATTGAATAATACAGCACATAATTACTCACTGGACATATGCCCTTGGGCGTTAGAGCTTTACACAAAATATAACATTAAAACAAGCCTTTATATCGTGGCTGTTGATCGCCATAGGTACCTGCAGCAGTGGAACTTCATCGATAGGGAGTTAAGCTCCAAGATCCCCTCTAGCAACCATTGCCTACAGAAAACACAGAAGAAATTACATAATCGAAGATCAAGGTTACCAGCAAATAGAAAAGTCAGCATATGTTACAGAAGAAAATATTATGTTGAAAGAGAATCAAGCTCAAAAGGGGATCGCCTCAACAAAAGCACCAAGTAATTTAAGAGATCTGACTAAAAGAAACTTGCAATCAACTAGCTAGAGAAAGTAAACAGGAATACCGATCTATTATGTATAGTGAGGCTTCACAAACAGAAAAATAAACAGAAAGGACAAGAGTGACATCCACTTAACCCCTTTTCTTTCCAAGTTCTTAACACTGCTAAATTGAGACTGGTATTATACCTTATGTTTCTATAACTTGGGCAACAATGTGGGTGTGCCTTCAGAATAAATAAAGGCATAACTCATTAAGGATTTTTCGATGCTCCAAAGTGGCATCATATGGTGTTTTTTTTCCATATTTTACAAGTGCAAGTCCTAGACAAAATATACAAGTGAACTACGCCAAAAGAAACATTGACAAATTAATTTATCTTTACATCTGCTTCATATGTTTTCCATTTATCTCTTTATGCAAATAATGGCTCTCGACAAATATTCATTCTTGCACAATGTCTGTTAAAATAAAATGTTCTCCCCGTCAAACACAAAACATTTTTCTTTTCGGACATACCAATATTAAAGACTGTAAGCATTAAGTTCTAATGAAGGTTTACACAAGAATCAACAACATGTGACTGTGTAACTCGTATCATAGTAGTTAAGCTTGATCAGCGGTGAAGCACTACATCACATCAAATACATTAATTTATACCAATATGCCTTATCTTAAGATACCCATATGTACAAACCACTTGTAAGCTTAGCAGCATCCATGTTTAATATACAACATTCAGATGCTTACCCCATCAGATGCGTGACCATGGAATGCAGATTAGGAATCGAATCCGCGCTTCCAATTTTGACAATAACATGTATGTCTGCATTACAACTTGACAAATGAATCAAAAGATTCAGTGCCAACAAGGAAAGTTCTGATCTTTTGAGGCACTTAAAGAGAGATTTCAACCAAAACTAGGACCGAGCATCTGGTTTTGAGATAATCCTTCAATTCATGGACAACTTTTGCATCTTTGACAAAGGAAACTGCATAAAAGTCCACATTGTTTTCAACTCCAAATTTGATATCGTCCCAATCTTTTTCTGCAAGGAATAAAAAAAAATTATTATACCAGAAATACAAAGTTCAAATATCTATTAGACAAAGGACTTAATTAGAAGCACAAAACCAAACATAATTTCTCTAACTTACCTGTGATGGATGGCAAGGTTGCACTCTTTCCTCTAACAATCAGATGCCTCCTGGACTATCCCATCAACGACTTCACACGTGACAGAATCCTCAGTTTTTGACATAATCAATAGAGACATCATTCCTCCTGTAGCATAAACAAGATCAGTTTCCTAATTGCCCAGCGATAAACATACATCAAGATGAAAAGTGAAAGGCTGTTTGCTACTTGTCCAGCATTAGATATCAAAAACATTACCATTTTTTGTGCTTTGTTTCTGGTTACAGAAACGAGGTTAAAGAATGGACGTAAGCAAATCATTTAATCACAACTCATATACAAACATTGTGTTTGTCTATATGGAATCCTCAATCCGTTACTTCTAATTAGAGGCACATGCTTCATTCATGCCAATTATTCTGAACACTGCAAAAGTTTTTATGTCATCATAGTATTAAATATTGACCTCAAACTCCATACCGTGTCAAATAGTTATTGAGCCAACTATATTCCGTATATTACATGTATGCAAACAGTGCAGAACTAACATTTGTTGCTTATATCAGAAAGGATCAAGTCCCTTTTATATTTTCAAAGACTTCATTAGTGATGTATAAGAGATGTGACATGAATTGTGAAAAATAAAGAGATGGGAAATGAAATATATCATAAAGGAAACTTATTGGACAGTACCAGCTACCAACGTTTGTGAAAATAAATGTCATGTAACTATATCTCAAAAGATCATTTGAATCAGACCAGACATTTTTACTTGCCATCTACAAGAAGCATGCCACCAACTTCTACATCATTAACGAAGTCATCATAGCTGACACTAACACAAGTATCTGAGCCAACTCCTCCTTTTATCTCAAAAGTGAAGTCTCGTCTACTTGTTAAGGTAATCAGCTGTGGTGAGTCACCACTCCTAACCTCAGGGCCCTAAGACAGAACATGCAGAGATAAGAAAATCATATTAAGAAACCGGCTTAAGGGATATGCATGACGAAGGAACTAGTGAACATTTGCAAGATTGTTGGCAACAGTGTCCGATATTTGTCATCAAGATCAGGTAAAATAACTGTCCAGTATATTGACTCTCAAATTACGAAGCCTTTAAAGATACTACGACGTTTGTGCTTGCATCATACAACATAAAGAAAAAGAAGTATACGCACTGCAGCATTCTAGTAAACATAAACTCAGTATGCATTCGTGGGATACAAAATGATGTCACCGAGATCCAAAAGAAGCCAGAGGAATGAAATAGCAGTCGGAAGAAACCTGCCTTGGTGTCAAGCATGAGATCGATGACTTTTGATGAGATGCATGGTCTCCATGCGACATGTTCAACCGAGCAACATTCATGCCAGCCTCAGCTAGCTTCCATATCATCTCCCTTGTGTTGGTCGATGGGCCGATGATGGTGCAGACTATCTTAGTCTGCCGCACCACATTCGGCTTAGACCACAATCCCTTGGGAACTTCCCCAAATTGCTGAATACCCTTCTTCCTGCAACCAATTAATCGACTTCAATTTGTAATAATCTTTAACAATATTATAATGATTAAAAGCCCACTGAAATGAAAGAAATGGCAAGCACATAATGCACTGGAGACGAGCAATCTTCGACATGAAATAAAAGGTAAAGGGAAAGAGGAAAAAACAGAAAAGACAGTTGAGAGGTTGGAATCCGATAGGTGAACACCTTTAATATGTCATCCGGGAAGACAGGAAGAACACCGGCGTCGGAACGAGCGAGCGGCCTCGCCACGGCAACAGCTGCCTATCTCGATCCTCTGCTACTTTTCCTGGGGGAAGAACCTCGGGGGTAGCGTCGAAGGCCTGAGCTCGTGGAGATGGCTCCTCGCGTCCCCGGATCCGGAGCCCGATGGCGAAAGGCGAGAGAGCTTGGATGGATCGCGTCGCCACCACCTGCGCCATGGCTTCCACCTCCCAAAATTACCACCACATTCGAGCAGAGCCCTTCTTCGTTGGGGAGATCGCCGCGCCCGCGCCCGAGATTTGTCTTTGATCTCTGCTACTGCGATCGCATGTACGAAACATGGAGCAATGCCCTCCAGGCGACCCGTTACGACAAACTACCTGACCTGTGATCAGAGCACGCAGATATGGTCCCACAAGGGGACCCAGCACCGGAGCGCCGTGAGACGGTTCCGACAGGAACGGGTAGGAGCAGAGGGTCCTCTGTAGTCCAAATCCGAACTTTGTAACCCATGCCATGCATGAATGTATCCCAAATTCCAGTCTGATAAAAGTCAAATGAGGTGGTTTATAGCATTTATTAGGTGTATTATCATTGGTTTGGACTTTTAATTGTTTTGGATCAACGATCTCGATGCATAAGAATAAGTTGCATCCGCTTATGGTCAACAGCAAGATGTTGGATTTTGCTTACTGATCATAGCCTTTTCCTTTTTTCTTTTAATGTTATTTTGTACGTTCTAAGCCCGCCTGTTGCTTGAACTTTGCAGTTGCAGCGAGTTGCTCGACTGCATCGACCAGGTGATCGAGGCGAGCGACGAACTCGATGAGCAGCAAGGCGAAGGTGGCAAGCGAGAGAGCTGCAGTGCTCTCCAACGCACGCATCCTGGTGATCAGCTCGGCGCTGTCACCTCCTCCGTCTTCTTCTTCCAGCTCATCCACCTCCCTCGACGGCCACGAGTACAGCCTCCTCTGCTGCTTTTTCATGGTCTCATGATAAGTCCGGGTCTGCGGTTGTGCAGTCGCTGGACTGCGTTCAGCCTCGCGGTGTAGTTTGCTGGATGGATCAGATCCAGATCCATGAGAACAATCTTTACCGGTCGGCTTGCGAGGGAAACCATGTGAGTTGAGGAGGTAAGAGTGCAGGTCCACGGATCGCTGAAGACGATCGGTGGAGACACGAACACGCATGAGTTGGCTCACTCGAACGGTATGCTTCATGTTGCCGAGATCATTCGCCAAGCCGCGGAGCAGCTCTGCTGCTTCGACTGTTGCCTCAAGGATCTCTGTTTGGAATGTGACTCGAAGCTCGATCGGTGCCTGCAACCAATACGACACAAGTAGGTAGAATCGGCTTCTTTACAGAGGGAAGAAGGAAGGCGAGCGAGCACGAGGATTCGAACATCACCTGTATCTCCGAACGCAAACAGCCGTAGAGCGCCATCACTTCGTAGGCACAGTGCCGGAGCACGGCTCCGACCTTGACGTACTCCGACCAAGCACCGTAGTAGTGCCTGAACCTGCCGTGCGGCGGCTCCCACTTCGCCGAATTCGCCTGCGGACGCATGCACGCAATGCCACCCCAAATAAATCCTAGATCGATGCATTGCGGAGATTGCAATCGGGAAAGCAGACGAGATCGATTACCAAAGACTCGATCCTCGCGGATGAGTTCAGTATCGCTCTGCATCTCTGGCACGCAGGGTCGTCAGGGAATTCATCGATGACCACCCTCTTGCAGAACTCCGTGTGCTCTAAGCCATCGCCGCTCAAGTACTTCCTCGCACATTCTAAGCCCACAACACAGATGCGATGGAATGAACCACGGCATGAGAGTTTACGCTAAGCGGCGAGAGAAGCGCAGACCTTCGAGCGACTCGGCGACACAATAGAAGCTGTTAACAAGCTCCTCGTGCAGCTGCTCGCCGGCCCATATGGGGAAGACGAGTAGATTGACGCCGACGGTGACCGCCGCTCCGATCGCGATCGAGTACAGGCGCTCCATGGCGGTCCTCATCGGGTTGCTCATGCGATAGATGGAGACTACAATGAGGCAGTAGGTGAAGAGGATGACTCTAAAGCCATACTCGTAGGGGACACATGAAGGCCACAGCTTCACGAAGGAAGTCGCAGCTCCTGCAAGTTCCAAAAGTCTACCGTTAACGAAATCTTTAGCCGACTGTCGTCGTCGTAGGACAGATTGTGCATACCTACGAGGAAGATGCTGAAGCCAACAACAAATGGCTCGGCAAAACGGCCGCTGCTCATGGATATCCCGATCACCAAGATTGCGAAGATGCCGGCGAACAAGCTTCCGACGGCTCGGTTGAATCCCCGGTACAAGGTTGCACCTAGACGAATCATCCTTGAGAGAAATCTAACAGCGATGAAAGGCAGATGTTTGCATGATCTGCTGCGGTGAGGTGTACGCACCTACAGTGTATTCGAACATGATGCCGACGGTAAGGATGGACCAGAGGATGTTGGTGCCAAAGACCTCGAAGGGCCGCTGGATTAGTCCGAGCAGGGAGACGAGAAGCATGGCGAGACCAACCTTCAGCGCGAAGGTCACCCTGTCGGTGTCCTCCTCCGCGAACTCCAACACATCTCGAATGCATTTGGTGAGCAGCGAGCTCTCCTTGCTCGACTTCTTCACGAACTCAGGCAGTACGGCGTTGGGCGACAAGCTCACGTCGACCTTGTTGCTGCTTCTGCTTCCATTCATTCTCCTAAGCGTGTCAAGATTGACGACAGGAAGACGACAAGGTACCTGCTACTGGAAACGATCGTCACAAGGAGAGCGGTAATTTATAGTGTGTGAGCAAGGAAAGGAAAGGAAAGGAAAGGAGTGGCGGCTAAGGAAGAAGCGAGCATAATGTAGAACGTAACGCGAAGAATAATCCTAAAATAATAATAGAATATGATCGAAAGATGCTGCTCGACAGCAATAATGTAGTGGTGGATGGAACAGCTAAGAATATAACACCCAGGTGATAAGAATGCGCATGCACAGTCAAAGTTTAGATACTGCAACTTTGCCCACTGGTAGGCTTCATTATCTATCACTGATGGAGGATGAATTGAGTTGGGAATTAGTGAACTCGCAAGTTGCTGAAAGAGAACAACACAATTTTATGCATTCATAAATCTAAAGACAAGGGGAGAAACACCTGACAGACAGATGCAAGCATGCATATACAACAGTCACATCACAATGAGGCAGTTGCTTACTCGGTTCAAGAACATGAGCATTCTACTAAAGAGGAGATGACGCAATTCGCTGGCAGAAAAAAACCCATCAGGATACCAGAACTCGTTTGGGCTTCAAGGTCTTGTTTCTTGGGAAAAATGCTGAGAGAATGCTCCTGTTGCGAGCGGGAGGCGGGCAGATCTCGCGCCGTCCCGAGTTTTCAAAGGACTTGAGTCCTGAGAGGGTCTTTGTGCCACCCACTGGGTCCTGCTAACAAAATGACATCCCGCGAGATCAACTGAGTTATGCACATGAGAAACAATCTCGGAAAACAGAAAACTCATAGTTGTGATCAACAACAAAGTGTCTGTCAGAATTCCAGTTCCAATAGAACACAAACTCGTCCATAGTGCATGCGTTAAGTCCAAGTACGGTCATGTCATGGAATATGATGCATAGAAAGTTATAAAACAACTGCACGAGTTGCACACTCTTGTTTTGACTGTGGATAAGTTACCGAAAAATGCGGATATCATCGTTGTGATTATCCTTCATTCAACAAAGCTAACAAGGCATTAGGTATAAAATTCCGATGTGACATTATCTTATCTGATGTTAAATATCTTCATCAAATTTCAGGGAACATTTTGTCATTCTGTGGAGAATAATTATAGGGGCACCATCATTTCTACAGTAAGAATGCAAATAAATACTTTTGTCAATTAAAGAGGGAACACATGTTCAACCACATGGCTGACAAGCAAGGTGAAAAATTTCCGTATTGCAGAAATATGTTATATATACTCTTTCAGAACTATTCCTGGTAGACAGGTTTCAGAATAAAGAAGGAACCTAAAGCATGATGATGATTATCAAACAATAGTGGGGGAACAACAAACATGATACAGCAATTCAAAGCAGATGTTTGATAATAAAGCAATATCGATTGGTGTTGCCATAAAATTTGAATAAATAGAGGACCATTGCTTTAAAATTCACTGCCCTCACATCTTTTATTCTCCCATCTCATGGTAGATGAACTTTTGAATTAATGCAATAAAAAGAGTTTCTTTGTATATGCAACTTGCTTAGCTTCATTTAGTTAAAAGCTGTTTCACTATTTTACCTTCACGCCAAATGTGCAAGATGCAGGATCAGTAGTTGGATGTCCCTTGGCAGCCTGAAGGTGACTCTTTAAGGGCAGTGGTGCAGTAGGCTCCTCTGCTTCTGAAATTTTACATGAACTTAAATACTTTGCAAATACTAATAGAAGGAAAACATCATGTAGAAGACATTGAGATGCAAGATACCCAAAAGATGGAAAGAATCAGAAGTCACTTTAAAAGATTTAGATTCTTCAACCCTGCCAGAAGAGAAGAACATAACATTTAGGTCACGACAACAGAGCAAAGTTAGGCAAACCATTATAAACAGTGGTTGGGGAGTATTGCAGAAGCTTGCCGTGGTGCTGTATGAGGCTCACTACTTGGTGCAGAGTTGCTCTCTGAGGACAGGTGCCAAGATAACGTTTTTGGAGCAAGGTTTCCTGTGAAGTAAAGATACAAAAGGAAGCTTAAGGTTCAGGATTAACATATCTCAAAACCAAGCTGCATCAGTACATATGGACTAAAAACAAAAAACTGCACACCTGAAGCATGTGGAAGAGGTTTTGATTGAGCACGAGTCAGGTTGTTAGCTATTTGTAGCTTTGAACTGCTTTCCACCCTTTTACCTACCACATCTAGCTTGGTTATCAAATCAAAAATTTAGATATACCATCTAACCATTTCCTAAAAGAAGACAGGAATACTTATTGTCTCATACTTGGTAAAATGTAATGTTTGCGATGCCTCCTTCTTGTTCCAAACAATTGCTGCTGCCTAAGACCTTCTTTATCGGTGAAAGTTTGGCAAGTAAGAATTTGCTGAAAATGAGAAAGAACACTAGTTCAACACTAAATTTTAAAAATGGTGCTGTATTTCATATAACATTAACCTGATTGAGGCAATAAATTTTCAGCTCTATGGTTGAGACATCTGATGATTGTTGCTCAAAAAGGTCAGTCAATTTGTAAGCAACAGTACCAAGGTGATCAACAGCATTGACTAGGGCTCGGACAGCATATTCTTTCAGGTTATCCAATACCCTGAAAAAGGATGCATTTTCATAACAAAGCAAAAAAGTCATTCTCAATTAGCTTGGTGAAAGTTTGAGGTTGTGATTCTCTGCATTTTCCTAAAACAGATAATCTGTATGTGTAAACACCAAATGTTCGACATAAAGACTATTATCATAGTTGGGGATTTACAATTCTGAATAAGTGAATTATATATTTCTTAATGTTTACAAGAATATCGAAAGACACTTGGTCGCCAATCAACTGCATGCAGCTATCATTCATCTAGTTAAAGAGCAGCTCTGTGATGGTAAAAGGCACTACTTTAAGTATTATCAATCTCGTTTATCTCGCAAGTAAAACTGAGAAGCACCCAATATCATACCGAGCTGTGCCATGTTGGTAAACACTTGGAACTTGCTATACAGACTATGCATTTTTTAGTTAAAAAAATTATCCTCAGTGTTGAAGTAAACAAATACAGTTTACACATTTAGATATATTACAGTGCCGTTTGCTTTTATGCTTGTCTCTCAATGAAACTAGTTTAATCTAAAAATAAAAACCTTGAATATGAGACCCTTTTCCAGATGAGAGAACACCCATTTCTTGTTTTGGGACTTGATGTGCTCAAAGAGCAATGAATTTTAAGAAAGACGCCATCCACATGTTTCTTCAGGAAAAAAAAAGGGGGATTTCCATGCTTCTCAAGGACATTTTTTGCAGAATTAGATGATGGGAGATCTCATAACCATCTTCACATACCATCGAGTATGATTCAATGATGTCAAACCAATGTTTGATGATGCACTAAATTATTCATTTGTCTTATACTGTGGTATTTATTGACTAGAAACGATATTTTCTTGCGAGAACAAATAAAGCAACTAATAAGGTTTTTATGAAAATAAACCTATCAGAAGCGAAAGTGAAGTGAACTATTTTTGGTTTTTCATCTTCAGCTATCAAATTTTGTGGCAATAAATGCCCATGAATGATCTGTTTGGTACAATTACATTCAGCAGGTTCCCTCAGTTTGGTCCCTACCATGTTCAGTTAATTGGATGTCGATACTGGTACCATCCAAATAGCATCATCGTACAGCATCACATGAAGCAGGTATCTTTGGACCTTGTGAAAATTCCATATACTCAATTTACCCAGGAAAACGAAAAAGGAACACTCTGCTTGATGTATGTTATCCATATAGCAATACAAGGAGAAGAAAAAAAATATAAACTTTTTTTCCAAGAAGACATATAGACAAAGGATCAAGATCAGAGTTCCATGGAAGCAAAATCATAGGAAAGTAGATCTTACATCTGTTTCTGTTCACTGTGAAGGTAGGATTTTTCACAGTACTCGGCAGCAGAGTAAAGCTGAGGCCTCAGATTCTTGAGTTCCTAAACATTGTCAGCATCGATGAGCACAAATTTTGATGTGTTATAGACGTCGAATATGTACAAAAATAGATGATATCGAAATAGAACTGAACTCCAAAAACTAAGTAAAAGCATATCGTTCAGTCCAAAGGACACGAATCCTCAACTGATTAATCACAGAACAAAAGAACCCGTCCATCTTTGCTTCCCACTCTAGTTAATCCACAGTGGAGCGAAGAAGAGTGGGTGACTCGAGATCGATGTGGATCTGAAGCAAGGGGCACCGAAAAATTGGAAGCGCCAACGAACATAATCATCTCAAATGCTAATCATCACCAACTCATACAAGAAAAGAGGAAAAATCATTACGCACGCACCAAACCAAACGACAGCAAAGAGAGGTCTCAGATCCGGAAAGCCGCGGAAGCAACAATGGGAAGGAGAGGAGGGACCCGGGTCGGAAGGAGCGGACGAGACCACCTGCAAAGCCTGGACGAAGCCCTTGCTACGCTCGAGAGAGACCTCGTCGAAGGTCATGGCCGCGTTCTCCGGCCGCCGTTGCTGCATTCTTGTTGCTCCCCCACCCGCTCTCTCCGCAACACCACCACCGCGATCCGAAGAACAAAGAGAGAAGGGAAACGAAGAAGCCGAGGGTACGACCAGGAAGTTCTGCAATGAGAGGAAGCAAAGATTAGATCTCTGCTCGCCGTCTCCTCTCTCCCCCTTAAATTGCAATAAAGAAGAGGGAGGAAGCGATACCGGGAAACGTTATTTTTTGATTACTTTAATTTAAATAAAAATATAAATATGCGAAGCAGAAAGGCACCAATGAAATGATGATCATAATGATTGACGGTGATATGATCGATGGTGCGCAATATTAACCATCATCGTGTTATGCATTTGTCTTTAATCTTTTTTTTCCTTACATAGTTTATTATAAAAATTATCATAAGATTTATATCTTATCATGTTAATTATTTTTATTAAAACTCACATATATGCAGAATGTATGTATGCATGCACATATACGCTTCCACATGTATGCATATTGTAATTTATTGTCCAAGTTGTCCCTTATCAAAGTGAGTTACGCTTACCACGAGCGAGTGATGCATAGTAGTATATACTATATATACATATACTACATGCCAAACGCCATGGCAGCCGCATCATGAGGATCTTTCACATCTAGCAATTTATAATTCATTATGATACTCTTGACGAAGTATTATTATTATAGGGAAGCGTTAGAGATTAATTTTGTTCGAGTCCAATCTCTCTCTCTCTCTCTCAGTGGCGAATTTGTAATTGTCATGCAAATTACAAAGTCTCATGCATTGACTGGAATGACCAACGTAGGATCCGACCCAATAGAGAATGATTTGGTCAGCTTTGACCGAGGAACGATATGGTCAAATCATTCTGATAATTTCATGTAAATAATTATCTCTATCATATGATATATTTTATATAATCTATGATAATATCCTATTCGGATGCAGTGGAGTGGAGGTGGTGGTGTCACCGGAGAGGGAGACGACGTCCGTCGGTGTGGGGCGTGCAATCGATGCCGTGCCACCACGATCTCGTACGCGGCCGGCTGCTCGGCCGGAGAAGCCCGTCTGGGGCAGGACGACGGTGAATTCCGACAAAGAGAGTGGAAGAAAGCAGCACGACCGGAGCCGAGGTCGGCGACGGCTACGCGATACGTGCATGGCTTTGCGGGGAGGAATGGAGGGGGAAGGAAAGGATGATGAGGTCACTAAAGTGTGGATTCGGGAACGCTGAATTGGTTTCACGGGGAATGACGACGAAGCATCGAATGCAGCTTCTTTCCTCGTTGCTTTCAAGCCTTCCGTCCTACTCCATCATCAACTTCTTCCGGGCATTTGATCTTCGAGGAGAGTCCGATATCCCTCGCTCTCTGTTTTCCCTCTGTTCATCGAGAAACACCAAACGTATCCTGTGATTTTGAGCTGCAGTCGGCGATATAGAACCTATCAGCTGAAGCATTTGCATATCAAACAGTAAGCCATAGAGATGAACATCCAAAAGATTACAAGGCTATTATAATAAACGAAGCAAATCATGGGGAATCTTACCGAGGAGAAGCAGGTGCCCGGATGCTTGCGCTTCACGCGCTGTTCATCGAGTGCAATGATCGACTTCAAAAAAATTCCTTTCCTTTCCTTTGGCCTGTTTCTCCTGTCTAAGAGGCATATCAGGCTACTTTTGTAAACCCTTGTCGGTGTTAACAATTTGATATCGTGGACCGAAAGTTAGTACGATTTAGTCATATATCTTTAAAGTTGTAAAGTCATCCTGAAGCATCCTAATGAGAGCAAGATAGGAGACAGAGTTGAATAGATACCAATAAGAGTTGCTCCGAGGTGGTCTCTAAACTTCTGAGATTGTCCCGAGATGGACTTGAGTGAGCTCAATCTCTTTGGCGCCCTGCACAATAGGTCAATGGCGGGTGGGGGTTTCCGACTCAACTCCTCCAATGCTTGGATTAGTTTAGAGTGGGGACTATAACCTTTTTGGGGTTCCGAATCCGATCCCTGTTTAAATATCAAGTATCGATTTTTATACTTACGAAGTCTCTGGGATAGGACCATGGCCGATAGGGACTATCGATACGTCCTTTTATAGTGCATTCATGTGGACAGTCAGTCGATACGATCCTCTACGATACGAGTTGGCTAGTACGATCTCCTAAGACGCAAGTCGACTGATACGATCTCCTCATATGTGGGTCAACTACTATAAACTTTTGTGGTGCGACATCGTGCTAACAAAGGGTGGCCAAGGGGGTGTTGGCTATCTACATCATTTAGATGCTCCACTATCTTCCACATTAGCTCATTAGTGACCGTCACCTTACGATTGATATTGGAATATTCCCTATCAATAACACAGTAATTGTTAATTTGAATAGACAGAAAATGCTTCTGAAATGGAAGTAAGCCATGAGAATATAGCATCATGCCATCTACAGTTCACGCGTCTCTGGCCTTGGGTTGGAGCCAATCTCCTCCCCCTCCCTCTTCTACGGCTGCACCTCCCATGGAGACCTCACAACAGTGCTCCAACGGCAGCATTTCCTGTGGCTGGTCAAGGAACGTCAGGCTCCCTGGCGAATCCTCGGACGGTGGCCTGCGCTCCTCCCACGACGCTCAAGACAGCGACTCCTTCATCGAGATGGACCCCAGATTCATCTCCAAGCGCCGGAAAGCTGACTCCATGGATTTCGAGTTCGATCTGCCGGCGAGCCCTGAGCCTCCGCTCCTGGTTCATGCAGATCAAATCTTCTCGGACGGCTTACTGCTGCCGGTCCACCGCGTGACCCCTCCAAAGGCCGAAACGATCTCTGTTTCTCCCGCTGCAGATTCAGCTCTGAAGAGATCTCTGTCGGCAGGCTCATCAGAATCCTCTCTCTCTCGCAGCGACCGGTTCCGATTTCGCCATTCCCAGACTGCCGTAACTCAGCCTCCGTCACTAAATTCTTCGCCTCTCCGTAGCCCAATGCGAGGTCTGCCTTGGAGCTCACGCAGAACCAAGCAGGAGTCACCTCTCTTGAATGCCCGTGCCAAGTCCTACAGGAACTTCTTCTTCAAGCACTTGAAGTCCTTCCTGACGCCGTTCTGCAAGAAGGTAAAGGGAAAGGTAGTGATAACCAGGGCTTCCTGCTCGACATCACCGAGTGTGGTCGATGCAAGCATCCACGACGCCGTCATCTACTGCAAGAATTCTCTTGGTGAGCGCAGTGAGACGCGCCCACAAGTGCGAAAACTGTGTGTGTAATCTTTTCTTCCCCTCATTATGGAAAGCGTTCTTCTTCGTTTCTTCCTTGTCTGTTCAGAGGGAGAAGATCAAGTGGATGCTTACAGAAGAGCGGAAGAAATAGTAAGCAAACATATGATCTTTCGTATCATCGTCTTTCTCCGAGGACAAGGTTGCTTCACAATTGCTGCAACTGTAAACGGTACGTACCTTTCCTTGATAACAGGATTTGATTACATATGGTTAGTCATTAGGAGGAAGCATCGATCAAAGTTGGCGATTAATGGTTTGATTGAATGACGAGCTTTAGGTATCAAATCTGATACCGGACACCGTCTGCATGTCGACGTCATTCATAGTTGCAAGCAAATATATTCTTTCCAGCTCGATCGGATCGTATTCTTTTGATATGGAACGTCGTTGAGAGTCTGACAAATTCAACCTTATCAACCTTGGAAGAGGAAATCAGAAGTTCTTTTTTTTTTCTGAAAGAAAAATCACATATATAAGAACTAAAGGAGCTATTTTAAGTCGAACATCTTCTGGTTTGTTAGATTCAAGGCAAATCACTGGCAAACGATTATTTGGATGATATAAAGAAAATATCATATATCATAAAGTTAGGAGACACACGATGACGGTGACAATGAAGTGCTCGACCTGTGTGAGCCGTAAACAGCAGCCGAAGTTGGCATAGTTAGACAAGATGAGATGCTCTTCATAAATTGATGCTACCTGGGCCTTCCATTGATGTTCTTCATAAATGGCCAGCCTCGGTGCCATGGCTAACATCAAGATGATACTTACGCTCTTGATAGGTGATATGGATACTACCTGGGCCTTGCATTTATTTAAGCACTGACTGCACTGTCAAGCCTCGGTCCCATGACTAACACCAATCTCCAATCTCTGCATCAGGAGCCCTGGGACCAGCTTCTTCTTCCCCATCCAACTCCTATGAAAGCATCCTACAACTGGAGGATCGTAGGTAGAGTGGTGGGTCAGGTTGTGGTGCAGCTGGGTCACATGGGAATAAATAGAACCAGCGAAGAGAAATTTACCACCTGATTCTTTCTGAGCACGATGAGGAATACCAACCATGTACGATGTCCGAAGCATCCTGCACAACAAGATTTAGAGCCAACATTTCAGTACATTGATGAGTGCAGATGTTTATTTCAGTAGCCGTCTCTGCGAATCTGCTCATATTTTTCTTCAGCACCTGCTGACCGAGTGATACGCACATCATTGTTTGTAGAAGACCTACCAGTTGAAGCAGCGATCATTGCAGAGAGGCAGCTTTTTTTTGCTTTTAGGCATGATAAAAAGCTTGAACCTTTCAAGAGGACGAAAGCTATGTCCATGCAAGCGACACTTACCGATACACCAGTTTTGCATCAGAGAATACCAAATAATAACCTCACCTCAGTAGAAGATGTAATCGGTTCCAAATTGCAAGCAACGCTGACTATGTCACATTATAAATAGCAGGCAAGGAGTATATACACCTCATGCCTTTTATCTGGTGCAGCAACACACATCACAAGCCAAAAGAATCTACTGCTGGATTAACAGAAGCAAAGGACACACCTGTATTCTTCTTCCATCACTTTGAGCTGTTGTCCATCATCATGCTCTATTTGTTCAACTTGCCTCGCATCAAACATGTAACCATCCCTCCCAGTGGCTCTACATAGCAGCCAACATCAACAGCAAAATCCAAAATTAAAAATGGTCCTCATCAAAATCCCCAACTTCTATACTTTTGTGTGCAACCATATATGCAAAATTCAATATACATAATGATCGTGCCAGTACTAATGTAAACCAACATTTAAATGCTAACCTTAAATCCTCAAATATTCAACTTTACTTGTAAGGATAAGACTATGGAAATCCATAGAGCTTAGCAGATCAGGAAAATTTCCATCCATGTCTGCCTGCAACCGTAAAGGCAAAAGGGATAAATTGAAACCGTTGCTTTTTGAAAGAGAATGAAAGTGTTGTATATGACAACTTAAAAAGTAAAAGGTGTGAAGGCAAAAGGCTGAAAGGCCAACAAAGCAGAACGTAAGCATCATCGCTTTATATACCACAAATCACCTCCGGAAGCAGGGTTAGGCTACTTTACAACCTGCCTCAGCTCAAAGGCAGTCGAATCCTGAGCACTTTTTTGTGGTCGTAGCAACAGCACTTCTGGGAATGGCGTGACAAGCTCCTGAGTCCTGCCCCTGAGATATAGTACCAGCAATCACAATGTTAAAAGGAAGCCACATAAGAAAACTTTGCGATACCCAAACAACATAACGTAATCATGATGCTAAAGAGAGCAACAAAACCATCAGAAGTTTCACGAAATTAAATCATGCAAAGAATCCATCGGTACCATGAACATGAGTCCTATTGTCGTGTTTTCAAATTGCTCATTCCGGTGCATACCAAAATAAATACACTGACGTATCTTCAAATTAATAATTAGCAGCCCTAAGAATTTTTTTTTTTCCGAATGAAACATAAACTTCCATAATCTCACAAAACAATCTTCAGCTTCTGCACATCAAGAACAACTTGCATACTCTTCCAGGAAACGTATAAGCGAGGAAGTTCCGATAACCACATAGTACACAGACAACCAAGAAGCAAAAAATATGCCACAGAGCATATAGCTTATCCAAATCCACCAAGGAACCCGCTTACGGTGACACACACTAAAACAAGAAAAACTACGTGATGCAATACAGAAACATTAACAAAACCAGATGACTGATAATAGTGACATGGCTAAGAAACAACTCACAAATTTCAGTACATCAAATCACCTCATATAAGCCGAAAATTATCATGCTCGAAACAAGAATGATAACATAGCTTTGATCCACATCATAAAACTTGGAATCACTTATATTAGTTCAATTGGTGGTCGTCTCCATGGCCACCTAATTAGCTACCCAAGTGGAGAGTTAGTTATAAGCGAAAAATTGATGAACAGTCATCACAACAACTGAAAATCCATCACTAGCCAATAAACTGAAACGATCAGCTGCAGCCACACAATAACTTCTCCCCTATTGGAACTTCTTATGCTTCAAAGGCACCTTTGGAATCTTGCTCAAGTTTTGGCAGTAACTACAGCATAGTGTTTCTTGAACTCTGCTTGTGTCTTCTCTGCAAATGCATCAACCTGGTCCTCGTACTTCTCATACAGCACAGGCACCGTGTGCAGCATGACAAATGCTGTGTCCCAAGTTCAATGGCATAAGAAATCTAAGGATGCAGTCAATTCGATCCAGAAAATTAGATACTACTTCGGAAGTTTAGATTACCTATATAAAATAAGGTCAAGAAATTGCAGCAGTTGCCAAGGATCGACAGAACCCACAACCCAGCAATAACCTGAAACATCAAAGTACCAGCCATTATATACCCAAAACAATGCACTAAGATCCTGAACTCCATCGTGAGATAAGCTACACAACATACAGCAAGGAACTTCTTCAGATCACGCCCTAAAGCGAAGGCAGCAAAGCCCCGGTTGATCTGGTAACGGAGGGAAAGGGCAATGTTCGCAGCTACATCTTCGGGAATGCTTACCACGGGAATGTTCGGCGGGGACCTACCAAACACATCACGATTAGATAGAGCTATCGGAGGAGGCATGAACTCGAAGCAACACAAATCTGAGAGCCGAGCTTACTTGTTCATGAAATGGGTCGCATTGGAGTAGAGGAAGGTGATGGCCAGGGATACGATGAGGGTGTGGCACGCCACGGTGAGCAGACGGTAGTCCAAAAGCTCGAACAATACCCACGTGGCCGTCGCCCCACCGAGCGTGGCGGCCGAGACCTTGTTGTTACTCCATAGGAAGACATCAGCAGCTGCTCGACAATTGCCGTCCTATCATCAGTAATCGTTCAGATGCTCTCAAGCAATTCGATCAAACAAATATTACAAAAAGGCAGCTCGATCCGACTGAGCACATATCTCATTTATCGATCGAGGTCGAATCGGGGTTTCGGTGTGGATAAAATACATCGAATAAAAGAAGGCAATAATCTTTCTTTCCTTCTAAATGGAAGACAGATGCAAACTCAAATCCGAGAGAAGTAGCCGACTCGAATCAACACTTGGCAGATCACGCAACGGCATCTTATAGAGCCTACAGATCTCATCGGCTACCCAACTCGGCGAATAAAGCAAACTCGATCTCGATCAAACCGATGGGATTTTTTATTCTTCTTCTTTTTAGAAAAAAAAAAGTGCATATATTATCGGTAAAATCATAAAATGTGGACAACAGAAAGAGGATCCGTACGCTTCCCGCCGCCCAAGATCAGGTGGACGGCCTTCTCCCGGCCGAAGAGGCGGTATATCTTCGCCTTGACGGCGTCGGCGGCGGAGGGTTCCGAGGTCTTCTCGTTGTCCGAATCCGACGACGAAGAATCCTCGCGGTGCAACTTCTCCTTTTATCTGTTCCATCAGCGACGACTCCGCCGCCGTCTCCTCCTCGTGCTCCGCCATTGTCGCCCCCCGCTCCCACTCTATAGTTTGAGGACAAGCGATCGTGGCCATCGGATCGGGCTACGGAGATCGATCGAAAAGAGGCGGGGCAAAGCTGCCCGAAAGGGAGGGGAGGATTAAACTCCACGGGCGGCGCGGACGGCCGTTATTAGCTTGACGGCGATTTCGCTTTGAGAAGGGCCGCGTCGAAGGCGACGTCAGCGAGGCGTTATTAGTTTTTGCATACTACAGTTTTTGTAGGGTCGATAATATATTAATCATTCTAAATAACATCGTACTTTTATGCAGCTGTTTGCCATGAGAACCTTCCCCCGGATAAGATTATTACGTAACTTGAAAAATAAAGCACAATCCAAGTTTGTCAACGGTCGTTGTAGTATAGTGGTGAGTATTCCCGCCTGTCACGCGGGCGACCCGGGTTCGATCCCCGGCAACGGCGGTTTTGTCGTTCGTTTTAAAATAAAAAAGATTAAAACATAACCTTCTTGAGCTCATTAGAATAGAGATACCCAAACAGTTAAGAGAGATAAATTTACCATTTAAATTCGATTTTTGATCGTGTTTGTGCCAGCTATCAAAACATCTTCAAACAAACAACACTTGAACTTGGATCATACCGTCCTAATCGACATGACAAGAAATCTCATCAACAACTCGACACTCCACAAGAGCAGAGTCACCGCGGCCAAATTCCACAGCACTCGCATAATACCCAAAAAAAGAGAAAATAATACAAATCATAACAACAATAAACATCACAGAAGAACAACAATTCCTCCTTTTAATTAATATATAGTCCTTTTTTTTAAATTTTCTTGCTTTTATGGTTTTATTTTGATGTGCGCACCGACGTTCAGTTGGTGTAATTCTTGAGGGCGGCGGCCGGCTCGCAGGCCTTGGCGGCGGGGGTGGGCTCGACGCCGGGCGAGGGCGGCACCGGCGTGCCGAGCAGCTCCTTGGGGAGGTCGGGGATGCCCCTGAGGTAGAAGGTGTAGAAGATCTTGAAGGGGAAGACGATCTGCTGCAGCTTGACCTGGCCGTAGGCACCCTCGAACACTCCGGAGCCGCCGGTCACGGCCAGGTGGGACTCCTCGTACGTCAGGTACGCCCCCTGCACCGAGATGTGCCCGTAGTCCCCGAAGTAGAAGCTGTAGATGGCCTCGTACCGGTCGCCGTCCCTCTCCGGCACGTGCTGGATCAGCACGCAGATCCCCGACGTGATGCCCAGCCGCTTCTCCAGATTCCCCGAGTACAGCTATTGTCGTCATGCATGTTGACAGAAAAGAAATGTTCACCCACCGGAAAATAGATGATGAACACTGTGAATATGCAGATAGGATGATGGAGAAGCTTGAGCCTGCCTTATTGCTGAAGGGCACGAGATCGCCCAGGAAGTTGACTTGTTTCTGGCTCAGCCGAAGGTAGGCGGGGCTGCCGCGGTCGCGTTCGTTGATCTCGTACACGCACAGCTCCTGCACCTTAGCTGAAAGCCGTTTCCTTGTGTTACCCTCGGCTTTCGGAAAACAAAGACTAGCTACTGCAAACGGAGAACGAAGAAGATAATACAAGCTCGTGAGAAGAGACGAGAAGAAAGAATACTTGGTCTGGAATCTTCAGGGAGCTTCTTGGAGAAGAAAGAAGTGAAACCGATGGCTATCGTCGGAAGAGCAGATTGGCGGCGGCGCCTGCGGGGATTTGAAATCCGTAGTTTCGGGATTTTACACGAAGAAAGGAACGGGTTTGGGATCGATGGGATTGAGGAAGGCGCGGTGGTGACTCGTGAGAGATTGGAGAGGGCTTCCGATGAGTTTGGCAGGTCGAGGGAGGAAGCTCTGAGGCATGAGGATGATGCCATGGAGGAAGCGGAAGGTGAATTGGCGGATCCGAAGCAGACGGACGCTGGAAAGCGGTGAACAGCGTCGAGTGAGGGATGATTGGGTTTACTTACGGGTGCAGTATATAATGTGTGTGTATGTGGCTGCGTTTAGAAGGAAAAGAAGTGACGACAGAAAGGAAAACAAAGCGTCGCCTGGGGTCCACTCACGTACGGAGACACAGAGGCCAGTGAAGATTGCGCGATGGTGAGCGAACGAGTAGAGTGCATCGATGACTTGGAAGGAAAAGAAGGCAATGGTGGTCCGCCTCGACCACTGTCCTGCGTCACGCACACTGAGCCACGTCATGTCTGGCACAGGCAGCCCGTGGTGGCGGACCTCCACACCAAGTCTCACTCCGCTGCGAAACGCACACGGATTGATTAGTGTACTGCCACTCGCTCTCTTCTGCTACCGATCAATCTAACCAACTTAATCCCCATTGTTTACTGGTAGTTCTGCACATGTTTTGCACGTGTAGACAATGTCTGATTACAATCCTATTTGTCGGATCCACACGATCCGACCCGTTAGCCCGGTTGTGTCGGACGAGGGTAGGTTCCATCAGACCCATGTCCGGTTCGGCTGGATCTCTTAAATCAACGGCTCTCGTCGGGTCCGCCTCTCCGCGCCTACTACTAAATTCCGCGCCTCTGATGACCTTGACGACGCGGTTGTACTGCCAGGCTCAGCGCAGCCCACAAGACCTCAAAGAAGCGCTCGCTCACGCCATCTCCCGCTGCTGCTCCGCCCACCATCTCCGGGGCCTCCATGGCCGAGCCATCGCCTTCGGACTCCGTCACAACCTGTACGTAGCCAGCCTCCTTATCGCCCGATACTTCCATTTCGGTGACCCCGCAACCGCCCGCTTAGTCTTCGACGATGGCCGACGAGGGGGACCGTCGAAGACCCTCCTCTGGAATTCTCTTATTAGAGGATACCTCAACAACGGCCGGCCTCGGTCGGCCTTGCACGTCTATCGTGAAATGGTGGCGGCGCGGCCTCTGGCGCAGTGCGAGCCGGACAGGGTGACCTTTCACCTCGTCATCACGGCTTGCACCCATTTGTCCGAATTCGATTTGGGTTCGAGAGTTGGAGGACATGCTCGGGCCAAAGGGCTCGATTCCGATCTCATGGTGGGGACGGCGCTTCTTGATATGCACGGTAAAGCCGGGGAGATTGGATCCGCTCGAAAGGTGTTTGATGGAATGGCTTCCAGAGATGTGGTAGCTTGGAACGCCATGATCGCGGGGTACTCGAGAGTTGGATCCTTCTACGAGGCTGTCAGTTTGTTTAATGTCATGAGGCTTGGCCAAGGAGTTCTACCCAGCGAGGCTACTCTGGTTAGCTTAATCTCCGGCTGTGGGCGTTCTGGTTCTCCCAAGGACGGAGAGGCCATACATGCTGATGCAATCAAGCTTGGTTTTGAGGCCAGTTTGTTTGTCTTGAATTCTCTAATTGAAATGTACACCAACTGCGACTGCTTGGGTGTGGCATGCAAATTATTTGACAGGATGGTGTTTAAGGATGCCGTCTCATGGAGTACCATGATTGGTGGATATGTCCAACACAAGCGGCCATATGATGCCCTCAAACTGTTCGAATGGATGATCATGAACACACAAACTCCTCCTACCAGATCCATTTTGGTCAACGTAATTCTTGCATGCGCAGACTTGGGTGATTGGGAGGAAGGTAAACTGATCGAGGAAAAGTACTTAACTAGCAAGCAAAGCGAATCTGCATGGGACCCAAGTATGGTTACTACACTCGCCTACATGTATGCCAAATGTGGGAAGTTGGATGTTTCACTCAACCTTCTGGATAGAGTTGAAGTGAGAGGAGATACGATTGCATGGAATGCAGTGATGAAGGCCTATGCTGAGCTTGGAATTGTCGATAAGGTTTTATATCTCACGCTTGTAATGCAAAGGAGAGGCATCAATCCTGATCTGGTTACCATCGTTACTTTGCTTTCCGCTATATCCCATACCACATTTTTGAAAAAAGTGATGGAAGCACATGCACAGATTATTAAAAGAGGCTTTGAAATGGAAAGACAGATCGCAAACTGTCTTGTCGATGCGTATGCCAAGTCCGGAAGCATTACAGACTCGAGCAAGGTATTTGATGACATTGCAGAGAAGGATGTGGTTTCGTGGAGCACAATGATAAAAGCTTTTGCATGGGAAGGGAAAGTAGCTGAAGTCCTCAATCATTTTGAGCTAATGAGGGAAACAGATACAACGCCAAACCATTTTACGTTTCTTTCACTGCTATCTGCTTGCAGCCATGCAGGTCTTGCAGAGAAGGGGTGGAAAATTTTCAATTGTATGAAAGAGGAATATGGCTTGGAACCGGGTGTCGAACATTTAACTTGCCTGGTGGATATGTTCTGCCGAGCTGCAAGGTTGTCTGATGCATACAGTTTGCTAAAAAATGTGATGCAAAGAACCATCAGTCATGCTGCCTTGTGGAATACTTTGCTCAGTGCTTGCAGATTGCATGGTGATGTTGTGATCGGGGAAGCTGCTGCCAGGCATCTCTTCCAGTTGGAACCAGAAAATGCAGCGAATCACAAGATGCTCGCAAACATATATATTTCAGCAGGGAGAAGAGATGATGCTAATGGTGTTCTAAGATTGCTGAATGCAAATGGCTTGGACAGTATGCCTGGATGCAGTTGGTATGAGGCAGGTTAAAGATGTTCCTTGGTAATGGAATATGTAATGCGACTTGGAGTGAAGGTTTTGCTTTTGTGACAGTCAAACCATCAAATGTGCTACAAGATCAGCCCATACCTGAAGCAAATGGATGTCATGGTAGATTAATGGACCTGTTTTTATTTGGTTTTTCCTCAAAGTTATCCATTGAAGGTGGTATCATAAACATCAACAATAGTGTGAATAATAGATTTAATTTAAAAAATGAAAATCAAAACTACAGTGTGGTAAGGAAGGAGCAAATTTAGATGCAAGAAGAATATAAATGCAAGGTAGATGGTTGACCAACTACTCGTACTAATTATTTTGTTAGCTTTTCAAGTTCAACTTGATGTTATTAGTGTGTTATATTTTTCTTTTCATTTTCTAGGAGAGGCAGCATGGCTTTGACCTGTGGCCTATTCTCATGTCTAAAGCATTCTGATTGCAACCACAGAGGAAGATATAATATTGGATCAGTTTCACATAGAATGGTGAAAGAATTAGAACATTTTTTTAATACCTTCAAGCTTTTGACTATTAGGAACAAAGGTCCCGATTGGATTCATGTAGGATTAATTGTCAGCTCAACTTCTTCTGGATACGTATAATTGATATTGGCACCTGTTCAAACTGAAATTTAATAGGTCTAGCCACAGAATAATATTGTTGTAAATTCATGTACCTTTTTTGTAGGGAAAAATACATGATTCTTTAGGCAAGATCGTATATACAATGACACTTGTATTGTTTTAGGTTCCTGTTGAAGCATTCGATAGCATTTTCACAAACATAGCAAAGATATTAATGGAAGCCAAATATGCGGAGGATCATCTGAAACAGCAGCTTATGCTCTCTCTCTCAATGTTCATGCTCAAAGGAGATACAGGGTACACGGGAGGTTATACCTTATCCTTTCTCAATGTCAGTTGACTCATGAACGTTTAGAACTGCTGTTTTCAAAGATGTGAGGAAATTAAGATCAAAATTGCTGTTGCTGCTTGTGGGATTTGGATGGCCAGGAATACTAACACATACGTGGGAAGATCATGGAACTCTACATGGGTGCTGTGGTATATTGGTGGCATGGTTAAATCTTTGCAGGTAGGACAACATCAGCAGGAGATTCAAGACAGCTCGGGAGCAAATTGAAAGTGGATACCGCCTCTGCAGGGCGAATGTAAGCCAATTGTGGTAGCGCCTGCTGTCATGAAACGAAATATAGTTGACAAGGTGTGACCATTGGAGATGCATGCGGCCATGTTGTAGGGTCCAGATGACCCATTGCAACGTGCTCAAAAGGTATTTATAATGTCAAGATCTTGGCAGTTCATGAAGGAATGGTTTTTGAGCAATATCACCAGCGAACGCAGAGGATGAGTAGTTGGTGTCATGTTAGGATGAGTGTAATGCCATCAAGATTTCCTCATTGCTGTAGATTGGATCCTAAAAGTCAGAAGTTACCTTCCCGCAGGAGAAAATGATGGCGAACTCTCAAGAAATTGCTGCATGGACTTCTTTTCTTGTAGTTCCAGAAATTGAGCGTTGGTGGAACCATACTTTTTAGATCAATGTCGATGAGGCTCATCATTGGTCATTACTGATGTTATCACTTTGGCTAGTAAGAGACTTTCCACTCTGAAATAGATTTTTCTGTTTCGGGATGGAATCAAAAGGTGGCATTCGGGAGGAGTGGCTTTTTGACTTTTTAATGAGGCATTCATCAAACGTTTTATTTTGCTCCCCAACCAATATGAGACCAGACCAAATGTAAGTATTATCGAGTATATTTGTTGCAAATATATTTTTCAGAACTATGGAACTTCTTTATAAGCCAATTTGCTTTGTGAAGGTCTGTCTTGTAGATAGATGCTGGTGTTCACTTAGAGTCTGCTGATTGAATTTGTCTCCTTGTTTTTCCTACGGAAAAAGAAGGAGGAGGCTTATACAGACTGCTAAATCGACTGTGTCATGGTCCTTCATTTAAATCTCTTTAAATGGGAGCACAGTTGAGCACACTCCCATCCTGTATGTAGTACCTCTTATCTCAATTGGATCATGTAGTTTGCTGATTCGTGTGCGTCTTTGCAGGGATGAACTTTCATGCTCAGCCTATACACCGCTGGCGTAACCTGAACCTGGCTTGGTGGCTCTATTCCTCCTGGCGATCGAGAACCACTGCCCGCACAGCCTCTGAGGCAAGATTGGTAGAACAAAAATTCACTTGATGTTTAAACCTTACGGGTCCACTGTCTTGGCCTACCTTCCCCACCTCGAGGTTTGAATCGAAATGGTCCAGCTGATGAATCTTGAATTGGCTTGGAAACACTGCACCTTTGCCTGGCTTCCCAATGACAACAAGGACAGCGTGTGGGGGGGCCTTCCCTTGCAGGCTTGCAGTGATTAGATTTTTTTCCATGAAGCAGCTTTTGGAACCCAGGTGCGGTTGCACACAAGGGAAGGGTGTAGACCTAATATCCTTAATCCAATCATGCCACCTTTTGATTTTGATTTGTATCTCCTGCTGTTGATTTTTCTTCAGAACCAGCTGTTGACTCGGAGCTAAATGACGCAGGGCACTGGGGACCCACCGAAAGATCAAGAAACACACACACATGTTATCTTACATGGCATCCGGAGAGACTTTAAAGAACATGGTTGGGGTGGCAGCAGCTTCATGGATATGTCTGTGTTTTGGAGGATGTTGTGGAATTAAATTAACCTTTGTCCTTGGTTAGGTTTTTCTGCATTGTGGCCTTCGTTCGATAGAGCCAGAATTTAATGGGGGGGATGCATCCATTAATCCCATCCAAGAAATTATTCAGATGAACAACATACTTGTTTAGATGGACGGTGACTCGTAAGCTTTATTTATGTCCTTCCTCCTCTTGAATCTGACACCATTAACGTGAGACATCGACCAAGCTGCTTGTGAATTTTCCAAGGCCTTCTCATCTCTCGGCTCCCTCTTCTCAGTTTCAAAACTCATGAGAAGGAGGGAAGCTTGATCTGAAAAATGAATGAAACGGAACCTACCATCATGTTGTTTACTTAACTTCTAGTCTGACAAGAACTTGACCTTCTTCTCCAAAACCAAAACATTACAGAAAAGAGAGAGGCAAAATGGGGTAATCATCACCCCTGCTGCTGCTGCTGCTCATCATTCCTTCAGCAGATTCATTTGAACCAGCAAGGTGTCCTCATCGTATCCAGTGAACCTGAAACTGGAGGGTGGTATGATGACGACGCCTGCCCCCTGTCACCACCATCCCCATCCATTGCGGAAAAGAAGAGGAAAAAGGAAAAGCTGCAAACCAAAGGCTTCTCCTCCCCCTCTCTCTCTCTCTCTCTTTGCAGAGTCTCCTCCGCTCCCTCTTTGGGGAAGCTTCCTGTTCCACATGCATCACAACCCCAGGTGACCCGTCACTTCCAAAAAGAACTCCTTTCCCCCTTTCCTTCTCTTTCTGCGACCTCACTGTAGTGCACGCAAGGGCACTAAACAAAAAAAAATAAAGAGATGGCGCGGAGTTCACCTCTCCCTCTCCCTACCCACTCGCCACAGCCGTGCTAAGGCACACTCCATCACCCACCCTACGCGAGCGACATGATTCGGGAGGACGATCGCGCGGTGCGATCCCCTCCCCGTACACATTCTACTCCTCCCGATGGTGACAACGACTCTGTCGTCACGTCATGATCGTGCCCAACAACATTTCGTCATTTGGTTTTGGCGTTGCCTTTCTCACGTACATATAATTGCATTTGTTCCGACCTTCACATTTTGTCTTGTTCATGAGCAACCTCCTCGGATTAGTAGTCTTCTTCTACGTAATAGCTACAGGTTTGGGGGCACGATGTCCCTCGTCCTTCTCGAGAGCTTGCATGCGAGATTACCCGACTCGGATCGACGTTGAGTCACGGGAAGACCAGAGCGACATGCGATTGGACATCGTCATGCGGGACCCATCGCATACAGGGACTGCGGTAAGGGCGGTGGAATAGGAGTTCAGCAAATGAACCACAGGTGATGCAGCCGCGAAGAAGCTCCTGATTCGTGTTGTCTGATATCACGTCGCTTCTTTAGACAGCTGTAGGCCACCGTTTGGAGTCAAAGAAATGGTCCGATTCTTTGGTCCTCTCTCTCCCTCTCGGGTCGAATCGATGACGCGACTACCACTGCTGCCACCGCCTACTACTACTGCTGCTGCGAGGAGCCGCGCTCGAGCTCACTCACGGCGACACGCCTCTTTTTGAGTTGGACTGCACTCTCCCTCTCTAAAAGCCTTCGGCAAACAAGCCAAAAAGAAGCCACAGGCCTGCAAGCCAGCGACATGGAGTTCCTCAGACTGCTCGCGCATGGTAAACGCGGTGGCGGCGCCAAGCGCTCCTTCATTAACACCGCCGCCGCCGCCGCTACCATTGCCACCACTGTCCTCCGCCCAAACTCCGACGACGGGGGCGGCGACAGTGAGGACGAGGGCCCCTTCTTCGACCTCGAGTTCGCCTTGCCACTGCGGGAAGAAGATCATCTCTACCGCCAGAAGCAGCAGCAGTTCTCCTCCGATACAGAGTCGTATGACGAGGACGAGGAGGAGGAGGAGGAGGAGGACGAGGAGTTCGACCTTACGGTGTCCCCGGACAGATGTAGGTACGGCCGCGGCTTCTCGTCCCGCTCCGAAGACCTCTTCTTTAAGGGTCGCCTCGTCCCGCTCGAGCCGTCTTCGTTAAGAGACTTGGCTGCATCCGAGCCCAAGGCGTCGAAGCCTCAAGTTACCGCCTTTCTTCTCAAATCCGCCGCCAAGTTCCGCGTCTTTAGGCTGGGATTTCACAGGAAGTCGAATTCGGCATCGACGCAGACCAACCCCGTCGCCTCCCCTGCTACGACGTCGCCATCGCCGAAGCAACAGCATCAAAACAAGTTTTCCGTCAAATTCAAGGTGGAGGAGACGCCGCTGGCGTCGCTCTTCACCAGGGACAGCAGCTCGAGGAGCTCCAGCAGCAGCAGATCCGTCCGGTTTTTTGCCGATGACGGGTTACCGACCTCGGAAGCAAGGAAACTCCCAAAGGACGTACTTCAACGGTATATCAGCAAGATCAAGCCGCTTTACATCAACATTTCGAAGCGGTACGGCGGGAAGCTCCGCTTCACCGGGCCGCTGAGGTCTGGCGGAGCCTGGAAGGTACGTCCCGCAGGGGAAGGCGGAGAACCAAGCGGAGGAGAGCAGCTGAAAGAACCAGCTTCGGCCGCGGGTACCGTCGCGGGGTCACTGAAGTCGCAAGATGGAACTATCCCGGCAGGGCTGAAGGTGGTGTGCCGGCGGCTGAGGAAGAGCCGGTCGGCATCGGCAGCCGTCGCCTCGGTCCGGTCGCCTCCTCTGGCGACCGGCAGGCGGGACGACTCCCTACTGGAGCAGCAAGACGGAATCCAAAGCGCCATCGCCCACTGCAAGCGGTCCTTCAACAGAGGTATGTACGGTAAGTAGCTCCCAAGTCCGGTCGCGCCTTCGTGTCACTGTACATCCACACTCAATCGTACCAACACACTGGCGTCAACTGGTCGTGCAGGTTCCGAGTCGCCGCTGATGCGGTCGAGGAGCGATCCCGGCGAAGGGAGATCAGTAGAATTAGGCAGCGGCAACAACGTTTGATCATCGTTTGTGAGGACGGAGGCGGTAATTGAAATGCATGAAGGAAACATGGAAACTGAATCGAGAGTCATGCCGCCAAGTAGATCTCAGTCAGAATCGTCCTTGTTAGGAGTCGAGAAGTCGTCGCGTTCTCTTCCTTGCTCCATTTCTAATGTCGTGTGCCATGTAATGCTTGTAACTAGATTCACTAAGCTAGTCAATGATCGACTTCCGTCTTTGTTAAAGACAAAGCGTTTCTCCTTCTCCAAATGAAAAGCATAAGCGGCACGCAGCAGGAAGTGTTTCTTCTTCCCGGAACGATGGCGAAGCGGAAGAAGACAGGGCCGGGAAGACAAAAGGATCTAAATGATTCTTAGGTGTTGGAAACAGTGTCTTCTTTAGAGTATGAGATGTCCTGCCGTAGTAACACCTCACTCGTTCCTTTCTTTGCTAGAGACGCAGCTTAGGTTAGGTCATCCACAACGCGAAATCCTCTTCTTTTCTTTCTTTCACATCTGAGAGGGAGAGTAGAGACAATGACCGAAACAGTAAAAGCTTTGACCACTGAAAGGAAAAGCCAACCGCCTGCCCCCCATTCTTTTCCTTTTCCCACGCCCTCGCAAAGATTTCCCTCTGTATCTTCCACCGCTGTAGTCGGAACTCTATCGTGGTCATGACACCATCCCAAGATTTGGAGTGTTGACGGCCTTGATTGATTCTATCAGGAGGATGCAGTGTGCATGCGCCAAAAAGATCCTGAAAAGGGATGCTATTGTCGATGATCCCCGCCGGTATTAGTATACCTCCGCTGGAGTCGCTGGTGGTCGTGTTCATCTTCCTGGCTTGCGGCAGAGGCAAGTCAGAGAGTACTCCGGCACGCATAATCCATCGAAGCGCTTTACAAACCAGAGGGCCATGACATGGGGGTTCGCACCCGATGCACAATTCATTGCGCTATTCTACCTGCAGGATCATCTCTTCAACCAAGGCGGGCGAGTAAATTGTTGCTGTGTCTGGACTTTGACTGATACAACTTGGACGCCAGAAAAGTGGGATTCCCAAGTTTGACTCATCATTGCTGTCAGATCACGGTTTATCTTCCCCATTTTTTCCTGCTGCTACATCAAATTGGACCCTTAATCATGCTTTCGTTCACAGAGATGCATCACAACCCCTGTATGAGAGAAGACAATTCCTGCTGCTACATCAAATTGGACCCTTAATCATGCTTTTTTCGTTCACGGAGGTGCATCACAACCCCTGTACGAGAGAAGACAAAACATGGCTTCAAACGCGAGACTTTCAGCGTACGGATTGGGCAGGAGAAGGCATCGTTGAAGACATACGCAAGCCTTTGGGTTGGCTCTTTCGGGTACATGACTAGATTGATTACTTACATGGCAAAGAAAAGCTAAAGTCCATGGAAGGCCGCTTTAGCAGACACGGAGAATAAAGCGAGGGGCATCACCGGCCCAATGACCAGCATATATAGCATGGAAAAGGCAGGAGGGCTTGCGGTCTGAGGTCCCAAAAGTATGCAGGCGTCCCAAGTTTCTGCAAGAACTTGTAAAGATGTGGACATTGAAAGAGTTAAAAGCACATCTCTTTTGCTTTTCGTGCCCTTATTCCTACGCTTATACAACTAATGTGTTGTACGAGTAAAGAAGAAGTTGGTCCACTCTCGTGTAGCTCTACAATCCATTCATGAAGCAACCAAAAGGCGATTTATAGCATAAAAAAAAAGGGACTCATGTAATGTGACACCATTTTTTACTGACGACATGAAGGAGGAACACCGGCTTCATTTCACTTGACATTAGCAGAGCAGTCGGTGCTTTGAATTGCCTGATGCGTAGCCGACACCTCCAGCGTCATGCTGCAGTTCATCGTTACCTCGATGTCGCGCTTGTACACGCCGAGCACGTTCACTCTCCCGTTTATATCCGTGAAGCTCGTCAGGTTCAGCTGCGTGCCGGAAGTTAGTGTGTCGGCCGTGATGTTCATCTGCCTCACCACCCGGTTGGTGAGCACGTCCACCGTCACGTTCATTCGCACCGTCCGGTGGGCCGACACCTTCCCTGCCGGCGCGTAC